CGAGGTTTCCCATTTTTTGTGTTCGCGCGCAATCCAATTACTATCCGTCGTAGGCTTGTCCTTCGTCGTTGCGTCAAGAGGAGAGGCAGTTCCTACATCGCGTTCTCTCGAGAAGACGACAATTTGCCACCTTCATCGCCAGCTCAGTATTTTTTCACAGGATTAAGGGAAAAGAAAAGGAATAAAAAAAGAAAAAGAAAAAGAAAGATAGAAGAGCCGGAAGACCCGATCGATTTATTCGACTCCTTAATCACTGTACAAATTACCGAAGTTATTTTTTTTCTCGCCGTTTTCGATTCGCATCGCCTTTACCGTATACCTTATACTTGACTGATCATAATACCGTCCTTCCCAACTACGTCAACCCGATAGCAAGAAACTGTGAACGGCCCACGTTTAGGGAGAAGTAAAAGTCACCCGCAAGGTTAAGATTGTTTAGAGTGGTTGCATTAGACATCCTCTCAGTTCTTTCGTCAAGAGTCCCCAAGAAACAAGGAACTCTTTCCCGTCCCAAGGTACTTCCGCAAAGATCAACGCCCAAGAACAAAGCCTCGAGTGCTACAAATCGACACTGTCAACCTTCAGGATCAGGATTCGGCCTGCCAGCGTCACGCCGCTCTCGGACGAGTCAAGCCAACAAAGAAAGCTCCAGCCTTAGGTAGTCCTTTCTACCTTGTCCCTGTGTGATTTCGAGGCCGCGATCCCTCTATCCCGTTCTTTGCACCGACTTCTGTTCATTGCCTTGTCTCCGACCCGGATCAATTGGGAAACCTCATTCGGACTATCTTCAACCTTTTTCAACCTTTCTCCTTCTTGGCTTAACTACGCAGCTTCCTGTCATTAGCATCGTCTGTCGCTCATTCGGACACGACCACGGATTAGTTTAATAATTATTCCCCATAGAGACAAAACAACTCCACGACAGCCGCATCTACTCGCATCCATCTTCTGCTTCTTGTCTACAGTTTTCCATCACCAGCGTCAGTACAATTGTCTTGGTTTTGTTGGATTCTGCTCGGCGAGCCGCGTTTGATACGACATCCTTCCCAATTGCTACATACTTAGCCATTGCGCCGATTGTCTGGCTACACACCACGCAATCACAATCGACATTATCGACAGCCCCGACAATTCCGCATCGCATTAATCAGCCCTGTCTGGACCACATTTATTCCCATCAATCTACTTTGTTGTAATATCATTTTGGGCGCCCTGTTATTCCGGAGGCGATCATCCATTCCTTATTAGATTTCACTTCTAATTACTCTCACCGTCGCTTGGATTCGGATCTTGCATCTCGACTCCCTAAAGCAGCTATTCCGTTGATAGATCACGGCGTTGCTTATAATTTGAGTATGGACACCGGCGGTCTTGCTCAAATGTCACACAACGGTTTCACTTCGCCAACCGGTTTGGGCATGCCCACCGGAGGCCTTGCCTCACGCCGCGGTGGCGGCCAGAACATTAAACCTTTGTCTTTCGAGTCTACCAAGACTCCCACTGATCCCAAGGACAACGGAGTTCCCACTCCTCGAACCAGCCGATCTCACCTGCTTGCGGGTCTTAGGACGGCTCCAAAGTCGGCTACCGCAACTTCTTTTGCTGCTTCGCCAACCTCCACTGTTCCGCCTACTCGTGTACATGGTAGGGATGGTGCTGGAAACATGTATGGTAGCCAGGACGGCATGTATGGTGGACCTAAGACGTCGCTTCCCCGTCTTGCGACCCAGCAGCAGAGCTACAACCCGATGATGAGCTCTACTCAGCAGCATTATACTGCCGAGCAGATCTTAGCACCCCCCGAGCTTCATCTTGATGAGCAAGTCCAGGACCAAATGGATCCTTCGCTCTATGCTCAGCTAGTAGCGACCAATATGTACCTGGCTCAACAGCAGCAGCGATTGCAGCAACAGTTGCTCAGTGTCCAGGCTGCAGCTCAGCAATTCCAGGCAATGAGCCTCAGCGGACAGTCAGTGTTGCAGCAGCAGATGGCTCTGCAGAATCTGTATCAACAACAGCAGCAGCTTAAGAACTTGCAGCAATCGATGGCTAACCCCATGCAAGTTCAGCAGAGCCTCTTCCCCTATTATGACTCTAACGGCCAGCAAATGTTCTACGTCAACCAGAACACCACTCAGATGAGAAATGTCGGCAATTATGTGGACTGCACTCCTGGTACACCTCAGGGTTATAGTCACTCGCAGGTAAACAACGGCACGCCCCGTGTCCAGGTTTCACCGCCTCCCACGGAGAGCGTCCCGCCTACCTACCGAACTACCTCGCCCCCGAAAAAGGTAGAAATAATCGCGGAACCTACGCCCCTACCACCTCCATCTGCCAATGCCTTCCGTCGCGGCCATAAGAAGTCGTCCTCCCTTGCGAACGGAAATAAGGGTCTGTCACTGTCGATGGATGATTCCCCCAAGTCGGCTGGCCCCAAGACGGCCTCCTTCCCGCTTACTCCCTCGACTAATGGTGGCTATGGCCCTGGCCAAGGTCGTGCTGGCGAGCACCCTATCCGTCAGCCTCGCGGTCCTCCCGCACTTGATGAACTTAGGGCGAAGCCCACTGCCAAGCACGAGGGTAGCAAGAATTTTGCGCAGCGAACTCGCCGCTCTGCTGTCCACAATCTTGTGAAGGCCGGGATGGTTAGGCGTAAGGGTACGGGTAGTAGCTGCGGAAGCATGAGCCCCGTATCTGAGAGCGCGGAGGAAGTTTGCACACCATTGACTGACAACGAGTCCGATTCTGGGCATAGTGGCTCAGGCAGCCTCTCAGGCGACGCAGAGCCTAGTCTTGCTAGTTCCAGGACTTCCACAAGTGGCAGCTGGGGAGCTATTGGCTCCGACCGCCCTGGCTCGCGCCAGAAGTCGCGGAAGAGCGTTGATAGCCTATCCAGTGGCGGTGATAGCGAGGGTAGCTTTGCGAGTGTGTTCAAAAACGGTTCCCAGCGCTCTAGTAAGACCGAGTCGATCGACGGTCAGCGAAAAGCGCCTATGCTCGTACTCACCAGCGCCGAGAAGCGCAAGGGTGGTGTTGTCGTAGCTTAGGGTGCAACCGGTCTCAAATTTTCACGCAATAATGATCGCATGCTCCCAACGTCTTTGTCTTTTCATGAACGTCGCGACAGAGTGGTAGAGCGCTCTAAGCAGAGATTACGTACGAATGGACGGGACTAGGTTGGAGAACAGAATGGCCATTTCTTTTCGCGATTTGATTTTGGAGGGCGCTGGTAACTGGGTTAAGGGATGGCAGCATTCTGAGCTGTTGATTTCTATTTGCAATTCCGAGGATCCCTTGGCTGGCGTCCAGCAGTACACTTCTTTGAGGGGACGGGGCGGCTTGGAGAGAAAACCCTATCAGTGGGATTCTTTTGCTGTTTATACTTCACGTCACTCTCTCGCACAAACCATACGTTTTATTCGCTTCTAAACACGTTGAGTTTGGAGGAGGGACCTCACGGAGGGAACATCTCACTTACGATTCTTGTGGATGCTTGTTCCCTAGAAAGCTGTGTAGGCTGGAGCTTAGCTTTGTGGTCGGGACACCTATCGATAGACTCATGCCCGACTCTAGATAGTGATCAATGGCTCAATTATAATTATATGCCAAGCCTATTTGTTTTGTTCTCGTTTCTGATGTCTGTCTTGCCTGCCTCCTACGTTATACTTTATAGAACTTGAATATAAACCCTTTTCCCACAGTTACCAATAGTTGCGCCTACTCAGATGACCCCCTATTCGTTGGATAATACGCTATAGCCTTACTAAGAGGGTAGCTAGCTCTCGTTAGACGGTATATTCGCTGAGGAAGACTCCAATTTTCTCCTAAGATAACAGCATGCTGGACGGCCGAAGGAGTAGGTAATGTCTATAGTGTTATGTCACCTGGTATTGATTTACATGCCGTATACTTCTGCTTGCACTACAAGAATATTAATAACCACCATCGTTAAATCGTAGAATATACCCACCCTTATTTGGTATCTGATAAAGTCCCTTGGGTGTCAAGTTGCGGTTCTTTCTGCTTCTGCTTCCCTTTATTCTGTGTATTGGCGGCCTCTGGGTCCTCCAATCTGGTCCTGACCCGCCGCCCACGATGGATTAAGAAGGCAACTAAGGCTAGTAGAAGGAAAATCCCCCCAAGAGTTGAACCTATGCTGATTCCCGTTGTGGCGCTGGGTGCTAATCCGTCATCGCCCTTGTTGACGCTGGGGTCTTTGTTACTCGTATCTCTAGGGGCGTCGTTGTTCCGCTAATCATATTAGTAGGTAGGCAGAGATAGTGAGAAGGGCTTGAAAATATATCGTTACCTGTAAAAGGCCGCCGGAGAGTGCTAGCTTGGGCGATTCATCTGTGCACCAGCCATCGCTAATGTAGACGACGTAAGTACCCGGGGTAAGATCGACTCTGGGCGTCAACATAAATGTATTGTTGCCTTTATAGTCTAGTTATAATCCGTGAGTATCTATGCATTCTCACAACTGCTGGGGAAAGGTCTTATACTTTTAGCGATCTCATCAATCCGCATGAGTCCCTCAGTTGTAAGCTTGGCTAGGTTAATATTGACCGAGTCGGCAGTGCCTGTCCACGTGAGAATCAAAGTCTTTCCATACTCAAAGTCCCATCTATGTGTCGTGAAGCGGACCCCAGTCCGGCATTCCATCACCAGCGTTGACAAGGCGAATGATCTTCTGAATAGCATCACTATTGGCTTACACCAGATGGTGTATTTTCACTTATATATGAGACGTAGAGGGGGAAAAAGGATAGAAGTAAGAAATTCCACAGGGACCCGTTTGTCAAGCCATATATCGAATGACATGTTTTCCTAGCACTTACCTCCGTAGTGTATGACAGTGCTCCATCCCGTGTTATGGTGTTTGTATGGCGTTTATGTTGCACACGTGTTACGGACGGAAGCAGGCAGCCTTACCTAGGAGGCTTGGTGTTACTAAGAGATCATAAGGTGATTTCGATTCTTAATGGAAATTCTTGTTTCTGGTACTTAGATGTTTGCATTGATAATATTGAACTGAGTGTTCTTAGTTATAGAAGTCTTACGAGAGTCTTCTTTAGCCCCTTTATCTATATTGTTGTCCTAGAACTAGATAAATGTAGTATAGATAGGTAATCGGGAAGTGTGATTATCACTAGGAGTATGTAAGGCATTATGCGAGGTATATGGTAAAGCGAGGAATTACGTAGCATCGAGTTTCAAGAACTCGAGCACTTTTGTATTCTGCATATCTTAATAGGCACTTGGTCGCTGTAAAATGGACCTCGTTGGTCTTGTCTGCATGGAAGCTTAAAATCAACTTCTTCGACGTTGAAACATCTCTCTTGGCAGACGTCAAGGAAGGCTTTGAATGTGTCTTGATTCCTTTCGGTAGCGGCAATGAGAATTGTAACATGCGGAAACATACCCGCCAATTCTTCTAATGTTCCAACGAGAGCCGGGATGACGCTCTTGTCATAGGTTATATCCGCGCCAAGGACCACATCGATGGGCATGCCGCCGTTCCAGTATTGGTCTTCTGTTCCCACAAGAGCGTGACCCCATTTAATATCCATTGCCCGGATTTGCTTTGAGTCTTGGAGGCCGTTTAAAAAGAAGTTCTCGGGAAGGGTTGCCACAACCTCATCAGAGCCGTCCGAGGCAATAGTTAGAGTAGAAGTAAGAAATCTAGCACACAGCACGGATAGGTATCCGGTCCCTGATCCCAACTCTAAAACTCGCCTCCCTCGAATAAGGGACGGGTTTGCGCAGAGAAATTGCCCCAGGTGAAGGGAGGCTTCCCAAGTACGCAAGCCAGTGGTCCCCGAGGCAGAGATGAGATTGCGCGACTCGAGTAGTGTGATCTGAGCTGGAGTTTGGGCAACATTATCACGACCATCAAGTAGAGATAGACTATACGTCACATATGATTTCTGCTGAGCAGCAGTGGTCTCGGAAGGTAACGGGTGTGCTAGGAGACAAGAGAGCGTATTCATCAAGTCGTCCGAAACCCCCTGAGGAATTGGGTTATCAGCCATGGCTGCATGGCAAGAGATATGAACCATAGGTACCTAGGTAAACTACACGCTTGTATATAAGATAGGTACATAAGAGATGGGTTTTCCTTACGTGACGATCCCAGTCTTCGATACTCGCTTCGATCCTCGACGTGAGCTCCTTAAGGACCCGTAGCTGATACCTCCGAGGAGGGGGATAAGCAAGAGCGTCATCGGCAAAGATGCGGCGGTATATAGTGTCTTGAATATCTGCATCTCGCAGGAGTGCAGGTGAAGGATAGTCAAGATCTTTTTCTAATTGAACGTACTGAGAACAGAAGCGGTCGATGGCATCAGCTTTCAACTCGTGTTCTTTTACGGGCATGTTTAAAGGGTCCACAGGTTTTTAGCTCTTTGAATGAATAGGTAGGCAAAATTTTTGGTATTTCAGGACAATACTGGGTCAAATGTTTTACTTAGTCTCCACAGAGTCGAAGTTGGTGAAGTTGGTGAAGTTGTGAAGTTGCGATGTTGGAAATAGAAGACTTGAATTACATGTAAATTACCTGTATGTACCTAGGTACCTATCATACACTATGTGGCTGAAGTGGGCGGTATGGCTGTGCAAAAACTAGTGGGACTAGGTACCTAGGTACCTACCTGAAAGATGGTAAATTTCTTAGGGTTTTAACCTCGCGTATGGGTCCTGCCCTGTGCACACTTAAAGCAAAAAAAAGGAAAGCAGAAAGAAAGCGCAGGTCGGAAGTTTACTCGGTCCGGGTCTTAGCCCCAATCACACACAATCAACAATCCACCAATCCACCAACCCACCCACTTTCGGTTAACGAATTTTTGTGAAGGCCTTTCCACCCTGCGCACCTCAATTCGAGAATACTAATCCAGCAGCAACATCAACGCCAATTTCCCTCTTCGATCCGTCATTAAACCGCGAAGATGGCTGACTCCGAGGCTCCCGTCACGTTGCGAACTCGCAAGTTCATCCGCAACCCTCTCCTCGGTCGCAAGCAGATGGTCGTGTACGTTGCATCCCACTTCGATAATAGAGCACGATCACGATCGAAGATATGAGAAATAATCGAAGACAACCGAAACTAACACAAGCTTCCTCATAGTGATATCCTGCACCCCGGCCGAGCCAACCTCTCCAAGGACGAGCTCCGAGAAAAGCTATCCGTCATGTACAAGGCACAGAAGGACCAGATCTCCGTCTTTGGTCTGCGAACAAAATTCGGTGGCGGCAAGACCACCGGTTTCGCTCTAGTCTACGATTCCCCCGAGGCCATGAAGAAGTTTGAGCCCCTGTACCGACTGGTTCGTGTCGGCCTGGCTACCAGACCTGAGAGACCGTCAAGACAGCAACGTACGTTTTTATATCTGGAGGACTGATGGAATGAATATAGTCGATATGAATGGAAATGCTAACAACTAGACAGGCAAGCAGCGCAAGAACCGACAGAAGACCCTACGGGGTACCGCCAAGGTCAAGGGTGCCAAGGCGAAGAAGGAGAAATAGACGATGGGCTTCTAGGTGTTCTGGTCTGGTCTTTGCGGAGTGGGATTTGGCTCGGCTTCGGCACTGGCTCTGTGCATTATACGCGAAAATGCATCTCTGCATCCTACATACTAGTTCTCGACGCGGTACGGTACTAGTGAACTTTCCTCGAGCCGTGACGGAATGAATTTGATGATTTCCCCCCCACGATAGGCGATAGCATAAATCAAGGAGTTGTCATGGCAATACCCGTTTCTAGTTCATGTTCTAGTTCATGATTCTGGTTCATACGTGACTTATTCGCATCAGATCGTACTGAGATCGTACGAGATCCGCTAATGGCATCTGCTAATAATGTTTCTTTTACTTTACTATATCATAGTAACTACTAACTCTATAGTTAACTCTATAGTTATTGATTCCTGAACGCCTCTGTTTTCCTACCTAAGGTATCTCATAATCGCAAAGCGTCCTAGACTTATCATGATCATATTTCGTAAGTCATTAGGGTTGGAGGTATATCTGCCCAGCTGCCCATGCCCAAAAGGAAGAAAAATAAATAAACATACAACGGACTACACTTAAATATCAAAGCCCGAGTACTAATCCGCCAGCGACGATACCAGCGACGACGCCGGCGCGTAAAGCTGCCTGCCCACTTCCTTCGCATCGCATCCCGCTCGCTCCAGCGTCTAATATAGGTTCATGCCAGCCGCAGTGCGTTTCCAAAGGAAAGGTTACGCAGCTATAGTATGTAGTCTGTACATACTTGACGCCTATTTCGTGGAAATTAGCCCCTGGCGGTGGTAACTCGGGCGAGGGCGTAATCTCAGGGTCGAATGTGGTATGAGTTGATATAGATGTAGACGTAGGCGCATCGAGTGGTAAAGTAGTACACCTGCTCTTAGCAGCGGCGGCGCTCGGCAATCGCGATGTAGAACTTGACGTATTAATCTGGATCGAGGGTATGTTACTCGACACTATTGTTGTAACTGATGGTATTGTCGTCAACGTTGTCGTTGTCAAAGGCGAACTAAGGCCTGAAGGTATAGCGGTTCGCGGTGTTTTCCGGCTAGCCTCCGCAAAGCTTAGCAGGGCTATTAGAGTCAAGATTGCCAGCATCTTGATGGAATGAATATGTATGAATGCTCAGTGCCGTCTGTGTTCTTGCTAAAAATCGATTCTTGTTCCCACTAATAATAAGGGCTCAGTCTCAAGGAATGGAATAGGTGAGATGGATTATATGTGCAGCATGAGAACAATACGCAAGGCGTGAGACCAGCTCGGTGTATGTATGAATAAAAGGTACCTGACCTATAAACTAAAAGGTAGAATTAAGAAGAATGAAGAATGCCTAAGAAGTCGTGGCAGATCTAAGAAGTTGTTGTAGATGGAATAACAAAGAGAAAACATCGAGCAAGAATGGAAGACGGATTGAATGAAACTAAATGCAATTCACACTGCCTCGAACTTCTAGAGCCATTGTCTTGTACGTTTACCCGTCATCTCATCCTCCGTGATGCAAGTTAACATTGTTGGTGTTAGTCAGAGGCACGCATGCACGTTTGACGAAAAGAATAGTAAATGCAGTTAGGTCTGGCAACTATTGGACGATGTATCACTTTAGGCCAAGCCTAAAAAGGGCCTCTGGCTACCTATCTATCATCCCTAAGATATAACTTTCCTCCTTGGCAGAACAGAAAAAAAAGCTTCTAGATAGCAAACAATCACATCTTCCACTGTCGAGTGTTAGAGGCCGATGGACAAGCCTACAAACGGCTGGCTTAGGTACTTGGCTATGACGAAGGAGACGCCCCTGACAGGTGGAGGCTTGTCGCGGATGTGAGCTGCATTGGAAGGGATGGGGAGATATGATTGGTGCGTTGTATATGCAGGGTCAAGTAATACCCCTTACCTTTTCTCCTCCTTGGATGGAAACGCACTATATTTCTGTAAGTGATAGTATCTTAGATCTATAAGCCCGTAGTTATTGAAATTTGATACGTCAACAGCTAGCTAATTTAAAAGACTCGGGCAATTTAGGGCATAGGTATCAAAAGATTTGGGATTATATCCTTGCTGTTCAACTCATTGGATCCGACCTTTTTCAACTCGGGGCTAGTTGTTACTTGGCAGGATACTGAGTCGTTAGAAAGACACCAGACTATGGGATTTATTCAACCTAAATCACAAAATTCATCCTTTACCCACCTGATGGGTTGAGTGTTATTATGGCCAAGAAGCGTTTTAAGTTGTTAGGCTTGAGTCATAGATCTGATTATATGGTGTTGTGACTTACACCTAGTAAGCATGTATCATGACCCTTGCAAGTCGAGGCTCAAATCTCATCCATCTTTTTAACGATAATGTTCTTCCGGCATGACTACATCCTAAAAAAGGCAGTATATACGAAAGGGCAATATCAGAAGCTTACTAGTTAAATAACATGTTTGAGTATACGATGCTATTTCATACAGGGAATGAAACAGATAGCCATTTCATCGCCCGAGTAAGCGTCAAGATGAAATCCGAATTCAACCCGCATACGCTATTCGTAGACTAAATACTGAATCATATCAAGTTTGGCTCCCAGAAGAATCAACCAGTAACTCCAGTAACTTCAGATCAGGTCCCATCCGATCAGCCTAGACTCCTAACCCCAATCAACCAATCTAACAAAGCTCGCCCTCCTCAACCCCGATACTCCACAACGTGTCGACGGATGACGGCTTGCATTGTGTTGCTGCTCTCCTCGCCCTCAAATTTCAAGTTCACCTTCCCATCGCCATCCATCCCCATAACCTCGGCTTTATAAAACGTGGTGGTATTGGGATAAAGCGCCAGCACCGTCTTACCCGTCTCTAATGGCGGCAACACGGTCCCTTCTCTAGGGATAAGGATCATGCTGCTAGCGTAAGTTCGGAAATCTTTTTGGTGACCATTCTCGTCCACGTCGGCGTCCAGGACCCTGTAACGCCTCGTCTTTCCGTCGCCGCGCACATCTTGGACGATGCCTAAAATCCAGTCCGTCTGCTCGTTACTTACGGGCTTGGGCTTGAAAGCGACCTCGTCGTCTTTGGCGAACGTCTGCTTGGTACGGATGGAGTTAGAAGAGGGCCCGGCTTGTGGTTCGGCGCTCCCCGCCTTGGTTGCCGGAGTAGAACGATCCCTAGGGGGGACTGAGTCACGGTCACCCTTGTTATTATTATTTATACGGCGTATGGTGGGGTTTGGAGACGGGACGGACGACTCGCCAGATCCGTCAAAGTCATATAGAGAAGAGGCAGCAGCAGCTGACTCTTTAGCCCGCTGGACTCTCGAGGTGTTTACCTCTTGCTGCTCCTCCTTGGCCTTCTGCACGGCACGCAATACCTTGAGCTTTTCGATTGTTTCGACAATGGCTTGACTAGCGATTTCATTGGCCTTTACACCCTTACGGTAGAAGTCATCGAGTGTATTATAGTCTTCTATGGTGAGGACTAATGAGAAGTATCAGATTACTTTGGTTATGCTTGATAAATAAAGACTTTGATATATAGAAGACGGGGCGGGAATGGGACTCACCGCCTTTGGTCTTCTTCTCGGCCATGAGCCTCTCCTGGTCGCGAATCTTGTTGACGTTGGAGCTACTATCGTTGAAGGCATTGGTAATAGCAGTGCCTTTGTCCTTGATGTCTTTCCACATGGGCAATTCCTCGCCGTGCTCGCCGATCTCGCTATTGCGATTTGGACCTCTTCGCTGATTCCCTCGTGAAGACATCTCGGTGATGTTTTTATTACGTTAGTTAACTGTTAGGTACCTATCTAAGGTTAACTAGGGTAGATATTATGATAGTGGCCAATTGTGATGAGAAATGAGTAATAGAATGCTAGGTACAAATTCAAATCGGAAGTTAGAAGAATCTTCAAAATCATTAAAAGTGTTTGAATACATTGGTTTTATGGCATGTCCAAGTATAGCCATTTTAAGTTTGAATATGAACCTTAGGTACTGAGTAAATGAAGCCACGCCTCTATTGACGACCTAGCCCCCAATTCCATTTATGGATATTTTAGGTAATTTGTGGCTTGTGGCTCATAGCTCTTAGGTACCTAGTACAAGTCTCGCGGGGTAACTCCCCCGCACCTTGAGCTTTACCTCTATTACTTGCAGACTTAGGAATCGTCAACCGCGTACCTTACAGTAAGGCACTTACAACGGGCTGTGACCTACCTTAGTACCTATACCTAACCTTAGGTACCTTAGGTAATCTTATAATCATCTCCTATTCCAAATCTGCGCGACCTTAAATAAATATCTGCGAACTCCCACCTAAACACCTACCACCTATACTGTTGAAACATTCGAGTCATCGCCGACAATGGTGCTACCCGTCCCTCTTATACGACTCCAATGCGGAGTGAACTCCTACGATTGGGGCAAGATTGGATCTGAATCTGCCGCAGCTAAGTTCGCCGCTGCGACACCCTCCGATAACTTGAACATTCAGTCAGATAAACCATATGCTGAGGTGTGTCTTTTACCTGCTGCCAAACCCTACGTAATATAATAGCTAACATGAAGGACCTTGCGCTTTTAGTTATGGATGGGGACTCACCCTTCGAACCCATCTAAGGACGTCGAATCCGGCCGCACCTTGCTCGAGCTTGTCCAAGAGAATCAAATGCTCCTCGCCCCATCTGTTAAGGCGAAATATGGCCCCAAGTTACCATTCCTATTCAAGGTGCTCTCTATAAATAAGGCCCTCTCCATCCAAGCCCATCCCAACAAAAAACTTGCCGAAAAATTGCATGAAAGAGACCCTAAGAACTACCCAGACGACAACCACAAACCCGAAATGGCCATTGCGATAACCGATTTTGAGGGTCTGTGTGGATTCCGCCCGCTTGGCGAAATTGCTCACTTTCTATCCTCCGTACCAGCTCTACGACAACTGGTCGGAGAAGACGCCGCAAAGGCATTCATCGCCACGGTTCGAGGACAGGAGAGTGACGCTTCTTCCGAGTCTACTACGCAGAACAAGAGAGCCCTCCAGTCTGCCTTTGCCGCTCTTATGAAGTCTTCACAAGAAGATGTAGCGTCGGCTTCTAAGGCACTCGTCTCGGACGCCGAGAGCAGAGGAAGTGAATTTGCAGATGGTGGGGTCGAATCTACCAGCGGGGCAGTTATGTCCGAGTTGGTGGTTCGACTGAACAAGCAGTTCCCGGAAGATATCGGTCTCTTCGTCTTGTTCTTCCTTAACTATGTCAAGCTTTCTCCAGGTGAAGCCCTTTTTCTGAAAGCGGACGATATTCATGCGTACTTGTCGGGTGATATCATCGAGTGTATGGCAGCAAGTGACAATGTTGTACGAGCTGGATTTACACCCAAGTTTAAGGATGTTCAGACGCTGGTCGATCTATTGACATACAATTACGCTCCCATCGAGGAGCAGAAGATGTCGCCAAAAGAGTATCCGTACGTAGTGCTCAACCGCACCGCATACAGTTCGGGCTCAGAGGCAACCCTGTACGACCCGCCGATCGAAGAGTTTAGCGTCATCAGGACGGTACTTAATGGTGAGGGATCCAAGGCAACCTTCGACCCTATCGATGGACCAAGCATTGTTATCTGCACGGGGGGCAAAGGCAAAATAACGGTTGGTCCAAAGACTGAAGAGGTTAAGGAAGGATATGTCTTCTTCGTTGGCGCTACGGCAGAATTAATTCTAGAATCTCAAGGAGGTCAAGATGATTCGTTCACGACGTTTAAGGCCTTTTGCGAAGTTGAAGACCACAGTAATGGGGCACAGCTATAGCAGGTACCTATTCAAGTGTTGATATAAGAGGACGAGTTATTATTGCTAACTCTCATTTCATCTTCGGAGGCCTGGAGGCCTCTACATCTCCGTTTGTCTTATACCCAAACCAGAGACATCTTAAAAAGCAATTGTTAGTTGAATTTATACATATTACATGCTTCTTAATTACCTTTTATGCTTATATTCTTTATATTTCTGTAATGTGAATTTTTATCAGTTGTAAAAATAAGTAGCTAACAGGTAGTTTTACTGTCTTATTTCTTAACGTTGCCAACTAAGTCGTATATTTAAAACGAGCCCCTTTTTAATAACTCTTAATAAAAGGTATGCCACTACCCGGCATATGCCCCCCTTTAACTATGTTGCTTGCTATTACATACTTTGGATTCATTAATAATATACTGTTGCATTGGATATACTGCATTTGCATGCTCTACATATTGGTATACTGACCTACATACCTAATGTACATGTACCCAATGCTAAGATTGGACGAAGCCTTTGATGTACAAATTCTCCGTACCTTTCCGCGGCTGCGCGATGAACTTCTGCAGGGGTAACCAGGCCTGCCAGGGAATATATATCCACTACTGGTATATCAAAACTTATCTAACCTAATTGGGAAGCTAACGCGCCTTTAGCGTGGTACGCTAACTTATATGCAGTAACAAATAACTGATAACGGTATTGCGGCAGTGAAGTTTAGGTGGTGTAAGTTTCCCCCCCTTCCCCCCCTAAAAGTAGCGGAAATTGAACCATTTTGATAATGACCTGGACCCTGGCGCATTTTAATGTTTCATTACTCTTCCAATTTGGAAATCGACACGAACAACTATTTTTTTTCTTCTTGTCAATGCTCTGTCTTTCTCTTTAATTTTCCCATCCTTTCCACTGAACTCCCTCGTTGTGCATGTGTCAATCTCTAATCTCGGATGTGTAATTTTACCTATTTTTAATCATTCCTCATACGGTAACCACCTCTACCATCTACGACCAACCCTCTCCATCGGCATCTTTCACCTCACGGACCTCCCCCCCTTCTTCTTTAGGCCCCTTCATAGGTCCTTCAACGATAGGTCGAATTGTTACCTACGAAATACTCTCGTGATTCGATCAATTGGATCTCCAAAAGAGTATAGATAGCCAATAGAGACGCGTCGCGCGCTACCAATCACCGTTCTACCTACTACCTATCTCCTCTTCTTCCCTTTCGACTCTCACATTAACGAACTCGACGACGTTAGGCGCCATCTCAATCCTAGTCGAGCGTGGTAAACGCAAATCGATTCTCTATACGGCTTCACGCCCCCGCAAACAAGGCGACGGATATTATCGACGGGGCCTGTTCTCTTCAGTAGAATTTAACTAATATCTTGACCGCGATCGATAATACTCAAGATGGGGGGCCAACTTTCCAAGATGATGGGCAAGATCTTCGGATCTAAAGAGATGAGGTTGTTGATGTTGGGACTTGACGCTGCTGGAAAAACGACAATATTATACAAGCTCAAGTTGGGTCAGGACGTTACTACTATCCCTACCGTCGGTTTCAATGTCGAGACGGTCACGTACAAGAACGTCAAGTTCAACGTCTGGGATGTTGGTGGTCAGGACAAGATCCGTCCCTTATGGAGACATTACTTCAGCGGTAAGTGATTTGTCAGTTGTGAACTGGGGTCGTGTTTTGGATCTGGAATCCTCTCTGGATATTCCTGGTATTATTTTAGTCCGCAAGGGCCACCGTGAATTTTCCTTGCGGATGGGTTCGTAGATAATCGCGGACACGGACACGGGCGTAATAGCTCTAACATATGCTGACTGTGTAATACACGAATAGGAACCCAAGGTCTAATATTCGTAATCGACTCTGCCGACCGTACGCGGATGGAAGAGGCGAGACAAGAATTACATCGCATTATCAACGACAGGGAGATGAAGGATAGCTTGCTGCTGGTATTCGCAAACAAGCAAGATATCGGAGGTGGTAAGTAACTAACTATTGATTCCCATCTCACCCCCTAGACATCAAACAAGAGTCGGCTAACTGTTCCTACAGCAATGAAACCACAAGAAGTAACCGAGGCACTCCAGCTGTCCAAGCTTAAGGATAAGATCTGGTACGTAGTGCCTAGTTGTGCCACGACGGGCGAGGGTCTGCTCGAGGGGTTGGCGTGGCTGTCAAACAATGTCAAGGCGCCCCCTGCGCCGGCCAAGAAGTAGGGCTTCTAGTTCTAGTTCTCTGTTCCCTTGATACCCTTGATTTTCTTTGATTTAGAACGACCACTTCCCTACAACTTGGCCAGAGATGGACATGACGAGCGAACCTCAATGGTCTTTGGGCTGCTCGCATGGTCTTATACGACCTTAATAACTCGATGGAATTGGTTCGGGCTAGGATGTTTTTGCCGCGGTACAATGAAGATGCCTCGTCTCGTATAATTCAGGGTCTAGTGTGCGAATTCAGTTTTGGCCCTTTGAAAGGCGATCCCAGCCCAAGTGTAGTGGAGCGAGAAGCATTTTCCCTGCCGTGTCATATATATACAGCTCCGTCTGCAGTTCCTGGTCAATTGCGAGTGAGTGCGAGGAGGAATGAAAAGAGGCAAGACCAAGCCCGTGCGTGCTGCGACAGGTCGTCGTAATCCCTACTTTGTACAAGGCTCGAGTATACAATGGTAAATATACAACCGGAGCCGGGCAAAATGGATAATATATAATACCCGATCCCCTCGGCGTTGGAAGCACTTAGAGCGGCCCTTTTTCTGTCTCCAAAATCTTTTTTTTTTTCAAGTCTATCAATCACGTCACGAATCCATCCGTCACACATCAGAGTCTTCTTTTTGTTTTTGTTTTTCCACGATACGAATAAATAAGGGCGGCATACTAGGCGAAAATATAGTCTGAAGGGATGGAGAGCAGAATATAAAGGAAAGGACGGGGATATATATATCCGCATCATCCCGCGTTAGTTGATTTGTAAAGGGTGGTTAGGGGGAGGAGGGGGGGTAGTTGGTGCTGCTTGTGCCTTGTCGTATAGTACCTAATCTTGTAATACTGGCGGTTTCGGTTCCTGATTGTTTGAGGAGCGGACGGAGGGAGTTACCCATTACTTTCGCTTCGGAATCGAGCAATGAAAATATATCAGATTGAAAAAATCTCCTGTTGTTCACTCGAGTAGGTATATTGTGATTCTTTGTAGCCCAGGTCGTTTTGCTAAGATGGAATTGTTGATTAATATACTGGTGTCGGCCTATAGGTATCAACTACGAGAGCGAGCAGTCGACAGACAGACAAGCAATAGATACAGCATATCGAATAGCGGAATCTCAATTAATTATTTTCATATTCCATCCTTGGAACATTTATACGTAACCTGTCTGATGATGTGCGCCAATACCAATGTCAATGCAGTACCCAGTCCTAACCAGGACCACCCTTACTCCGTCATGCTTGAAATTGAAATTAAACTCCAAGTCGCTCCTCCATCAACAACAAATTGATACAAGCAGCCTGTGGCATGGACATCTTACCCGACCTAAATCTTTATTGGCCCGCTTATCGTGCTCTTAGACCGAACAAAGCAATGGAACCGACTCCTTTCCTAGGCAACGCCATGCCTAGGCTGGGCTGACCTAGCTGTTTTAGCCGACCTAACCTGCTGGGCTACTCTAAGCTTCTGAATATACGCAACCTCTCACCGAACCCCCCCTCAGCATCCTAAACTTCCTAAACTTCCTGTAAGATTTAGGTACACTTTCTAAGCCTCCTTTACCCTCTTTACTGGCCTGACGATGCTATCGTCCGGCAAACCCGAGCGCTTAGTGCCAGGTAGGCTGGCGGTGCGGATATCATTGTCGTCCTGGCTGACGCGACGTTGCGGGTACGCTACCTTGAGACCCTCGAAGCAGCTTGCTGTCACGCCGATGCCACCGCCCGACGGCGTCGCTTGGAAGAACGGGTGCTGCAACGCCTGTGCTGCTGTAAGCCGCCGCTCAGGGTCGTACTCCAGTAGACCCGAAAGCAGTTTGTAGCCCTCAGCCCCGAGGGCCGCGAGGCTGCCGTTGGAGTTAGGAGATGAGGTCGACGAGTGTGCACCGATGGTACTGTAGTACCATTTCTCGAGGTGGCTTGTTGATGCCGTTGATTTGCTGTGGTGGTGATGGTGGTGGTGATGACCCGGATGTAGCATGGGCGGCTGTAACATGCTGAGGTTGTTGTACTCGGGCATACTCGATAGGTAGGGCCAACGCTCCTTAGTAGGCATACCCATAATGTCGACGATCTTCTGCATCTGGTTACGTTGAAAAGGCACCGTCTTCTTATCCATTTTGGCTTCTTCCCCTTTAAAAATAGGCCGCAACGATAGCAACTCGGCGAAAATACAACCAACCGCCCACATGTCTATCGCCGGCGTGTAGTGCCGGCTACCCAGAAGCAATTCAGGGGCGCGATACCAAATTGTCACGACTACCTTATCACCGCTCCACAGAGAATGTAGTGGTTTATGAAATAGTCGGGCCAGCCCTAAATCGCCGATTTTGACTTGCCCGCTTGAGGTTACCATGATGTTAGCAGGCTTAAGATCTCGATGAAGAACCCAGTTGCTGTGTAGATACTGGCACCCATTTAGCAGCTGGAACATGATGCTTTTCACCGTAGAGGGAGGAATGCTATGGCGCGGTTGCTGGGTATGGTGATGGATGATCTGCAAGAGATCATGCTCGGCATATTCGAACACCATAAAAATACACTTATCCTCCAATATGATCTCGACTAAGCGGATGACGTTTTCGTGGCTAAGTTCTGAACAAAGCGCCATCTCGCGTACAGCTGATTGCGATATTCCTGAATACTGTATCTGCTCCCCTTCCTTATCAGGCTTGAACTTTTTGATGGCAAACTCGCCCGGCTGACCTTGCCGGCTAACGGCCTTGTATACCCGGCCATAGGTTCCACTACTGATGAAGCCAATGACTTTATACTTGTCGACAACTCTGACTTTGGACTGATAACCTATAATGGCGCCCCTATCGATAGGGTCTATATACGGGTTAGCTAATTGCCAACTTTATAGGGATTTCCACGATAGCGAGAAAACAAATAAAGTGATTGTAATACATTGACTACGAAATAGTGACGTATGTGGTTGGAAAGCGGTCATTGAAGGATGCATTGGTCTGGCCTTTATATACTCGGTACGAGGAAAGCCCACGTTTGTAGGGCCGTGGGACGCCTTATTATCCTCCTGTGGTTGTGTTCGACGGCACAACAGGGGATTGTCAAGGCTTCTCCCGAGCACCATGATATACGGTGCTTCTCTAGATAGAAGGGAAGGAAAGGAAAGAGTAAAGGAAAAAAACAAAAGAAAATTAAGACCAGAGCAAGAGCCTTGAAGACAACTTTTTGATAGGGGGAAATTGTCAGCGGCGCAACATTTCGCCAAGGTCGAATAAAGTCCGAAGGCCACCAATCAAGGGGTGACTTAGATGTTGTGAGATTTTATAACCGAAAGGAGTAAGTAGAAAATGGTGGGCGAATGCGAGCAAGCGGCCGACAAACGAAAAGTAGCCAAACAGAAAAAGATACAGTTAACAAGAGAGATTTGTTGGGCTGCATACCTTCGAAAGCGGCCTGTACGCTTCTTTTAAGGGTTTGGTTTCTCGCGGAAGTTGACGCTGGACCTGACGCCGCACCCGAAGAGGGATTGGTAAGACTCATGATTTATCTGTGATGCTGTGGTGCTGTGGTGTCGTGGTACTATGTATGGTGCTTGTACTCGTATGTTGGATGGATCGGATCTCGATCTGACCAGATCCTGATTTAGACTCAGATACAGATACGGCAATACAGATTCAGACAAGAAAAAAAAAACACCAAAAACCAGAGAGATCAAGCACGCACTCGGCGGGTCTTCCGGCAGCGTCGGGTAAGACGAGACAAGTCTCTCTTTGCTCATCCACTATGTATTGGCTCACTCAGCGGCAGATTATCTTGTAGGTATGCGCTTGAGCGCCTGTGCGCCTCTGTGTGTCTCTTTTCGGCCACGAGATATCCCCGTATTGGTCGGGACTCCAAAATTTCAAAGGAGTCGGGTTAGTACCTCGGATATCGATAGGATCCTGACTGGAGATAAGGGAAATGGCGAGGATGATGGGACGTCACATATGTTTCCCGTCGGGTAGCCGTTTGTTGTAGGTAGTTGTTTTAGATGTTACCACAATTCATCAATAATCAATAATCCCACATGACTAATAGCTAAGGTCGAACGAGAATTAGAAGCAGTATAAAATTAGGTCAATAAAGAATATAATGAAAGGAAACACACAACTACTTGTTATAAATAAAATTGAAAATTGTTAATAATGTGAAGTTTAAAAAAGATCATGATAGATGGGAAGGTGACGCTTTCTGCTATTTCGTAGCTTCTTACTATTGAGCCTAGCTGGAGGTCAAAGATTGGCAGTTCCAATGGATCCCGGATAAAGAATGTGGCAAATGTTATCGTGGCGCAGTCACCCCTGGCATCCAATACCTACCTATTACCTAGGTAGATAGTACACAACACCAACCTTCTATAACTCAAGTACATCATATATATCTATGAGAGGCATATGTACCCATCCACCCTGGGTCGGATATGTTGAATATAACTTAAATTCGAAAATAGTAGTTGCACATACTTTAGGTACTTAAGGTACCTATGTTCTGAACACGTACACTAGACCTATGCTCACTCTAGAGGTTGGGTGTATTCTGAATTGCATTGCATCAAATAAAAAAGATCAAATGTCGCCTTGGGCTAATTCACTTAAGGCCATTTTAAGTCATTTTGCTACAACTTCATAAACTCCACGGGCATAGTACTAAACTCCTCGACTGTCAGGCTCTATCGCGGCCCTAGCTTCTCTAGAATCCTCGGCCCTTGCTCAGCCCATTCTTGTTGCGTAATCCACATACTCTCTTTGTCGGCCATGATGTTGGCCAACACTGCTCCGCCCAAGAAAACCATATGCCGACGGCGAGGAGGGTCCTCTATCCTCACCTTAAACTTGTTTAGCCTTTCGGGGTTGCCGCCAAGTACACGCGTGAGCCATAACTGCTTTAGCTCCTTCTCCAACCGCGACGGGAGACCTGGATACATGCTGCTGCCGCCGGACAAGACGATGGCTTTGAAAAGAGAGGAGCGCACATCAACATCGGCGGCCTGGATGGTGTTAAACAGAAACTCGGCGATACCCGGCTGTTCGCAATCCACCAGGTGAGGCTGGAATAGACACTCGGGAGCTTCAAACCGCTCGCTACCTACTCGGATTACTCGCCCGTCAGGTAGTGTGTAGCTTTCTACCAGGACCGTTGTATCCTCGCTAAGACGCTTATCCAATTCTAGATCGTATGAAACATAGCACAGCTTCTCTTTAATCTGACGCACGGTCTCGAAGTCGGCCGTTCGGTTGAGCGCATACCCTCGTCGTAGAAGTAGGGCGATGAGATTGCGTGTTACGTCTCGCCCGGCCACGTCAAGTCTTCGAGTAAGATGATTGAGCACGACCGACTCGTAAACAGGAACGATATGTGTAACTCCGTCACCAGAATCGACGACGACACCAGAGCTCAGACCTAGCTTATGTTAAGTCGAAACTTTCAAGATATTGGGAGGCTAGTTAAGTATTTACCTTGAGCATACAAGGCTAGCACAGCTTGAATGGCTACGTAGACGCCCCCGAAACCGTAGCGCTCGAACATGACTTCGCACATCTGTTCCCGGTTCTTCAGGGGGTTCATAGGGGGTTCGGTAAGCAAGATCTTACGTCCTTTGGGATCAATCTTCATCTTCTCGTAGAATGTGTAATCCCAGAGGTGCTGCATATCGTCCCATTTCTTCACGATACCGTTCTCCATAGGATAGGAGACTTGGAGCATAGTCCGTGCAGCCGCCGCCTCGTCACCGCACATGATATCCTTGAGAACGATGTCATTGTCACTGTTCTTCTCTTCCGTTCGTAAGATGGGTCGACCGATAATAGAGGGATATTGGAATTCGGGGAAGTTTTGTGCGGCGTATCCGACCTTTAGGAAACCGGTACCTCCATCGAGAACTAGTGTAGCATGTTAGACATAGGGGTAGCTCGAGCTAACTTGGTATAGCAGACAATAAGAGTAATAATGTTACTAACCGATAGGAGGAGGAGCAGCCATGTTTTCGACAAAACCTCTCGGCAACGTCTAAAAGAAATCAAGATATAAAAGTAGAATGAGATTAAGCCGTGCTCGCCAGCTGTGGGCGAGGCTGCTTGCAGCTTCGGTGGCGGGGTTTAGTTTTGGAGGTGAGGCCGCAGGCGTTCGTCAGTTGATGTTAAGTACCAGGTTACCTTCCATTTAACGGGCGTGAACCTTGCGAAACCCAAGTTCAATCTGAGGCTGAGAACGAGACGGTCTGACGTTGGCCATGTGGCTGAGGAATCCCTAGGTAAACTCCATAATTTAGGCTAGTTAAGCTAAGTTATTACATAAAAGTACCTAGGTACCTAGGTAAGGTACCCGAAACTTGTACCTTTCAAGTTAGCACTTTTGTCAGGTGATACCCCTCACTTACAACCATCGCCCCGCAGAAGATGAAATCTAGGTAGCTGTAGAATCTATGTTAGGTAGGTAATCCGTATATAGGTATGGTTCATATAAGTGAATGCCCAGCCTTAAATCATGTCTAACGTGCGAGCGGATATAAGAGTATAAAGTTATAAGCCGATAACTAATAACTAAATAAGCTTCAACTAGAATAGTTAACTTACGTTGGGGATTTTCGTTGTTGAAAACTACCCAGGTATTTATTTCCCTAATCTTCGTATGAAATTTATTCGACTATTTCTGTCCTAAGGACGAAAACCAAATCAACAACAAACCATGGGCACCCAACTTGTTCGAGGGAAAACGACCAAGATCTTGGTCTTAAATCCCAACTCCTCCAAAGCTATGACCGACGGCATGAACGTCGTCATCGGCTCTATAGACTTACCATACGTGCGTTAACACAATGTCCCCATCACCTCTCTTAACCCCCGTATAATCAATCCACCCTACTACCTACCTTATCCCTCGAATCTGGCAAAGCCGTCGAGAAACAGACAGATAGCAAGGTCCGAAGCTTACCTACCTTAATATTAACTGCAGTCAACCGAAATTCATACGTACACGGGCCCCGAGGGTGCGCCCGCAAGTATAAACGATGCGAAGGACCTAGAAGAGAGCACTGAAGCCGTGCTCAAGGATTTAGAAACCTCTTATCCTAACGGTGTGGTGGATTACGACGGGGTCGTGGTCGCCTGCTACAGCGTGCACCCGCTCGTACCAGCCATGCAGCACAACCATACAAAGTACCCTAAGGCCGTCACCGGGATTTTTGAGGCTAGTGTCCTGGCAGCCTTATCGGTGCTCGCATACGGCGAGGCATGGGGCATCGTCACGACGGGCAAATTCTGGGAGGAGCACTTAGCTACGGGTGTAGGAAATTTCCTTGGTGCAGAGACAAGAACCCCCGGTGTCGAGAATCCAAAGTTTGCCGGAGTTGAATCGACCGGCCTGAATGCCTCTGACTTCCACCACGGCGTTGATCCCGCCATCGTGAGGCGAAAGCTCAAGGAAGCAACTAAGCGGCTCCTTTCAAAGGGTCACATTCGTTGCATCGTTATGGGATGTGCGGGGATGGCCGGGTTGGAGGACATCATCCGAGAGGCTGCCAATGAAGAAAAGGGAGAGGAATTTGCCTACTCTCAACTACATGTTGTAGACGGCGTCAGAGTTGCCATAATGCAACTCGAGCATACAATCAAATATCAAAGGCTTTTGCCTGGGAAACCATGATAAAAATTAAAATAAAAAGATCTGCCAATTTCATGTAACTAACTGCTATATGCTTGTTTATGCAACTAAATAAGACCTCGTAGCCTATCCTAATCAAGTCGCCGTGTCCGGCCCCAGACTTCGTCCGCATCCTTCTTCCCCTTAGTCTCCGGTACGCGCCAAAGCACAAATAACCCACATAGGACGGCTAAGGCGGTAAATATGAAATAAACCCAGCCGGCACCTCCAAATCGCTCGTTTAGAGCAACATTAATAATCGGGAAGAACTGGGCCACTAAGAACGTAGCAATATAGTTTGCACCCAGACAACAGGACTGGGTCGCACCGACTGCTTCTTGCCCAACTAACTCAGAGGCGAGAATGAACGGTACCGGGCCGAGCCCAACAGCAAAAAAGGCTACGAAGAAAAGAACCGTGATTGCCGAGAGGATCTTAGTCTCGAATAAGATAGACAAGGCCAGCACGAGCGCGCTCGCACCCTGGCCAAAAATCGAAAGGAGGAGACAGGTTTTTCTTCCGAACTTATCCGGCAGCGGCGAACACGCAACAGTTGTGATAAGATTGATGGCTGATATTATGATCGTCAACAATGCCGAGTTAATCGGTAGGAGATCCCGGAGAAGCGACACTGAGTACATGATGATGGAATTGATTCCACACAATTGTTGTGCGCACATGACACCGACGGCTGCAATAAGAGCGGGACGGTATAAGGGGTCTTTTACTACCTCCATGAAGCCGAGAGTCCCGTTGTTCTTAACGCTAGCTTTGCTCGAGGTCGATCCTCTCCTAAGGCCGCCAGAAGGATCGCTGAGAAGTCCCTCTTCCTCTGGGATCACTGCAGCGTCCCCCCACGTAGAAGTCTCCTCCCCGATATCGTAATGTCGTCCTCGGATCCTTTGTAATATACGCCTCGCCTGGGCAACACTTTCATTTGCCGCCAGCCAAACCGGGCTCTCCGGTATTAGCAACAAGCCAAAGCCCTGAACAGCGGCGATAATGATACCGGCGCCCAGGATCCACCGCCATGCGGAGCCATAGCTCAAGAAGTATCCCATAGTCTGCGTAACCAGTATTCCAACATTGATGCTGACCTGTGTCATGGCGCCGAAAGTACCACGTTCGCGGGGAGGTGCTACCTCGCTGATATAAATGGGCACGATGACAGTGGCAGCACCGGCACCAACACCCGAGAAGATACGGCCAACGGCTAGCATAGCAATGGAAACCCCGAGAGTCTCGATGATGGAGCCGACAATATAGAACAAGCTAGTCAGCCTCATGGCCACAAGGCGGCCCTTAGCGGAGGCGATGGGACCACTCCCGAGAGCACCGGCCAGACCGCCGAGTGTAAACATACTCGATACGACGGCGAATTGAGCATCGTCCATAGGTACGCAATCGGGCAGTGCAGAGGAAACAGTGGCTTGGTCATTGTTCGGGGACGACGATGACACGAAGGATAGGGCGGCGGAGAATCGCGATACAAGCTGCTGTCTGACTCGACAGGAGATAACATCTTGAGGTGCATTAAGCTCGGCCTAGAAATTGGTAGGATGTGAGATTAGATTAGTGACAAAAAAACGGCAACCAAGTGGTGAGACTTACAAGATGGAAACCAAACTGCAACGGGCCGAGGGTGCTAATGACGACTAAGAGGATAAGATATGGCGAGACATCTCTGATGCATTGTCGTAGCCCGGAGGACGACGACATTTCTGATGTTGAACCCTGTTCTAATTGAATATGTACCTAGTTAACTAGGTAGTTAGTTAGTTAGTTGCTTGGCTACCTAAGGTAGCTAAATTAAATGACTAGTACCTAAGGTAGATTAGAATAGATACAGGTATTGAAATGAAATATAGAATCGAGGAGGGAAGTTCTCATGATGCTGCAAGTTTATGACAAGTTTATTATGTACATGCGCAGCTTCAGGTGTAGCTTAATGCTTATTGAATAGGTCCCTAACCTTATGTAGGTGTTTTGGGTACCTAGAGGTAGTTGAGGTAGGTATGTGGATGTACCCTGCCTTTTATGTACGGAGATAGGTACATAGATACATGCAAATACACGTAGGACGACAGTTTAATTTAGGTATGGTAGGTAGCACGCACCTAACGCAACAAACCTTATAACAGTCCGTCTAGACTCTAACTATGACTTCCAAATTCCCAATATTCAAAAACGATACAAGTCATACTTATAGGTATACTTTAGTTTTTACCTCTGTAAAAACTCTCCTACATATGTACCTCTTATAATTCATTCGTACGGTTACGGCAACCCATAATCAGGTACGCAAAACCCATGGCAAGGAATCATTAAGTTATGACCATCATTAACATCTCTCAGCCGTTGGAGCCATAGAAGAATATCCACCTGTATACCTTCGTAGTACCAGAACTAGAAAAATAGAATTAGCCGTTTATCACTTTTATAAATGCCATTATATATTAGGTAGGTATTGTATATTCATCATTTTTTAGTTCGCAGAAGGGAAAAGAGCACAGCCAAAAAGGTCAACTATAACAAAAGGGTATAATCCGCACGTACATGTCTGTTATCAAAGCGGTCCGAGATGAACACTTTTGATCCTTGCTGGTAGGCCCAATCTAGCGAGAGAGAGGATCCTTCATCTTTTAGTTTTCCTGGCCGGAGCACTTCGTAGATGGAAAATCGCGTGTCTAAGCGTGTTCTAGGCGCCAGGGGCATCTGAGCGGGTGAGTAACCTTTTGTTAGGGTCTCGTTGATCAGAGGATGCAAGCCTTGTACGGAGTCGTCCGGGCTCGTTCTATAGAGGAGACAAGTCGGATATTGCGATAGGATATCATCGACATCCTTCCACTCTACGAATTTGTCGAGGAAGAATAAGCTAAGACCCGGTGGACTTCTCGCCAATCGAAACTGGGAGTCCAATTTCCCGGAGCGTAATTCGACGTTAAGACCAATGGTTAGCGTCTCAAGTTGTTGGTCTTGGTCCAGAACAGCCAAAGCCAGAGTCTCCAGCTGTGTATGCATCGAGAGATCGTATTCTATGCTGACATGTCTCACTGACAAGCACGCTGCTAGAAAAATTGGATACGGCAGCTCTCGAGTACCGGTACTCCAACGTCGTGGTTCTGCCCATTCGAGAACGTCGCTCTCCACGTTGAACTGCGTGATTCTAGAGCTGCTACACATAATATCGAGGGCCATTTCGTCCACCGATTGGGTTCCTAGGGATCGTCTAACGGTATCCCTACCAATCCGAAGCGGCTTGTAACTCTTTATGACCTCTTGCCGCGCCTCGTGGTTAACCAGGGCTAGACGAGGGAGAGGCGGTATTCTTTCGTCATAGATGATGCGGTAGTGAACCTGCACCCAATCTGATTCTGTTGCGGCATTCCAAGCGTCTAGGTCTAACTTTAGCCTCGCCGGGACGAAGCGATGCGGTATGGCAAGACGCCATATCTTATAGCGAAGCTCGGCGGGGAGGAGGCGAAACTGCGGAAACGAAGAGATCATTGTGAATACCTAAGGTATCCATCTAAGGTTAGGTAAAGGTAGATATCAGAATAATCAGTTAGATTTCATCTTAGAGGGGTTAGTAATCTCAATCCTCTTGGTTTCGCTATCAGCCAATCAACATTAATCTTCTCAGTAACGACTTGGTTGGATTACGATTGTCACCACCCTTTCTTTTTCCTACTTTATCCCTTCATCCGTTGAAAACTTACCTATGATAAGCATCTTCTAATATGTTTTTCTATCACGTCGAATATTCTTAGCACGGGAACGGTGCGCTGGCATACTGAAGTTGTGCTGCTGGCCTAACCTAGAGTTATGAATAAGAGGTTTGTTTAATAGACAAGCGAAAACGCTGCACGCCGAAAACTTGGTATTGGTTGAAGCAGTTCCTCTTCTTTCAGATTCCAACTTAACGTTAACCACAATTTGACCCTTTTATTGCCCACGCGGACCTAGTCAACCACGTCTCTTTTCATAATCATATCGATATTAGCCGTAGTTTCGATAATCTTTGGCCGACCTAGTTACGCCAGTGTTCGCCTACTCCGAAATGTCCGGCAAAGATTATACATGTGTTTATGGTTTACCTACTCGGTGTCACTCCCCGGACGACTCGGTACCCATTGTACGGGGGCACGTTGAGCCTCGTTGTCTTCGGTTTCGTTCACGCCGAACTTGGTCATGCTGAATTCCGGCAAGCGCTTCTGCTCTTTCCGTAATACGCCGCCGTGCTTTAGCCTGCGCCGTCTCAAGATCTCCATCTCCTCGGCCTTCTTAGCCTTCTCCTCTTCCTCAGCCAGCATCGTACCTTCGATACTTAGGTATCCGTAATCGCCGCTGATACCAACTTCGAAATGCTTGATCCGGAAGTAGATCTTAACTCCTCCTCGTATTCTCTTCCCGGTTTCATTTACCCAGTAACCGGTAGTGTGCATCTGAGTGGTATCGTCCTCGGGGTTCTCAATGGGTTCGGGCGTCGGGAGTTTGGCTTCCTCGGCTGTCTTCTCCCTGTTGGCTTTCTTACTCTTGCTTCTGTCTTTGCCTTTATCTTTGTCTTTGGACAACAAATCAACCCAGCGCCAGCCGTGAGGTAATCGCGCTGCTTCGATAGAAGCATTGAACATATCCCAGCAGACGACTCCAATATGGCCCTCGCCTTGTAGATTCACTATACCTTCCATGGACGCGCCTCGAGATGGACGAAATATGTCCACGTCGACCGTCAACCACCCAAAAGCTACCGCATATTCGTTGATAGACTCAAGCAGGACGGTCTCCTTCGTCTTGCTTTTTTCAGTCAGTGACCCCCTACCTGGTGCCTCTCCAATGCGGGGGTTTCGATAAGCTAGTAGAACACCACGAAAGCTTGGGACGTAGCGATTAAGCAGAGGTCTCAGATGCTGGTCCGCGAACCCTTCTATCGGCTCGGTTAAACCTGATGGGAATAGAGGGAGGTACTGTGAAACGGTCTGTGTGAAGAAGGGGTATTCGCTGGCCGCCGGCTTTTGTCCGAATTCGTCAGAACTAGAAGTCTCGGCTGGAACTGAGTCGATGTCCATAGATTCCGGTTCGGGATCCTCTGTCTCTTGGTCCTGTGCCGTTGGAACTGGTTGACTATCTGGAATGACTGACGACTCCACATTGATCTTGTCATGTTTCTTCTTATGTTCCTTTGACTTTTTCTTGTCCTTTTTGGAGGTGTTTCCGTCCGCTGAGCCATGTTGCGCTATGTGTTGCTCATCTGTCTTGTCTATAGTTTGGTCCCTATCCTTATGCCTTGGCCTCTTCTTCTTCTTTCCTGCTTTGCTGTCGTTGCCGTTTGCTTCGGTCTCTAGTATAAGTGCGTCGGGCGACTTGGACTCTATCTGAATTGGATCTTGGGGCTCTGGAGCAGGGGCATTGCTGCTGCTTTTGGATTTCTTGGGCTTTCGCTCGTTGCCCTCGGTACCATCGGCTTCGCGGTGTCGTTTATGTTTCTTATGCGACTTGAGTTTCTTGTCGGGCGGCGACGTGAGTGTTAATGCTGCGTTGTCTGCCATTGCGCAGGGGGGTGGGGGAGTTAGCGTGAGCAGAAGCTGGAATCAAAATATCAGAATTGAGTATGATTATGAGCTCATGATTATTATGGTAGAATTAAAAAAGTGAAATTTTCACATTTAATTGAGCTAGCTGAAATGCGCCGGCATGGAATTGCAAGGGGACTCTGAACCGTAAATTTTTTTCCTTTTTCTTTTTTTTCGATGACCGATTTTTATCGATAAGCTTGTTAACTATTTTCAGCGGGGCATTCCGACTTTCATCGCGATATAATATGTAACTTAGGTACCTACCAACCATATATGGCATCAAAACGTACACGCTGGACATATAGATACCTGAGAGGTACTTAATTCAACCACGGCTTATATTTATTATATATAAAATATAATATCTTGTTCATATAAATATATAATTACCAATTTATATAGTTTGTCGCTTTTGAGTTAGTTATATGTACAAGTCAGGCTGGTGTAAGTGAAGCATTAAGATAGCACTCTTAACATGCGAACCCGTAACCGCAACCTTAGGTAACAATTATATGGTGAGAGACGTATATTTAGGCACCCAGATACCTAGTAATATCTGAATGAATGATGTGCTATATATTTGTCCTGCCGCGTTCTGGTTATCTATAGGATATCTATAACTAGGAAATATCTATAAGATAATCAACCATGGGCAAGCATGAGAATAATTTACCCCCATGTAGAACAGACCTCAATATCCTTTCCCGCTAATAGCCCTCTCCACAACAGTACTCAATGGCTCCATGTCTCCCGATGTAAGACCCAATATCTCATTATCAGTCTTGTCATATAGTGTACCGCCTTCAGCCCAGATACGTCTCAGCGTGTACAGCGTTGCAATCGGATCGTTGGCATTCCATTTTTCATTCTCGATCTCGCGAAGCTTTTGATTTGGTGTATGGTCGACCGTCCACTTTGACCCAGTCTGCTTCTCAAATTCTGCCACGATATCGTTCGGTGTCGTAACAAACGATTGGACTTTGAGGACTTTCCCCATCGATACCTCGGGGTGCCGGAGAGCCGCAACCACCAGCTTACCAACGCTACGCCATGTTAGCGGGATGAATCGAATAGTTACTGCTGCTTCGCATGAAACTAAGAAGCTTACTCGGGCATGCTTGTGAAGCCAACCTTGCCGTCTCCGCTTCCAATGACAACAGCCTTCTTCGACTTGGCATCGTAACCTCCGGCCTCTTTGGCTATTGGCGCAAGTCTCAAATACATCTCGATATACGGACCAGTTACAACGTAAGTGCACTTGACTTTCTTCAAATTCTCACGGACAAATTCTCGTACTCTCAGCTTGTTCTGGTGCGGCTTTTCATTTTTACTAGAAGCATCGTATTCGATATCCGTGCCATATTCGCTAGGGAAAAACCACTGCACGTTGCTCTCTTCCGCAAGCTTTAGCAGTTCAATTTGACTAGCTAGTGCATTTCTTCCCAAGCACGAGACAACCGTATCTACGCCATTGTAGGCATTTCGAATATCATCAGCGTTGCTAAGATCGCCTGTGATGATTGACAACCCCCGAGACTTCCATGACGATAGTATGGCCTCCTTGTTTGGGTTGGATGCCGTGGCAGGCGACGTGAAGATGGAAACTTGACGACCAACGCGAGGGTCGGCTGAGAGTATAGCCTCGGTAATGTATTTACCAATAGTACCTGTCGCCCCAATGATTAATATATTGGATGGAAGCTGGTTCGCCATAGCTAGGACTTGACCGATACGTAGGAAATATCACGATAGTACGTAAACCTTCGTGTTAACTACGTGTAGGTAGGAGGACATAAATCACGATATTAAATTGCGGGGTAGTTCTTTTCGCCCGAAGTTAGCCGCCCATACATAGGTAGGTTTGTTACCTGCATATTTTACGAACTATTAGAAATTCAGGTCTGTCATAATTATTAGTCTGGTTGGACACTAAAGATTCGTAATGCTTTAACAGCTTTTATAATGGTCTTTCGGCAGGGGCGAAAAGTTGTTCCTGGAGCTTTGACTTCGATGCTTGAGTTTGCTTAGATCGATATTATTTCATTACCTACCTGTTAATTGTTATCATTTATATATATATAAATATAACTTTAGAGCAACAGGGAACTAACTTTAAACCGCCGCTTTATATGGACACTCGTGTATAGACTCAAAAAGGGGAAGCGGAATATATCAGCCTTAAGTGATACGTCGGATCCGGCCGATCATTGGCAGAACTAGGCGGGATAGGAGGTCCGGTAAACTGGCCACGGGCAATGATCCGAAGAACCATACATGGACGTGGCTTACGGTGGACCTGGACGATGAAGTCATGGCATTACACAATTGGCGACAAGCTTTTATGCCACGAATCTCTGGGGTAAGACTGGGGTAAATCCTGGGGATACCGTGGTAGGTATACATATCTCCTATACTCGTAAGATATGTGTACGATAAATCATCCTATACCCCGCCTCTTTTTCCTGATCATTTAAACGTTAGGTATATACGTATACATCATATGGATCGCTTCGTTACTTATCAAGTAGTATTTGTGTATAAACCTGCTTCTTTTCTGAGTCTGGCTGTGTAGTATTAACTTCGGACTTAGATCGACATAAAACGTTCTGCAGGTACCACTGAGCTGATCCCGCCCTCTTGGAACGGCATCCTTGCTTTTAACGGATAGGTAGATAGAATGGAAATAGAATGGACTGGGGGCAGCGTACATTGACGACATGCTATTTCATGGATCATGTCGATCCTTGAGTTCCGATTATTCAACTCTGATTGATGCCGGCTGAGCCGTCTTCGCCAGTACATGCCATTCCTCTGACGGCTCTGATAATGTGGCACACCAACGGCCTTTCGGAGCTCTTTGTCCGCTGAATGTGGGTAGAACTACGTGATAAGACGATCTGAAGTTATGTTGCCTCTGTAGGACTCATAGATTAAGCACTATACACTATCAGCAATACGACGAGAATATGATCCCCATCGTACGTCTTCCAATCGAATCTGCCGGCATTGTAAAGACCAAGAACGTCAACTACCGACAATGTGGATATCTCATGTCGGGTTATCATCTAGCCTAACGAGCGCTTGCAGGCTCGCGCTCTAGAACTTCATGAAATATGTAGACATGTCGAATTTCGGGGGCCATACTAGGAGGGAGTAATATATCGGACATGGGCGACGAGTGGCCTGTAAGTGTTTCGATAAAACCTTTCTTGGGAGCTTTAAAAAATTGGCACACCTTGATATTTCGTCACCCTTTGCGAACGCTTTACGGATCCCAATTCCCGACTTCGAAACGACATTGAATTATGATCGAATATATTTCTAGAATATTAATCCACATGGCTGCCGGTCCATATCTATTACACAATTTAAACTACTTTCTCCGACCAGTCCCGACTTTGGCAACGTGACAGTCTCGCTAGTAGGGCAGCGCGTGTGTTGTTCTAGACCTTTAGGTGTCGAATGAGGATTGTCTAGGCTATGCGAAGCCGCAGGTTGAGCTGATGTAAAAACGAGGCACTTATGGGCCTCGGATACTTCCAGGTCAAGCGGGCACAGTAATGATACAGTGTAGGTATTTTAGAGTGATTCCTATTTTAAACCTCATTGTAGACGTCATTCCCTCATCATTTACATCATTGTATAATACACTAGGTAATCCTTCGTTTGTAAATGCGTGTTGTTTGTTCCTATATTGGCCACTTTCTACAAAGTGGAGGCGAAATTCAAATGCTTTCTTAAAGGAACCGAATGGAGAAGAATCCTGATATTAGTAAAATGTACGGCGTTTCCATTATCATGTAAATGGTTTGGCAACCTTCGACTCCGACAGTGAGGAGAGAACGCTACTTATCTATGTAATTAAGGAGCATCGTACAGTTATCCTGTGTCTCTATTGGAGCGTGCTGAAGCAGGTTTTAGCAACACTGTGTTAGATGCACATATCGTTACAGATCATCCCTATCATCCCTACAAAGTCTGATCCCTACATAATACACTACATATATCTGCATTACAGCATTACAGGGTACTATCCCTGCCTATAATACATACTTCTCCACACCTTCTCCAGAGATTACCTGGGTACAAGCTCCTGGATTTCAATCAATAAAGAAAAAGCTTCCATCGGTTTACGGAACACTGGCATGCACACCATCAGCCACCTAGCTTCATACACTATGCACTTTACCTTTACCTACCGAAGCTTCTTCTCACGCCAACGAGATACTACTTGAGCTCTAAATGTCGGGACGAAACGCGCCACCATCAGATGTTATATTGCTATTCGTCCAACGTGAACCAGTACAATCATCTTTCTGTTTTGCCTCTTCTGGAAATCCATATCTTCAATAGTCTAGGTGTAATTGCGCTTTCTATAGCTGCGTCCGCCCGGATAATTTTACTCATGTATGATGTATCCTCGGCAAACTCGCTAATAAAAGGAGCTCAAAGATCCTTTACTCGCTCAGTTGCCTTGAAGCGTTTGAGTAACATAATAATAAGTGACAGGTCAGCATCGCATACATACCTCATACCTACCTACCTAGTTTATCCCGGTTTATCCTACCCTGCTGGTAGCACCGCTTTTACAGCTGCTGAGTTGTATAATATTGACATCAGCCTTTGAAATATCGACGCCATCGTTTAGTTTGGTTGGATGGTTCTAACGCTTAACCAGCTAACCAAGCCTTGAGTCCGGTCTCGACCCTGCTGGCCCCAATAATTTACCTGCAATCACGTCGTCGAGCCCCTACCATTTGCAAACGGGGAGCTTCAGCTTTTTTCGTCCACTTTACCGCAGTAGTAAACTTGCTACAAACACGGCCGAGTCTAGTCCAGCAACGGGAAGAACCAACGGTTTCTGAGCTAAACACCGCTATTCCTCCAGCTTCTACATAACCTCCACCCTACCAAATTTGAAATATTTTATTAATCGCTATATTGGCGATTTTTATGCGCTTCGCCATCGTTTACGCCACTCATCTTTTGTATTCGTCTCGACGAGATCGTAATAGGCGTTTGTGTGCTTCCGTCGATAGTGCTTATTTTTCTATTACGTCTTATCTTCAACATCCGCAAGCCAGCCATCCCCCATTAGCCTTTGGAGGTTTCTGAGCTAGATTTCCACTATCCCCTTTAATGCTCCCAAGCTCCTAGAGCTATCTACATACATTACACTACATAAAACCGCTCGACTCCACACATCCACACCTCTACACATCCATACATCCATACATTCTCACATACATTAAGAGCTATACACCATACGAAATCGGGTGCTCCCGATAAGTTTCCTCAATGTGCCACCGGCAACACGAATACTTGAGCAATCTTGGTGACTTACAGCATCTCTAAATTGCTTAACAACGAGCCGGAGATCAGATCGGCAAACTCAATTTATCGGCTATTTCTGGCGGCTTCAACCTTGGTGTGCCCTGAGAACCACTTCACATCATTTCCTGATATCTGCTGCACGGAAGTTTTTTTGGTGTCGAACCCCGGTCTGAAGGCAGTCTCCCAGAAATTGCAGCAACCCGGGAAATATAATAATCTAAAGGGTCCCTCCCCCCTGTCTTGGTTTATAAACCCGACAGCATCAGCCCAATTGTTCCTTACATTTTCAACCTCATTTAGGAACGTCGTATTTCACACCGATTATCCCGCATTCTTTTCTTAGAAACTCCTAGAAACTCGAATACTTGTGCTATCGTCTGTAAAAAGGAGACGACGTTGCAATTGTGATCGTCAGATCGACAGGACGCCAGAACATTTACACGGAAGCTGGCCCGTCGTTCACGCTCCGAGACGAAAATCCACCAAGTCCACTTACATCCGGCACTATCCCACCGCCGATCGATTGGTAACTCGACAGCTCAACTCGTGTTCCATTCCTCCATTTCCCCATTCCCGCCAATTTGGGCACACCCTCAATTCAATGCAGCTCGCCGTTAGACACATAATACGTATTAAACATGTTCTATCGCGACATCAACATGCATTACACAGATGAGCCGATGGAATCGGGACCTGATTCGGTTTCGTATCACAATATGGACTTCGCTATGCATAAGTACCTCTTATTGCAGAACCAGCACGAAGAGCTTCGGCAACATATGCATGATCTCTGTCCTTCATATACGACGACGTCTTCTACTGCAGTTACTTCGCCTTCGGTCTCGCCCACCCGGGCATTTATTGGTAGCCCGCTCTTTAAGCTCTCTCCTTCGCCCTCACGGAACCATCGAAGATCATCGTTATCGTCTAATAGGAGCTCAGGATACCGAGGCTCGCAGACTCAGCTAGAACCGGTGCTAGACGAATCGCTGATCGAGGAGATGGCGGCAGGTGAACAGAAGCTCTTCGACGTGAACGAAGGCCTCAAGAGGGCCCTGACGGAGCTGCTTAACTGCGAGACGGTACGGAAAGACCAAGAAATGAGAACCTGGGTGCAGACGCGATTAATGGACACGGAGAGAGAGCTGCGTAGCGGACGAAGGCGGCGGAGCCACAGTGGTTCCGACTAAGTGGGCGAAGAAGGAAAAGGGCTTAAGGGATGGGAGTGAAGTGTGGAAAAGTTGGTTAATTTTAAGTTGGGAAGGAAAAGAAAAGTATTAGACGGACCATGTTGGATCAGGGGTTAAAGGAATATTGGGTTTAGGCTTGGGAACTCGATACCTATTTGAATTCGGATGGCGTTTCGGGAACCTGGCAGCCAGTTCTGTGCGGCATATCGTCAAGGTTTATCTGAAGTATCTCATCGTCGACTTAGCGATGAAATTCTTCTTGGCCGCCTGGTGAGAGATGGGCGTTCCATAAGTTCTTTTTTTTTGTTTTTGCTTTTTGGGAAGGACGCTATAAATGGGTCGAATATTGTTTAATCGAAGTTTTCCGTGAAGGATGCAATTTTGAGATTCAAGGATATATTTACATATTGAACCAAGACCAAAAATACATATCTAACTTATATACTTACCTATACATAGTACTTCACTACTGTAATTGAAAAATGATTATGGTTTACATATTCAAATCGTGCCAATTACATAGTATAAGAGACGACCCAAGTTGTGATAGCTTCAATGTTTTCAGTCGATGCTAATGGAAAATTCCATGTATTATGCACCTAAATGTACGCGGGGTTAGTATGGATTCGTACATGAACAATATCTAAGTGCCTTGTACTAGGTACCTATTTCCCCAATTGAAGATCCAATGCTAGCCTAGGTACGCAGCCACAGAACCACACAGCCACAGACATCCGGGTAGAACTCAAAGTGCGTCACGGCTTAAGCTGTCAAGGTTCATTCTTTGCCTTCGCGTCTTCAATCCTAACTTCATCCGCTTAAAGGCCTACCTTCTAAATACGACCCCTCCTCCTTCCACCTTCTAACGCGCTTCTAATTTACCAGAATCCGACTCATTTTGTGTTATGCATTATTGGTACCGTCTCGTCTTGATCACAGCGCCCTAACAGAAAGGATAAAGAAAAGATGTCGGTCTTGCTCGAGACGAGCGCCGGCGACATAGTGATAGACTTGTTAGTTGATTACGCGCCAAAGGAATGCGAAAACTTCATAAAACTTTGCAAGGTCAAGTACTACAACTTCTCGCCTATACATTCTATCCAACAGAACTTTTCCTTTCAAACTGGCGACCCTCTTGGCCCTACCTCTGCCGCTTCTGATGGCGGCTCCTCTATATGGGGTCTCATCTCCGGGCCCTCCAAGAAAACATTTAGCGCTACATTTCACCCAAAGTTGAGACATCTCGAGAGAGGCACTGTCTCCATGGCCACTGCTCCACATCCATCCGACCCTGATGCTCGTGTTGCTGGCAGCCAATTCATTGTTACACTCGGTGACAACACAGATTATTTGGACGGAAAGGCGGCTATCTTTGGCAAGGTTGTCGAGGGCTTTGACGTACTGGAGAAAGTCAACAACGCCATTACTGACAAAGATGGCCATCCGCTTGTTGATATTCGCATAAAACATACAATTATTCTTGATGACCCCTACTCCGACCCGTCCGGCCTACGAGAGCCCAGCCAATCACCTCCCCCGTCCCAAGCACAGCTCGCTACGGTTCGAATCGCCGATGATGCGCCTTTAACCGAAGAGATAGACGAGGAGGCGGCAGAGAAGGTGCGACGTGAGAGGGAGGCACGCGCCCAGGCTTTAACCCTCGAGATGATGGGTGACCTTCCATTTGCCGAAGTCAAACCTCCCGAGAATGTACTTTTCGTATGCAAGCTCAACCCCGTGACCACCGATTCCGACCTTGAGCTTATATTCAGCCGTTTCGGTAAGATTTTATCGTGCGAGGTCATACGCGACAAGAAAACAGGAGATAGCCTACAGTATGCCTTCGTAGAATTCGAAGACAAGGGCGCATGCGAAGCGGCTTATTTTAAAATGCAAGGAGTGCTCATTGACGACCGAAGGATACACGTCGACTTTAGTCAGAGTGTGAGCAAGTTGGCCGAGGTCTGGAGGGGAGGGGAAAATGCGAAGAGGAAACGCAAGCGTGAGGGCGGCGGATGGGGCGGTGTTAAGGAGCTGGAGAAATGGAGGAAGTACAGGGAAGAGGATGGCCGCGAAGATACCGAGGATCATTACAACATGGTTTACGGGGAGGAAGAAATGCGCGGCCGGCACAGGCGACAGAGAGACGGTCGAGATCAAGATGATAGGCGGGCCCGAGATCCCGACCGCTTCGGGGATAGAGATGAAAATAGAAACCGTAGCGATGCGGATCGAGCCCGACGCCGGGACGGTGGGCATGGGCGCGACCGGGATGGAGCGCCGCAGTCGCGAAGTAGAAGCCCAGTGAGAGACAAGCCTCGAGATAGGAATCGGTACGATGACCACCGAAGGGATAATCGCGCTAGGTACCGACATGACGATAGACGTGGAAAAGATCAAGAAAGAGATCGGCCTCGTGATGAATATCGGCGGAGGTAGCCTGAATCCACTACCTCATACGGAACGACTGTTATATCGAGTATGTGGATTTAGTTAATTACCAGGTACCTACCTAACCCATCTAAATCAAGTTTACGGAGCCGTGTTCTAGACGTACCTACTCAGCGTTATATACGAATGGCATGAAACAAGCGTGTCTTTATAGTATGGAGACAACCCGATTTGGATAAAAGGAGAAAGCTAATACACTTTAGAACACACAACTATGTACGGGCGTAGTGATTGCGCGTGTAGCTTGGTATAGGATATTCGTTCTATGTACGATTGATGTTTTCCCTATCCCTTACGTTTCTTATGCATTCGGTAGCGAGTACCGGAACGAGCCGAACCGTCTTTATGTATTTGGCTTACATTTAGACCGTGTGGCCCAATGGGCATATCGACGTCGTTCTCTACTCTCGCCAAAGCTCCTGCTCTAACTACATTAAGTGTAAGTAGGGAGTTGGGTTCATTCCATCGCTCGCCCCTATCGAAAGTCCCTTTTATCGCCGTACAAAACAGTCAAATATCAGTCTAATATGGCGTGACGAGATGCGGCCTCGGCTATATGATGGTGGCAATGTCGCTGGTCTCCATAATTGTATTGTATTCTACGGGATGGGGCGACGGTTTTGGAAACTCGGACGCCAGTATAATCCTTCCCATTCACCTACTCGATCAATGCCAACAAATAAATGCTTCTAAGGCAGTTCACCTACTCTGGGAGAATATTCTCAAGTCGAAACAAAGCGATGCAGCTGGACATGCCCATTTGCAGCGAAGAGATACACAGAATTCGGCTATCTTGCATCGCTATACTGAATGGTTAATATGCGGAAGACTGTATCAACCACGCGGAGGATTGACAGTCTATTCGAAGTGGTAACTACTGGCTAAAACCTAGGTTTAAAGCTTCGTTGCTATCTTGTTCAACGTATGACATATCCTATAATCCTCCTTCCCGGTTACACCGATGCCGCTGTCACCCGGCAGCCGTCTTCTATCAGGCATCGAGGAAAGAAATCAGTGACGCCTCCAAGGAAAAATATTATCGACGATGTTCATTTGAATCACGTCACTAAAATGAGTCACCACAGACTAGAAGGGAAGATAGGAAATGCCAATGCGATCACGAATAACCGGAGTCGGGTATGTGTAGAGACGTGTTTGCTGCCGTTATCAAGACTACAGCAAACTAATATGGCACTGACTGTAAGCGTTGGTCTTCTCACCAACATACCAAGACTATGGCTATCGCTTCACTTCAGCTAGCATGGGTCATCCGTATCTATAAAGACTGGGGGAGTGTTGCGAGTATACACATGAACCCAGGCAGCCCCCCTTATGAGCTTCGATTACCCGCAGACTAGAAGCCTGATGGAACAATGGAAGGCGGCTCGACGATGCAAGTGGCTCGTGGCTTGCCGCTGGTCGCCATCATGCAGGTTTGAAAGTATCTCAGTATTTGCTTTTTAACCGCCTACTATTGATGCTAGTAAACCGTATGCATTGGGTAAATCTACTGCCGTTTTCTCATGCCATGTTAGGATCAAAACTGGCGTAAGAAAAGGACAGCTCAAGCTGATAAACGGCGTAGCTATTTTATACCTTGTTTAGCTGTTCACCTCCCTAAACATATATCATATATTTACGAGTTCCTCCCGGGGTCCTAGGTTATTATGCTGTGGCAAGATTCTCTGGCCAGGATTGGCGGAGCTCTACATACGCAGGTAAAGGAGACTTAGGTATGTCGGACGGCATAGGAGACGACATGGGAGACGACATGGGATAGTCATGAGCTTGCAACAGGCCGTCTTTCCCGAGGTGGGGGTGAAGTCATCAACCTACTAGGATGCGAGGTTCGCGAGTTGATGTCCTGTTACTTGTCGTGCCACGAGGCGTTCCTGGAATTCTAATCCGAGCCGAAAGACCCTAATACTGCCTACCTACCCAACGCTACCTAGCTTTCAGAACACCTACGACCGATCGATACTACTCTTTATCTAGCATGCGTTATCGTCCGGAATTGGAATACAGGTTTTCTCCTTAATAAGGTAATAAGGTACCTTTCGACGCTGGCTGCCTCTAAGACCGTTTTCTGCAAGGTCCCCAAGTTCGCGTGACAATATTTTCATAGCACTTTCTAGATGTCTTGCTAAACCTAGCCCTAAAGGACGTTCACCACTTCAAGCATCGAATATATGTCTCCACTCTCCTGTCTTAGCCTGATATCGGCTGTCACTTTTGTAGGGGATCGTTATTGCAGCTAGAAGACCCATCATAAATGTCCAGCCGGGAGTTGACGTACTTTCCCGTCCTCGTCAATTTGAGACTATCCATTAAGTTGGATCGGAACTCCGACTCTACTCTACGAAGCAAATGATGAGCTTTGAAAAGAGCTCCGAGAGTCACACAAAGGGGAATGGATATAGACCATACCCACAGCAACTTGTGGGGATGATCGATTAATCTCACTATAGATAGATTCAGATCTTTCAATTTCAGAGCCGATCCGTTGCCAAGTTAACACTTGAATTAGTAGTGTTTATTGTCTATTTTGACGTACTGGCGTGACAATGGCTCTGTCGCCTATCCTTCTCGATGGCTAGGATATGGAGGGTGGCTTGCGAGGAAAATCGAGTAGTCGCCAATGCTCATTTCTGGGCCTAACTTGCAAGTATATCTGTTCTAGTAGTATAAAGGGCCAGAATGGAACCAAAAATTCAAGGAGATGATCAGTATAGATAGTTTACAGATAGGCTTTTCGCCACAGTACTGATTTTGGACCTTGACCCCTAAGTCTCGTCCAAAGACTAAACCTAGGTACCTACCTACTCCAAGGCCTACTGTCGACTGGCATCATGGCAATTTGAACCCCCAAAATGTCTCGCATACTGACGGACACGTTTCAGCCAATGATATAGCGGTAGGTAGCACGAATAACGGCTACCTGCAGCTTCTTATAGATGACTGACAGCGGGGACATGCACGCAACCGTGTAGCTGGAAGGAAAAATTTCCGCTGCTAAGTTCTGGCACCTATTATCTCCCAACTATGAGGACCATGTGCCTTGCCAGTGACATGTGTACTCTTGCCCGCGTTTCCACTGTGTTCGGAAGCTTGATGAAAGACAGTAGCACTTTGGCTTAACTTATTCCGCACCCAGTGTGTATGATACGGACTGGCTGGAACTACCATGGGGATGAAAGTTTTTATTGTCATATATCATATATAGAACGTGCCGACAAGATCCAAGTCCACTCGATACGGATTGCCCTTGTTGAGAGATGCCCCGGTCCCGTGGTTTCCATGCTCTCGTCCTTCAACTAGGGATCCCAACTTGCCACAAGGAGGCCATGATCCCCCCAAACATATCCCGATTAAGTACTCGTAGATACTTATTTAGGAAATAACCTCTTTTCAGCCCTATTATATACTCGAAAAGCAAAGCTTCACCCGTTGACGATATGCCAGAATAATCAATAGTTTATTTGAGGCGCCTCCTGGGAATGGCTTATCGCAAAATCGACGAAACGGCATTTTCTAGTATAGTCTAACTGTAAATCGAGACATCCAGAGGAGGACCTCAATTTTAGTCAAACAAGGATTAGCATCGCGTATCTATAATCTACATGGCGCATCCCGCAGGTGTAGGTACGGGGTGCTGCTCACTTATCATGCAGCTGGACTATACATACATCTAACAATCTGTGCGAGACATCATTTTTCTCTGCATGCGGGTGGTTTGCCCACCAAGCGGGCGACATATGACTGGATGGGGCCGTCAAATCGGATCTCTGACCAGCCTCATAGGCTTATTGATCTACTATAGACCCTGCTAATCTATACGATTCATACAAGAAAAAAATGATAGGTCACCGACAGAGCCGTTGGAATCGACTGAGGCACTTATCGTCACTTGCTGCAGGAGCAATCTCTTGCAGAATATTTCCTCACCCCCGATGGCTCATGGTAATATTGAACTTCCCTGCTACCTTCGGATGTCTCAAATTTACTGTTCGCATAGCAACGGTACGGGGACTAGGTACCTACATCTAGGTCAGTACTAAGCCAAGTAGATCAACGCGCTCTGCCACCAATTTGGGGGTACGGGATGGGCGGTGCTAAAACCGAGAATACTCCAAGGTACTACTAGGGGGAGAGATGCTCGTGTGACAGTGTCTGGATCTACAACGCTTAGAGGGAGTCTCGTTTGCGTTGTGCTAGGGTTAGGAAGTGTGAGAGAGCCTTCCATGTACTCTGCAACTCATCTTGGGTGGTAACTACGGGCAAACACGAAATATACCTACCTGACAGTCGATTACTTTGAACCTCTATCCGACTTTCCTGCTGCCCTTTCTACTCTCATAGCTTCTTCTATCTTGCTCCGGGAGCGAAAGAGGATACATCTAATCCCTGAAGAATCTATTATGGGAATGGTCTTTGCGCCTCGTTAGACCGGATGGAGCGGCTGTGGCTTCATGTAGGCTTGGCTAGGCCGGCGTAGAAGAAACAAAACCTTTCTGTCATTTTTCGTTTGAGACCCTCGCCATCTACCCCGCTAAATATTCTAAAGCAGGAGAATACCGCGGTACTGTGAATCGAAAATGGCAAAGGGGAGACCAGCCGAAGACCTCATTCTCATTTTCGCTCTCTTTTGGTACTTTCCCCCCCTTCCCCCTTTCCACCGTGCCGTCACACCAAGTCCCCAATACACGTATGCAATAGGTGACGAATAACTGCGTCACGTAGGTAGGCGCTTATTCTTAAGTGTCTCGACATTGGGCAGCACTGATCACTCACTCTCAGTTCTTATGGCGAGCAGAGTCATCCCATTGTCTTACCCGACGTTTGCGTCCTCAGTAGGACGAGAGCCGTTGGTCGAAAGTAACCTCCATGGTGTTTGCTATGGCGATCTTCCGCAATATCCAATGATTAACTACTCGTTACCTGATCTGCTGCCCCCCTCCACTTCACGCAGGAGACTGGTTACTTGGACATGGGGGATGGCTTTGTCGAAGTTACCTATATCATTCTCAGTTGATAGATCGTGTATCAAAATTTTTTGATATCTTATTTCATAGTTTAAGATACTTATAATTCCCCTACTAGTATGACGTCTTGTGATGGAGACTGAAGCCGAGACGTAGATGGTAGACTATCAGGAGCGCACTAACACCATATCCCTCCATGGAGCACGTGTACCTAGACCTCGGTCTTGTAGCTAAGAATATAGAAAGCATCTTGGGGTAGCCTAGTCTGGTACGAATAAAATATGCCGGTCTCAGTATATGAGGCCCACCTGGTTCGCTACATCATCTATATAGATTGCATCGAGATTGGTTGTTCACCAAGCCCCAACTCCAGATGGCCTTGCCCCCCCCCTGGGAGGATCGTACTGCCATTTTACCTAACCTCCCCACCGGCATTATAGGGGTACCAGCTGTTTGTCTAGGTCTTCCTCCCCCTTTCAGAGTGAAACGAAGCACGTTGGACTAGGTTGGAAATACAATTCGACTTAGAGTACACATGGCTAACCTAGAGTTTTGCTCAGCATGCAGCAGTCATGCATCTAACCGTCCCTCTACTTGTACCCTTGAGCCCGTGTAACAAAGCTAGACTAGTCGACCTCATAGTTGTGGATAGACATCTCGATGTGACACCTGCTGTGTTATGAACCAAGGGCAGAATGACAAGTACTCAACAAATATCTACCCTGAAGAGCTTCGTAACCCGGTTGCAAACAGTAATATTAAGGCATGCCTGCTGGGAAAGTTGTACGGGATTATAACAGTCACAAAACTTGCAGCTTCTCAATTTCCCTTCTTGTCCTTTTCGGTGGTGATTTACACGAGTCGTTTCCTCTCGCCTCTGCAAACTGCCAAGTTTGATCAATTCTCTAATGAAACATCAGAGTCTGACAAGACGATAGGGACCCATCAAAAGCTCGAACCTCTCATCACGCTGAGATTCTGGAGCTGAAATAAGTTTAGTGAAAACCAGCTGTCGGACAGCCTGGCCCCTGTTCCTCTCTCTGTAGAAAGAGGGCTCATTGTTCCTCTCATCAATCTCTTTCCTGCAGTCGCAGAGCAAAACAAGGGACCCCCTCTCCGTTGACGCAATTCCGATAGGACGGGGACGGACTGAACACCGTCCTTGTCTCTCACGCACCCGGCCGCGCGAATTCGAGCTGTGGCAAAAATACAATGGTCACTCCGGCTTGCTATTCCCCCAGCGACGCTGGCAGGCGATATAGTCGTGCTTGTCCTCCATACCCGAGCCCATACTCGGATAGACGCTATCACCTCACTACACAAGACGCTCGATCATCAACTATGACAGATCGTGAAATAGACTCCGAGTCATCACAGCCTCGGAAGAGGATCGCGGTAGCAGTAAGTCAGATATAGCTATCTTTAATCCTGCTTGGCTATAGGTAGCTAACTAGAAACCTTCCACGTGAAGTGCGGTCGATGCCGCAAGCGCAAGATCCGATGTAGTGGCGACCCCGGGAACGGGCTCCCATGTTCCAACTGCAAGAACGCAGGCCATGAGCCGTGTCTCTTCTTACGGGTAATCCTCCGCCGATCATATCAAGAAAGAAAAGAAAAAAAGGAGCACGAGAGAACATGGAGAAACATTTCTAACTTTTCTGATGACTGTGCAGGTTTCTTCAACTGAAACTCACCTTAGGCATGACAGCAACGACTTTGGGTACAACCTCGACGCGGCTAGGCCATACAGCAACCAATCGAGGGTAGCCGTATCTCATTTAAGCTCCGTCCCTCAGTATCCCGCTACCATATCTGGCGAAGACGTTATAGCGTCGTACCGCCATAGTCAATACCCGTACGCAAGCAAATACCACTACTCCACCGTGCCGGGATGGACGAGCACATATTCGGACGAAGGCGTGGAATATAGCGGCCTCAATTACCCATACCATATGATAAGCCAAGAGCCTGCTCACATGGTACAAGGATACGGGCGGTACGGCTCAGCAAAACCTGTCTACGTCGACCCTGAAAGCCCTCCGTACTCCTTCGGAAGCTTGGCCCACCGCCCAGTCGCAAGCAGCGAGTCTCCTACTGGATTTTCGCTGTCCGGAATGGCCGCTTCCCTCCCTAACGCCCCCGACCGCGTAGTTCCGTCAGATCGTCTTCTGCCTCAAGTTAATCGAACTCTGACAAGTTCGTCAAGCTATCGCGCGGACGGCATCACAAGTTACTCCGGCTCGAAGACGTCCCCAAGTAGTTCGATGTCTGAAGTTAGCTACGGCAACTTGAACCCTAGCTTCGAGTCTCAGTATTCTGCTGCCCCTAATACTCTCCCGTCGCAACGGTCGGGTAGCCAGAGTGATACAACTCCCTACCAACCGAATACGACTTCGGCGTCGGATGCCTTATACACGTCTAGTGATCAGTCACTCCGATCCACCGACGATGCCAGCACAAGCTTCAGTTACATCTACAGCGACAAGCTCGAAAGTTCTCGGCGCAATTCGCAATCGAGCTGCGGGGCAAGCGGCGGATCTGTGCTCCCCAACGGCCATGTTTATGTCCCGGATTCCCATCATACCCACGCCCCTCCTCCATCCCAAGGGTATGTCTCTTCGCAAGATAGTGCAGTAGATGGAGCTACCACGTCGTCTAGTCGAGGAGGTAGCAGCAGCAACGGCCCCTCGCATATGCATATGGACGGCCACCGACGATCTGCGGGAAACCTCCGTGGGGGATAATATCTATCGCCCTATGTTTAAGCGTGCCCGGTTGGCTGAAGAGCCGGGTGATGGCGGTATGCGGTGCAACGTGCTCAGGGGGGGAATGGGAGCGGGACCAATAAGTCCCAGCCAGCTCAGTCAGCGAGTATTGTACGAATTCTTCTGGTCGACCAAAAAAGAAAAAGAAAAAAAGCCCATAATTCATACTGTTAGGAACACGGCGACGCCTAGCGAATTTCACCTTTCTCGCAAATCCGGTTCTTCTTTTCGTTTGCCCCGAGTCGACGGCACCAAAGGGTTTTCTGCCTGAAGACAGCAGTTCTCTCTTGACCCCTTCACTCTTTAATACCTTATTACTTTATTATCCAACCAATCCCCCCAAACATCGCCCTCTTATTCCTCATACTCCTCCTCCGCCTGCTCTCCCGATCATACGTGTCATTTCATCTTGCATGCATCGGGTGTTCCTTGCGGCCGGACGAACGCCTTTATGGCGCCTCTTTCCCACCACCCACCTCGTCTTTTCCTAGGACTTCTTAACAAACACTGGGAGTACAACAACAACAATCCGGAATTTCTCCAAACCCAAGTTTGAACCCGGCGACATTCTGGCTTTCCCAACGCTACTCTTGAAGTTCCGAGAGCCCGGATGCTGGATAATTATTCCTAGTGGACGGAGTAGAAATCAGAAGAGAAACCCGATCGATGTATGGCGCTTCGTGTTCTGGGGCTGGTGGGTTGCGCGAAGATGTAAGTTATTATTGTACGGGTGCATCCCACTTGGGAACTCGTTCTTCGGTACCCCTACCACACATGCATGGCGGCTCGGCTACATCCCCCCCGTCAACCCGTTGCCGCCCTTCTCGTCAAATCCTTATCCGCGTGGCAAAGCAGGTACTGCGTTCCTCGTCTAACTTGCGCAAACTCATCTCGGAGAGGCTTACTTCAAGACGACGCTAGGAGTTGGAATAACTATTCTTTGTACGCGGCGCAGGATCGGTGTTTGTTTGTGTGTGGTGTGTATGTGTGTATGTGTGTACGTGTGTGTATGCATGAGTGTGCGTGCGTCTTTGTACCGGTCCGCCTGTCTGCATCTTGTCCCGCCTTCATTTTGCTTTCATTTCTTCCCAACCCCACGGGCCACGGGTCTTGTTTTATCTCTACTTGGTCAAAAATACCATACATATTAGGGCGCGGTCTTATTCATCTGGTTGGATCCCTAAGATACCTCTTTGCCGATTTTGACGGCATAAAATGGATAGCTAAGGTCGGGAAAAAAAGAGACTGAGTGGGACAAGATAAAAGGCTGGGAACCCTCCTATTATTTCTGCCATTGCATCCGACAACTTACAAGTTATACGGCTAGTCAACGGCAGGAAGGCCCAGCATTGGCTGTTATTGACATTTCTAGGTTTGGGGGCAACCCCCCAGTCTGTACCATTTGCTTTTTGCTTTCACCATTTGTTTTACAGGAATACCCAAGAGTATCTAATAAGGCCTACTCCTAATAATGGCCTGGTCAGCACAGCATGTTGAAAGAAAGAAAAGCACCCATACCCATCATAAGAGAAAGAAATGATGTGAATCAACTATAAGAGATTGTCATAGGTCACCCTAGCATGTTTAAGCCAGATAGGAGAGGAACTGTGGTTTGTACCGTCCCCCTTCGGAGGTCTGGACTCTGAAGTGGGACACAGTTTATGACACATTAGATCCCATAGAGCATCTTAAGAACATAGTCTTATATCATTTCAATTGAACTTGACAATATATCCTTCCTGCCTAGGCCATAGGTCCATAATGTATCTAGGTGTGTTAGGAGTAATAGTAAGTAGAGTTGGTATCTTAGTTGGAAGACATATCTTAAACGGTAAGATGGAAGAATACTAATTCAGTTTTTAATAGTAACCCATATATCAGCGGCCACTCCTTTTGCCTGGCAAAGTCCATTGGGTGACCGCCACCTATTATATATACTGCCTATTACTAGTCGTCTGACTACCTTAGGTTAGGTAGTCAGGTACGGTCCCCTTGAATGCACATCAGAAGCCACCGAACATCTCACTGACCAAAAGGTCGTCCGGGATTATGAAATCTTCGTAATCCGTATTGCTGATGCTGATGCTGTGCTCGTCAGATTGGATTGGCGCTACAAGCTTTTCGACAACCTCTGCATGTTGCGCTAAGCAGGTGTCGCCAAGGTCCCAGCCTGAATTGTCTCTATGACGACGCAGTGCTGTGATTAAATCCCATGCAAGTCTGATAGAGCTATTTTTGGAGAGCTCTTTCGGGGACTTTTCAGTTTCGAGTGCACATCGTAAGAGGATCGAGACCGTTGATGAAAAGGCAAAGGCGCTTATAGGCAGCCAGAAGTCGCGCAGTTGTTCGTCTTGGAGTTCTTGGACCAAGAAGACAATATGCTCAGCCGTGCTTCGAATACTTATATACTGGTTGGCTAAGCTGTCACTGGTAGCCTCGTCCTTAGATCGAGCATTTTCCATTCGAATGCGATGAGTTAATAGTTTAATGGATAGATATGCTAATCGGAGGTTAGGCTCGCCGGGAATATTAAGAAAAATGCCACGAGTTATGACCTGGCGAATATCGTCTCCTAAGCCTTCTACCCATCTATTAAGGCGAAGCTCTAGGCTATCGATCGGTATATTGACCTTATTTTTAACGTGATAGAGATATTGTAGGTAGTAATCAAGAACGTCGGTTAGCTCTGAAAGGGCGACGAAAATGGCCATGGCATCATGTTGCCTTTGTGAATCTACTCGATTAAGTTGATACTCAACCTTCAACTGGGGGACGTCGTAGAAGGACCTTTGAATGTGCGGTGGTGTGCCGCAAGCTAAGCTTAACCTATATATCAATGAGCCTAAATCGGTTTTTTTTTTTTGGTTCTATACATGGGTTTACCATTTATCATGAATCAGTATTGTCCACCATGTATACATACGAAGCATCTTCTCGGGCTGCGGTATGTCCCAGGAAAGGGGGTCATGATTCAAACCAAGCGAGTAGGCCAGAGACACGGCACTCCCGAGTCGAACACCATTACCTACTATAGCAGTTGTTGGTCGGCCCCCAATATTTAATAATATTGCAATGATAGTGGAAATTCCTGGCGAGAGAAAAAGCTCAGACTGGAGAGCTTCGCTGGCAAGGTTCCAGATGAAGCGAACGTCGGGAGATCTTTGCTCTGCAAGTTGGGGCTCAGATCTCCAGTAGACTAGACTATGCGCGTAGAGAGAGGAAAGGACGGCAGGGGATAATCGCTCTTTTGCAGTAGAGTATTGCCTTCGGAATGATTCCTCATTTAAAAGAGGGAAGCAGATATTTGCCTTTTGAAAATAACTTGGGTAAGGTATGCAATTAGTCACTCAGTAATTACTTTTTACCTGGCAAGAAGACTGCGCTCACAGGTTAATTAACTGCTGTGTCCATGGTTCGAGTAGCTTTTCAACGACTTGACATTTTGAGTGTGATGGATTCGCATTCATCGTAAATCCTAGGGGGCGCTTTCGTACTGCTGTGAAAAAGACTTGTCGGCTAAGATCGGTTCGTCTTGAACGAACCTGGTGTATACCGCAACCGTCGCCGGCGGTAGTAGATAGATAGTCGACCAGGACTTGACTATCTCCAGTCATTGCTGGGCTTATTATATGATTTTCATCTTCCGTTTCTTCAATTGATAGGACGGTTGATTGGGGCTGAGTATCATGACGATAGTTATAAATAACGGGATTCGTCCCGGGAATCTCGGTCCTGTCCCATGCGGCATTGACAGCAACGTTGGCTTCATTATCAATAATGGCCGAGTGTTCATTTACCCCATCGCCGTAGTCGGTAACATCTGAAATGGATTGAGGCTGTACTGTGTCTCTTCGAACATGAGTTCTTTGAGGTCTAGTGTACCCCTTAATGGGACTCGCCTGCGTCTTTATCGGAAAGGAGCACTCAGTCCCATGGACCTGACACATCAAGCAGGATGCTGAATGGGCCTCGATCTTACAGCGGGACTTCCTTTTCCGACAGGGAAGACAAGCCGGGCGTAAGTGAGATCGATAGGGCCTTTCCTGTGGACTCCGCGACTGCATGTGGAACATATATTTGGCCGCGGAAAATAGTAGTAAATTGTAATTGGGGTCTGTTGCTTTAATCAGGTGCTATTAGGCCCAGAGCTCTCAAGTAGAGGGAGGGGGAAGATGCTGGTTACCCCCCCGAGTCGCGACGAGAGAGTGGTATGTACCCGAATCTTAAACAAACACACGTTGTCTCGAACCGCAATAGCTAATAGCCCGGATCGAGGAGGAATAAGTAAACATGACGTATCGCATGAACCCAAACTGTCGATATATATTTCTCTATGTGTGGATCTACTGGACCAATACTTTATGCAGCTTTCATCAGCAGAGCTTCCTACTTGTGGAGACTTATTGTGCCGTTATATGGGTTTCCCGCGGCAAAACCCTACTCCCCTCGGAATCGAATCGAAGCAAGTGAGTAAGTAGTAAGGACTGTAAGGTAAGCTTACGGCGTATAGATTAACTATGCTTAAGTCCTATAATCTATTCAGAAGACAATGCCATACTACTTGCTAATACAAAGGCATAGCACCCGGTGTAGCAGCAAATGCCTGTTCTAGCAACTGAATGCCCTCCAGTATCTGATCTCTTGTGACTGTGATCGGCGGGGCTATTCTGAATGTCCCACTGAAGCTTCCGTGGCTGCTTAGATTGGCCCAAACACCGAGATCGTATGCTTTGTCCGCTATAGATCTTGCTAACTCTGGCGCTGGTGTCTTCAGCACTCGGTCGGCCACGATCTCAACACCAGCCATCAATCCCCTCCCGCGCACATCTCCAATGCACCCGTACCGCTGTTTTAATACCACAAGACCTTCATGAAGAATCTTCCCCATGGCCCTAGAATGCTCGACCAAATGGTCACGCTGCACGATTTCCAAGACTTTGTTGCCTACCGCGGCAGGCAGAGGATCATTCACCTATCGGAAATATAAGAAACGGCCAATTTAAACATGCTGGGTACCTGAGATTACTTACGTGAGTTGTATAGAAGCAGTAATCTCTCTCAACGCATACTTTCTCAATATCTGAGTTGGTTACGACGGCGCTTAGCGGGAGACCATTTCCAAGAGTTTTGCTCAGCGTTAATATATCCGGGACTACGTCTTCGTGAAGGATAGCCATCATATCGCCGCAGCGCCCGACGCCGGTTTGTGCTTCGTCGACGATCAAGAGCATACCCCTTTTCTCGCAATGATTCTTTAGAGCCTTTAGGTATCCCGCAGGGAGGACATGTATGCCCGCGGAGGACTGGATGCACTCTACTATGACAGCAGCGAGCGACCCGCAGGACGCCTGGTCAATTAAACTCCAGCCGTAGTCGAGCTCGGTCTCCCAATCGTATGATCCGTCTGGATGGCGAAATATGGATCTATATGCGTTAGGGGCTGGTAGCATGTGCATTCCAGGCATGAGAGGCCCTTGACCTTTTCTTCCATAATGATATTGAACACTAAGAGCTTGGGCCGTCACTCCGTGCCACGAGCCATTCACGGCTACAATCTCAAATTTGCCGGTATAAACTTTGGCCAGTTTGACTGCTGCTTCGTTGGACTCACCCTTGAATGTAAGATTAGTTTGCAAATCCCAAGGGGAGATCTTTGATAGCGGACATTAAAATAGGTATTTATCAGGATCAGTGCTTACCCCAGTGGATAGGAAGAAAGCCTTGTCTAAGCCCGGTGGGAGTAACGAGCAGAGCCTCTCGCCCAAAGTTATAACGGGGGGCGAAACCATGCCCGAAAAGAGGTGGTCAAGATTTGCTGCGTGGTCGGCTATTGTCTTCACAATCTCGGGATGTCCATGGCCCAACAAGCAAGACATCTGGCCAGATGTCCAGTCAAGGACCCTGTGGCCTGCTGCCGTATATACGTAGAGGCCTTTGGCACCGCATATGACATCTTTCATGAACCGAGTTCCGTAATTGAATAGATATTGCGACGTTTTCCTCCGAAGCGCCGCTTGGTCTTCGTTTCTGTAGAGACTTGTTACTATGTCATATGATTGTGTCGTGGGGCCAATGCTCTTGTCAGCGAATTCACTTTGAACTGTTTCGGATGCCATAGTTATTTGCTTCGTATGAAAGAGACAATAGCCCCCCTAAACGTATGTTGATATACTGTTGCAAGTTCACAGGAGAAAAAAAGGCAGTTTTCCAATGTTTCCCCCCTTTGCGATTATTGAAGCAGCCTGCTTTATAGATAAGCTTAATCGCTGAGGAGGTGAGTAGGTTAATCGAGGAGTTTCCCGCGGACTAGCCACCGGACCCGCGGAGAACCAGCCCGGCGAATACTGGGGGATGTACTCAACGACGAGGAGGTTATGGTAAAGCTGTCTCCTACACCAAAGTCTAGTTCTATGATAACTCATTTTTCATTATTTACCATAAGTAACAGTTATCAATAAAATACCCTTAATATTAGTTATATTAGGCAAGTAAGTAACTATATCAAAGGAACGTGACTTAATATATGTAATTTGCCTGGAAGATTATTTCAAGTTCCAGATTTATTTACGTATGTTGAATAATTATCTATCTCATATTGCGAAAATAATCACATATTTAGAGCTTTGATCCCACATTACAAGTCAGATTACTTATACCAATGAGACCATTAGGTATCACATTAGAAAATGTCAGATGACATGGATTACGATAGGTATATGACGTGATAAGGGGTCTAAGATCTAGCTTGAAGCTCTCTACCAGCTAGTCATTCGCTATGTTGTATATAAGGGGACCTTGGTTCCCTCTTAGATTTAGGAAAGGGCAGGCGTTAGCATCATTCAAGAATATATACCATATGAGTTATACACCAGATAGCCACCTGTCACTCCGCAGTGGTGACATACCAAGGGTAGCCTCTGACAGAAAATCTCGTTTGAGCCTCTATTAGTACGTATATCTTGTGTGACAAAACGTTCCATTTCCGTCAAACACGACAAAGGACCCTTTCAGTATACTAATACGAAAACGATTGGACAGCACTCGTCAAAAAATCTTTATTGATTAAACAGATGATAAGGGAATCAACAAGCCACAAGCTACATTGTTAATTACCACCAGTGCTAGGCAGATACCATACTCAGGTTTCATTATTATTTAACAATATTCGAGAAACGAAAGGGAAATGTCAAATCGCTCCGTTCAAGAGTACGTATTCCGTTTGCTCGATCTCCGCACCGACTTTGCTTTTGACTGTTGGCTTATACACGCACGGTCTTTTTATATGTAGAAAACGCTAACGTTCATCAAGTGCGGACGTCCAGGAAGCGAGGGACCTTTTGACGGATTATTTTGAAAGTGAAGACCCGATACGATTCAGGTTTGAAAAGATTATCGGGGTTGGAGCTTACGGTATAGCATGGAGACTCAAATATAAGCCGAGCACTCCCAGCGGGGGGTCAGGCAAGTCACGGCGCGTTGTCATGAAGATGGACCGGTCCCATGCGACTTCTGGCCTAGGAGAACAAGGAGGCGACGAAGGCGACGAAAGTCGCCCTACAATTTCACATGAGAGCCACTATCTTTCGGTTCGTGGGAGTCCAAAAGCTTGCGGAAGCCAAACTCACATGCTTTAGATCTTGAAATGGGCTAAGCACGTCGTCAACCTCATAGAACCACCAAATGACCCTCTTAAACAACAAATTCCGGACATCCCGCCCCATGGAATTAAGGAGGGGGAATGGATGTACCTCGAATGGCTAGAAAAGTAAGTAGTTAAAATTGTCCGGGGCGGCGATACGTCGATTTCATGCCCCCGGGATTCCTTGCCGAAATTCTACATCTAAGATAACATTTACTTCAGTGGAACGCTATCATCGTTTCTCGATAGAGCTATTGAGGCAAATCGACAGCTCCCGAATAGGATGATGTGGAGGTTCTTCCTATGCTGTAAGTCTTAGCGACCCATTACGGTAATCTGCTGTTATTGCGTCCATCTAGAGGCTAATAATTGGCGTCGCAGTAACCCGTATGGGAATTGCCATGGCATGGCCACCCGACGGGCCTGGGGATGACGGAGGGCCGCAACTGGAAACTATCGGACAACGTCGGGCTAGGAGAATGGTGCACGACGATTTGCATGACGAGAACGGTATATCTCACCTAGGAAATTCCTGACCTCTAGATAGCTAACCAACATCTAGTCATGTTTGGCGATTTCGACGAGGAGGATGGTGAACACGACTTGACTCCGGTCATGAAGGCAATCGACTTCGGACTTGCGAAAATATATGGCGATCACCCGTAAGTCACCCAGGTAGAATATTCCAAACGTTGAGTAAAAGCTAACCAAGGTACCTAACGCGTAGACGATATCGGGGCATGGGGATGCTTGATAACATTTTTTCCTTCGGAATCGTAAGTTCTCTGAGCTTCGTATTTCCCTTGCTCTTCAAGTTACCCCTTTATTTCCACGAAGATAACCTAACAAGATTCTAGCTCATGTCCGAGATAGCAACACTTGACCGCAGCAACGCCGGAATCGGCGAGCCGACACACGAAGACGCAGATTTATATGCGGAGGGTCGGGAAGAGGAAATCCTGATCGCAGCGACAGTTTTGATTCCGGACGAAGAACCGAACACTTCTATAGATCCCGATTTGCGCTACTTGATTGCGTCTTGTACCCAAATCAGAAAAGAGGACAGACCGTCGCTGCAAGATTTGGAGAGACAAATTACGGAGGCGATCGAGACGCGAGACGAGCAGTGGTACGTATCTCGAAACATGAACGCCAGGGGTGAAAGCGACGAGAATATTGATGATATCATTCAAGAATTAATATTGGATGCTTAAAAGGCGGTACTTCCCATACGTATACCATGGCATATCTATTACATTACTCAAGCAAACTTGTATAGTAGTTACTCAATCCTAACCTTCTAATTATATCCCTTTTAAATAGAGATTTTTAGGAGTAAATACAGAACACCACGCCAACCAAATTATGATGCAATAGCGATGTGTTCTCTCTTTTTTGTGTAGAAGTCATTTGTCCACTTTGAAATTTGAAACACGATATCTGCTTGCGCTTTCTTAATATATGGGTTTACCGCGTTTTGGACACGGAGGTCGTTACAGTGACGCGAACCGGGGATTAGAATGCTGGGAACATCCGGCGTGGAAGCCAAGGGGCCTCTAGGCCTAAACTCACTAGCGACGGAAGCTGATCTCCATGGATCAAACTCGCCGTTTACCCAGAGGAGCCGGGACTCGGCGTCTGAATATTCAGGCAGCTGCCAGCCTTTGGTACGGACGTTGACGTCTGACGCTGTCTTACCCAAGGCGCTCCCATAGGTGAACTCACCCTCCTCGGGAAAGAATAGCTCGCACTGACGCTGCCAGTAGTCTGCGTTGGCGAGCCGTGAGAACACGGTAGAGCGGCTTACCGGTGCACCACTTGTTTTGAGTGTCAGGTGCTGGTGATTGGCTAATGGTTGAGACAGGGGGGGGGGGGGGGGGGGTTCTTACGTTTGGTAGTAGAAAAAGGGGTCATTACAAGTCATCCATACCCAAGTACGATCGAACCCATTCGCCCCGGTTTGGTCTGTGAACATTGGGCTAGAGGGATTGTATGTATCGAAGCAAGCGGTGTTAAAGTCGCCCTTCCACTCATCATAACCGTAGGAGGCACAATCTACTTGGTCAGATTGCGAACGAGAGTGATAAAGTTTGTAAACTTACACCCTGGTAGGTAATGAGTCTTGAACCACTCAGCGAAGTTGGGTAATGAAATTTCAAGGCCGACTCCACGAGGGCTACTGCTGTTGAGTGGCGTAGTTGAGTTTGGGGGAAAACCCTCAATGGCATCACACCTATATCGGCTGGGTGAGTTTTTTCTGGCCCTGCAGCTATATAATTGTTCTCTATAGGTACGAATGACTTACATCTGGTAGAATTGGGAGTAACCAGAGGTGAACTGAATGCTCTGCCAGGTCCAGATTGGAGATGATATCGCTCTGAAAATAGTGTTAAAACGACTGTACTGGATAGAGGAGGATCGCGAGAATACGAACGCAGCTACATCATCTAGATGTACGATATCTTGGAGCCCGAATAACTGCTTTAAACCGGCCGTATCTTTTTCAGATCCGTTAGTGAACACCTTGTCAACATGATCAATAATGGAGGTATAATCTTCTGAGCAGTTCTTGGGCATGCCTTGTTGGATAGGGTAGAAATATTGCCAATAATCGAAAATCGCCTCGACGGGACCACTACTAGAATGCGTGGCCCAAAAAGTCCCGGGTGCAAGACTTTGGATCCAGGCACCTAAGGCGCCGGAGTAGGAACCACCACTCCAGATCCAAGGGGCATCGGATGCGTTCGATGTGCCGTCTGCGTCAAACGGTAGCTTAACAGTTTGGGCAAAATGAACGAAGTCGGCGACGGATTGGTCCAAGTTTAAAAACCGAAGGTTCTTCGTCGTTTGGATTTCGTACGGCGTGCTGTTGCCCCAGTATCGATGCTCAACTAAGATAACTGCACCGCCAACTTCTTTGGCGATCAGACCGGTGAGGGCTTGGTCAGTCATGTACGACATATAACCCGTAGCAGCGACCTCGCCAGGGGTGAATAAGATGACAGGTGACCCCGGGCCTTTCCAGAAAGTGGCATTATACCAATAGGTCTGGTTAAACACTCCGAAGTCTGGATTGTTGTGGTCGATGTATTGCTCAAAATAGGCAATGCCCGTAGCAGACTGCTCGGGATCAGCGAGTGAGGCTAAAATATCTTGACTAACATTGTCAGATGGCGGATAGGGAATAGGAGGCGTCAGGCCGAGCACAACCGGCAAATAGATGAAGGAGAAGATATAATGATGAACTATAAAACATCTCATTGCGACAATAATACTGACCGAAAGAAGAGGAAGAAGGGAACGCTTCAACGTCAGCAGAACCCTGACGGTAAAAAGCAGACGGGGAAAGGCTCGCGGCTTGGGACGACCATTGCGGTAGGTGAGACAGATATTTATTATTATTTATTTACTTATAGATTACTTATAGACAATAGGTAAACGCCTCGACCTGCGGGGTTGGGATTTGATGATATAGCGGTGGTATGGAAAGGGGACGCAATTATCCATTATCCGTAGAGTTCAACCCTATCGGTTGACAAGAACTCTCCGTAATTGTCTACATGATACAATCTGATGCAGGATTTAGAGCAGAGAGGTTGCTGATGCATGGATGGAAGTATTCCAATAATATTGACGGGTTGATATTGTAGAGTTTAGGTTAGTACCTACCTATGTAGATCCGATTGGCGGGATTAGGTCAGGTACGGAGTCCGGGGGGTGAGAGGTGGGACAGTCCCACGTAGGTATCAGCCACATGCGGGAAGCTCAAGCCACAACGGAGGCTTTACAGTAGGTTATCGTCCATCATCAATCGTTACATAATGTACCTAAGGTAATTAATCTACTCGGATTGGTTTCCGCTCATAGAATTCCAACGTTGGATGCCGACCACTTCGAAGCTATCTATATAAGCCCGACTCACGACTCACGTCTCGACCTTTTATTTAACCAATTGACTACCCGCGCGTCTGAGGTATTCCAATCCAAGATGGGTCTCCTAAGCAGCTCGTCCGAGGCTCCTCCAAGTATGCGTTCCATTCCATTTTCGCATCGCATCTACAACTACTAACCGGAACCAACCCATAGAAGCTACACGGGAGGAGATGCGAGACGCCAAAGTTCCCCTAGCCTACCGAGATAACTGCGCGAACCTCCTCATTCCCCTCAACAGATGTCGCGTCGACACATACTACCTCCCGTGGAAGTGCAACGTACGTGGTAGTGTTTCTTCCTTTCCCATGTATGCCCCCAGTTGGTATCCGGCCAGTTAGACTAACAGCGTCCTCGTTATTTGCACTGAACAGGACGAGCGACATAGCTACGAGAAATGCCAGTACGACGAGTTCAAGAAGCGCGTAGCGAGGATGGACGAGCTGAGGGAGGCCAAGGGCGGGGCACGAAGCAATTGAATCCGGCCTGCATTTCCATGTAGGTAGAAAGGGAACAAATCGACTTGTACATATATTCGTCATCTGGCGAAGGGCTACTACCTTAAGGCTGTGCTCTGAATCCTCTCGGCCTTGCGCTCGTTATTTGCCTGTAATGGCACCAAACCCCCGGCATGCCCTTTTGTGATAATGAAGCTACGCCTCTGCGCGACTACATAATATATCCGTGGGTATGCTATGCATGTTTCCCTGGTGTTAATCTTAAGACAAGGGTTGTCACCAACGTTTGTAGAAAGAACCCTATATGATATCTTTGCATAAACTGTGAATATCTTCTACTGCCTTTACTATGAATGGAATCATTCATTTTTGGTTGTGATTTGTTTTTATTTGCTCTAGCTATTAATTGAACTGAAGCAACTAACCTTTACGGAGGGGTGTGTAATATGACGCTGGTGCACTATTTCTTCGCTAGCTATCCTAATGTTTATTAAACCAACCTCGTTCCTGAACAAAAGGGACTAAAATCTTGAGCTTGTTTTCCTCCGAGGTTTAATTGGGCTGAAGATAGAGGTCGATGTTGAGGGAGAAGTCGACAAAGGTCCCTGCGACGACGAGATAAATTTCCTCCTTTTTGGTGGTTGAGGTCTGATAGGCGCTGTCACACTTCTCGCGTTGCGGATTTTGGTATCGGTCCTCTTATGTACCCATCCGTTCCCCTTAGGTAAACTGTCCGGATCAGGAGAATATGTCCCATCAACCTCGTCGTCGGCATAATTCTCGGTATAGACAGGTTCTGAATCCGAGGACAATTCGACTACCTGCGTTCCAGGAGGAAGTGTGAACTGGGATGACTCTTTAGGCAATCTCCTTTTTTTCATCGGTGGAGGAGAAGTCTTGATTGGTGGAGAATTTGGAGCCGCTTTAATAACACCATCCTCAGTAACACCGTCGAGACCTTTCCTTTGGCTGCTACGCTCGAAGCTATCCGGAACTCTTGAGGAACTTGTTTGATAATCCGACGTACTATCTAACTTTCCCATTTCTTCTTCATAGTCTTGATCTTCTCGCGCCCGGGCCCTTTGCGGTCTGTTGGAGGGTAGAGACTGCGACTGCGACTGCGACTGAGACTGAGACTTGGATGGACTTTGTGTATTTCGCGAAGTGAGCGAGGTGCGCGCCGTACACCATATAGTATTAATCGAGGACAATGAACTAGGAGTTGAGGGTTCGGCTGACAATCGTAATTCTGATTCTTGCGCCGTTGTCTCTGGTCCGGCGGCCGACTCTTCTTGAACAAAGGGCGTGGGCGTAGGGGTTGAAATATCTTCATCCGATTCTAAATCCTGTTGGTATTCGGTATCTAGAGCGGTAGAGATGCCATCATCTGTCATTTTAAGAGAATCCGGTTCTGTAACTTCCGTGTGCAAAGTATAATCCAGCTGCCGTCCACTGCGAGCACTACTCACTGACGAAGGGGGAACAACAGCTTTAGACCTCACGACTTTCGGTGTCCCGGTAACAACTTCATCCTCGTGACTGTCGAATAGAGGGGCCGACGACTGTCTGATACTGGGAAGTTCCGATCCTGGAACCTCAATGTCTCGCCTAGTGGATGGATCATCCGAATCTATATTGCGGCTGGAAATATCTTGAACTGGTAGTTGACTCTCTTGTATACCTACGGATTGGCTGATACTCTCATGTAATTGTTGGGAAGGGCTATTGACCTGCGAAGGATTAGATGCTGACGTGTCGCCATGTTGTTGTGCCTGACCCGATGAAGAAATTTCGACGCAAGCAACGCCGGGTGTGTTTTCCTCGATTGATTCTTTTGTGCTAGACCGTTCTCTTTCTGGGTGTGCGTCGGATTTTACGTCCTCGGCGATAGCTGGCGGCTCATTCCTCGTATTCGAGCTAGCTTCAGGAAGGGAGCCAGTTGCACTAGGTTTCTCACTGGGCGCCATGATAGAAAGCGGCTGTTGAAGAATTCTAGGCTGCTGCATTTCGGCGAAGCCGATAGTCCGAAATCCTTCGTCCTCTCCTTCATCTTCGTCGTCGTCATCGTCGTCATCAAGATCTGGTGCTTCGAATTTGTCGTATATCCGCTGGCCAGTATTCTCGTCATATTTCTTCTGGTTTCGATCAAGATATCGATCCCTCTTAGCAAGACAGACTTCCAGGCCAGTAGCGTCGTCATCGATTCTGACCACTACACCCGTCACGTTAGAAAGCTGCGGCTGCCAACTGGTCGCTGACGAGCATGACCACTGCTGCCAGGTTATCACCATTCCAACTTGAACTTCCCCGGGACGTAGAGCGGGAAGCGCCGATAAATCCGATGGTAATGATGGAAGATCATCCATGTCTGTAAACTGGCTCGCATCATTTATAGGTCTATTAGCCTCGCGGGGTTGGCATGCCTCAGTGTCATCGTAGTTGAGTTCGACGTCGGCATCATTAGTGTAATCGTCCATACCGTTGAATGTATCATCATATCCTTCTTCGTCCCACATGTCAGATTCTTCGTGCTTCCGTTTCTTGCTTGAGAGGTTGTCTTGATAGAAATGTCCTTGGTTTCGCTGTGCTCGCTTACTCTGGCCGCCGCGCTTGTTTTTCTTCCGAGACCATGAGTTTTGCTGTTGAGGATCCCAGCGCTGGACGAATGGAAACGGGGGTTCGCTGAGCTGCACCCCTTCGTAACAGCACTCTACGGCTCGATATGCGATTTTGTCTTTCCACGACTCAAGATCATCCTCCACCGTCGGGTCGTCTTCGTTTATTTGCCGCGTATCATCCTTTCTCTGGCCGAGCCTTGGGTTGTCGAGTGGTCGAATATCCTCCATTAGTTTTTCCCGTAATTTATCTTCATCTTCTTTTGTTTTGGGGTTACGAAGACCCAATGCACCGAAAAGGAGTCTCCGACCGGCGCCTATATCTACACGAAGCTTCTTTTGAACAGAAGCTGATGAATACACGTCTTCGGTTACAGGTGTAATCGCCAATGCGTCCTGCTGGATAATCTGACGATTAGGTTCATTATGTTCATCAAATTTTCGTTTTGTTGACGTGGAGGTTCTCGATGGCTCGTCAAACCGAGTATGAGGGTGGATTTCTATTCCACCACTAGCGATTGCATTTAACAGCTCCTGTCGCTTAGCTTCAAAGAGGGCGTTTTCGTCTATAATAGGTAACCTAGCTTCCTCGGCTGTAGACGTCGCACCCATAATCGCCCCCTGTTGCGCCAACTTTTTGGCCTTATTTGCGGCTCTTCGGCGAGCATTTCGCTTTTTGGTCCTCTCGTTACCAGCTCCGGGAGGCACTAGCTGAACCTGAGGAACCGTATTTAGTGGTGGTTGTGAAGGCTTAGTTTGCACGCTTCCGGTGAGCGAAGTTTGGACACGTGTTCTAGCTGTATCGGTGCTATTGGAAGTCTCTTCTACATCTTCGCTTTCCGACGCGGAATTTGATTCAGCTCCGCTAGATTCTCCATCAGAACTTTCATCCGATGATACTTCACCCTCGTCAGAAGTATTATCATGGCCGAGACCTCCTTTTCGGCTGAGTTTTTGACTATTGGAAGACTGACGCTTCAAGGGGATTTCTTCTGGACCATCGTCACTATCATCGCTGCTATCATCACTCTCATTGTCCGAATCGCTTGACATATCATCATGGGAACTCTTAGGAGAGCTATCCGCCGGACGCATATTACTATCGCCATCGTCATCGTCGCTATCGTCGCTTTCATTACCGCTATGGTCGCTACTATTTGATGACATATCTTCGTCTTCAGAGTCATCATCTTCGGAATCACTATCACTTGAGATTTCGGAATCTTCACTCTCCGGGCTAGAACTTGTAGCGTCGCTCGATGTATCGTCTTCCTCAACTGTCTTTTCGGGGCTAGTTTTATGGCCGTTCAACGTCGTAGACGTAGTTTCGCTCTCGCCGCTCGCCTTATTACTATCAAACGAGCTAGATATTGCAGCCATCTGCGCCAGGCCTCTGCCAGAAGTAATTGATCCAGGTGGAAGGCCTCGATGATCAAACTGTCGTACGAAGGCAGATACTTGCTCTTCGTCATCTTTATCGGACATATCCTCGTTATCGTGAGTGATGTCGTCGACAGCCTCTTCTTCTGGGTACGCAGTAGCGATATCTTTTGTTGGACTATCTTTTCGTGATTTCCGTGATTTTAGCTTTGATGTTGCTCTTATAGACGTCGACCCTGCTCGTAATGCGGATTCCGGCAGCTGCGGTGCGAAACCACTAGCTAGAACATCGTATGCTGATTTAAGATCATCGCCGGAGGTCGCCAAAATCTTCTCGCAGATGCTTACTGGCGCCGAGGGGAACGCAGCTTGTAATGCTGATACCTTATTGTGATCTTCCTTAGTTGAATCCTGCGCATCTGAAGGCCCTTTATTTTCAACAATAGCGTTATCTTCCGCTAAATCCCGGAGCTCCTGCTCAAGATCATCTTCGTCGCTTGGCATTTCTGAATTCTGCTGATCATAATCGTCGGGTTCAGAATAGTCGCTTCCATCATCTGCCTCTGCTTCATTGTCGAAGTCACCATCATCTGTTTCGGCATCGATGAAATCGGATTTTGAACTAAATTTGACGCTCGGGAAGGCTGATTTATCCGCTGGGGGCTCGCCATTGGTGAGAAGTAACGTAGGTGTATCTTCGTCGTCGTTGAAGGTATCATCTAGGCTCTCGTGAGGGTGTAGAAGTTTACGGCGCTTCCGCGGAGGGTCGATTGGAGGTCGACCGACCGGGGCCCTTAAGAGGCGACGCCCGAAAGGGATACCGTCGACGAGGTGTCTGCCGTCGGAAGAGATCTGATGTCGACCGCTGATTCGACGACGCCTATTATCGTCCCGATCGAGGGCCCGAATGAAGACCCGGTCATCAGGTTTAAGGACGGTCCGCACAGGTTGAAAATGGAGGCATTCGAAACTTGTTCCGTCTTGATCGCGCAGCTCGACGACGTAATCCTCCAACCCTTTCTGGCCGATCTCTAAGGGAAAGGTCTCATTAACCTTCTCGATGAGTTTTGAGATAGTCGGATTGTCTTCAAGAGACACATTCCACATGAGTCGTTCTTCCGGGAGGCCATCCCTACGCACCACTAAGCGTAGGCGCATGTCTTTCTCGGCCATGACCACGTGTGTGCCCTGGATACTAGAAGCGAATATGCGGCGAATACGTGTATATCAGATAATTAAAGGGTATAGTTGTGAGGTCATGAAGATGATTTGTGTTATTTATTAGTCTTTGGTGTAGCGTAACCGTTGACCCGAAAGGGGCAATTTTATTTTCGGACGACAAAAGTGGAAGATTTCATTGCTTTGGTAGACCGCACGATAATTACACGATGCGAAGTCTCAAACGGAAAGCTACTAGAGAGCGCGTTGCGGGAGCTGCAAAGCTCTGGTAGAAATCGTTTTTAGGGTCAAGGGGCGAGGAAGTACGTACTGGAAATACGTAGATCTCATTGGTGATAGATGTAAATTGTGGAGTCGCTTAAAACCAGGTAGCCGGCCTAAAAATTTGGCAAGGATCGTGGTACATGGACCCTGGGAGATGCAAACGCCAATCAATTAAAAGTTCACTTCAATACATACATGTAACCTCTACGTGGGTAGGTAGGTAGATTACGTACTTTACGATAAGATATACCTGCTCTCCACATAATAGAGGTAGGAGGCAGGTAATGATGTTCGATATACTATAAATTTACCCCTTATAAAAAGCGTAATTGTTCAGACGACAGTTACACCATATAAGATAAATGATAGCTATAAAATAATGAAGCTTTCCAAATTTTCTAGCAACCTAAACGCGAGCCTAGGTACTTGATATGATCTTACTCTTCACGATATATATCGCATAAACCTGAAAATCTACAATGTCGTTCTATGATTTTTGAAAATACCAGGATGCCGAGCTTTTTAGGATAAGCACATAATGGTGTACATGCGCATCAAGGCGGTAGGGTACCCATATCCAGCATATGTCCCATCTTCTCGATCTATAAGTGATTACGCGGTCAGCTGCTCGATATCATATTTTCGATAATAATTCCAAAGAAGGCAAGCGAGGAAATAAACGAGAACCACACACCTTTGTTTTCAGATAGCCCTCTACCTCTCGACTCCTAAAACCCCCCTTGCCCTTCCAGCTTAGCGGCACCATTGCGACGCGCTCCGTTACTCTGATTTCCCTATTCGGTCCTTCGACAGCTCTAATCTTGTCCGGGTTGTTAGTTAGCAGCCGAATCTCCTCTTGCCCCAGATCAAGGAGCATCGCAGTCGCCAACCCGTAGCTCCGCGCATCTGCCGGATGCCGTAAAAGCAGATTTGCCTCCACCGTATCGGACCCTAAGTCTTGCAAGTTATACGCCTTTAACTTCTCGCCAAGGCCAATACCGCGCCCTTCTTGCCGTAAATAGATGACAATCCCCCCATTGACGGCAGTAGGCAACGACATAAGTCGCGCAGCCTCGTCTAGCTGCTCACCGCAGTCGCAACGCGCAGACCACGCCGTCTCACCGGTATAGCATTCTGAATGTATCCGAACAAGAGGTGGTCCATTAGGGGGTGGAACTTCCTCTGCCAGGTCATCTTCGGTAGAAGACGAACCGCCCACCATACCGCTTTTCGTCCTTCCTGGATAAAGGCGACCGGTGTATGCGCCCCTCACCATACGGTCCATCTCCGTCTCTCCATCCCTTGGCGCATCCAAAGACCTGCTTCGGATATGCGGGCCAAACACTATCGCAAGATGCTCCTTGTTATCGACATTATTAGTGTATAGATGTAAGAACATTTCGGTTCCGGAGACTGTTGGGATGCGAGCGCGCACGATGCATTGAACCTCAGGTAGCGTCTCGAGAAGCTTTGGTCGCTTAGTACCACAACCACCAGATGGGATAGAAGAGTCAACAGGAACGCCGCGAGGCTGTTGTTCGGCTAGGGGCGTGGGCGTCGCATTGCCTGGGGTAGCAGGAGGTGTAAAGGCGGGAGAGAGAAGTGAGGGTGGCGGCGGCCGGCTTGCGTCGTCCGTTGGTGTTGAAGCTTGATTTGAGGTGGATGGAGGGACTAGAGAGGAGAGGGATAGTTCATCCTGGTCTAACCTAGGTGCGACAGGGCTTCCTTCGTCTTCCCGAAGCGGCCGTGACCGCGGGGAATAGAAAGACGGGAGATTTGTCGTATCCTCGCGCGTTTGGGGATCTAGAATGCCACGTGGATTTTCCACGGAAGACGAATTGGGGCCTGGCATGCCGTCATATAAATCAATTCAATCCTTATTCTAGTTTAAAGTGTATGTTAAAAGTAAAAAACATGCGTCGAAAAGAAGCAAAGAATGGCGCTGACATTGGAACAGGTTGGATATTGGCGGGGTGTACTTCGTACATAAAATATGTATTAATATGTACGTAATGACATGGCGAATTTGAAGTAAGCGGCTGAGAAACCGAGGTATAGGTACCTGCATACATGAAGTACTTGGGTACTTCTTGCACTGCATGGTTACATAGGTACATTTCAAGACGGCCAGAGTTAACAGGCACATTCCTTGTAATTACCTTAGGTCATATATGTACCTAGGTACCTATATACATAAAGTGTGTAAATATCTCCTCTGCACCTTCCTCTGGTGTAGAGTTGTTGTACACCTTAGGAATTAACTTCCGTAGGTCAGGTAGGTACGGATCGTACCTGCCTAAAGGTTATGTAGGTGCCCGTAGTCACAGACGTATTTTACGTAGAGCCTCTCACCTTCCTAGGTTACGTCCGGTGTTTGTTTGTTTTGTTATTAGAGTTCCTCACGTCCTCCTACATAAATCTTTAACATCGTTCCGGAGTTAATACCATTCCTCTTCCTAACTTCTAAGTTAACTTAGAAGTTAGCAACGCGTGTCACTCTTCACCGATTTATAAAAGCATCGCAAAACCTTACCGTTTACCGTTTACAGGATGCTGCCACCAAGCCTTGTTAGTACGTACCAGCAGTACAAGGATGATACTGATTCTATTGCTGGCTGGCTTGCCTCTACGGCAATGGCTACCGGCTATGTATCCGATTCCTTAACTCCCCAGCTACCCAAGGGGAGACTGAAAGGCAAGGCAAGGGCTGAAGCCAAGAAGCAGCAAGTTCCTTCATCAAGCAAACCGGCGCCAGTCAATAAGTACATTATCAAGATCGAGGAGTTCGTACCCCTAGCAGAGTTTATAGCCTCTCAGCAAGACACATCTATTCCAAACTCGTTCATCACTACCCTGCATCGAGTCATTACTACTCATAGAGGCTTTAGTACTATGCTTGCCGTGAAAGGGGCCATCACGGAAGTCGAACACAGCCATTTTTTATGCGCCCTTGAGAGGGTACAAGAGATTCTGAATCCCGGAATGAATGCTATGTCAACTGGTTCTACTGGATGCTCCTTTAAAGCTGCCAAGGACAAAGCTGCCAAGGACAAATCTTACGCGGAGGTTACTGAAGATGAGCTCTCCAACCAATTTGCTGGCTTAAAGGTATATGAGCCCTCGGAAGATTTCCTCGATGCACCCGACATCGAACGACCAAAGGTCCCCGAGAGCGATAACGTAGCGTATGAAGCAGAGTCACCGTCCCTTGAAGATGTCTTCTTCGCCTTAACACTGCTGATCAACGATATCAACAAGATTCGATCTCGCATCAAATGGATATGGACCAACTATCGAGATGGGGTTTTTGAGCTGGCTGCCTGTGCAGTTACCACTAACACCGCTATTGACCTAGCGCGGAAGCTCAGTAAGTCGATCATGATCTTGATTCTTCCACATCCTCGATCTCTCGTCTTGGGGGGTGTTCGCAATACTCCTCTGGGACGGTTTACCACGATTTCAATCTGATTCCATTGTCTACTTCTCTTTCCATGCATAATGCTAATAATGTACCGCAGTGGAAGACGTAGTGCCGATGTTCAAAGATCATGGTGGGTTATGGGGAGTCTTGAATGATTTCCACATTGCCCATGTGAAGATGAAAGGATACGAGCCTTTTGGTAATTCGCCCAACAGCGACGACAACTTCAACTACGACACGTACGATATTGCAGATGGGACGTACATTATAATCTGCAGAATCCTGGATGCGTTTGCTGGGGCGGTGCAGCCTCGAGCTATTCCATTATACGAGGAAGGGGTGTATGGTTACTACAACCCTCGAAGCGCCCGAGATTCCAAGTCCGGCTATCAGAAATTTGAAGAAGATCGATTTTTACTCACGTCGTTCTTCACAGATCTCATGGCGGTGGAACGAGGGGTTACCGACTATCCAGTTGAAGACGAATTCTTCCGTGGAATCAAGGAGCTAGCCAAGACTAAAGAAGTGACCTTTCATCTTATCTTTGCCGCCCAAGTCTTTCTTGACATTCACTATATACTCCGTGAAAATGTCGGCCGAGGATTTGATACACTCCAAGTGAACCTTCATTTTTTGGCTCGAGAAATTGAGGATCATTTTGAATTCCATACTAAGCACTTGAAAATTGATAACTGGCCCGCCAGTAACAACCAAATAATACGACATGTTAAAGGAAAAATACAGTACGTACTAGAAGACCCCGTACACGAGGCCAAAATTCAAGTGTACCGCCAACTTCACAAGCCCGTTCCAGCATCTATGAAGCCCAATAAAATGTTGAAAATGTCACCGGTTCTCAGCGGCCTTTTACTCTACCATTTTCGCTCGGACACGCGGGAGATCGGCATCAGGCTCGCAGACGCTTATGGGTCTATCAAATACTCATTGCATCTGTATAATGCCCTACAGAGCGAGAAGTTAATGTCAAACTGCTGGCCGGATATGAAGTTGGTATGGGCAGTTCTAGGTGATACATTCTTCGTTGGAGATACGCCAAAAGCTCCAGAAGACTACTCTAAAGAGTTTTCCCTCCAAATGGGTGCAACAGCAGCGGCGTCTACTAGAAAACGCCGCAAGAGCAAGCCCCTGACCTCCCGATTGGAGCCTCGAGGGCTCAAAGAGGGTATACCAGTCTCCTCCATGTTTATGAAACGCTACCTACATGGAACGGGACAGGTAGATTGGACGGCCGAGAATGTCGCCAAAATCGTCGACCTTAGCCTGTGGGAGACAGAAGGTTTGGAGGAAGAGGGAACTTTGAAGCTGGGAAAAATCGACGCCGAGAAGCTCAAACAAAAGCCGAAATCAATCAAAGCCAACAAATTCTCAAAGTTGCCACCGGAACAACTCATTAAAGCCCTTATGTTCGCATTGCAAGGTGAGGCCCTTGAGTTGGCTATCCCTTACACTGCAATGCACCGTGAATGCTGGGAACTCTTACGGGCCGTACGGAAGCATTGTGGTCCTCTACTTCGACAAAAGTTCACCTCAAAGTATATGGAGCGGGAAGTGGAGCTGCCATATGTAGTGGGCTGGATATTCACGGCTCTTCGCGAAGGTGATGATAAGCTTCTAGCAGAAGCTGGTGTTGCCGTTGCCAAGTTCATCCGATCAGATGGCAAGAAGGTCCTGAACTTGCTAAAAAGCATCAGAGTACCAGTGGCATTCGTCGGAGAAGAGGGAGTATAAGCTGTGGCACGAACTTCAACGCACCCCTTTTATCCAAACCGCTAGGATAGTCAAGAAGCCTCGATATAGCAATTTGATGTAAATGTCTGTAAATGTCTTCTACTCTGTTTGTATTCTACACAAAGCTGTGATAGCTTCACTCTAATAAGTCTTCTTTTGGTCGTGTTGCACTGCCCTCTATGTGGCACGTGCACTACCAAGGCGGCAAGCCTTGGTAGACTAGACCCATACTAGCTTAGCTCTTTCTAGATAGCTTCAATCACCAAGTCTTTCCCTTTTCATCATCTTGCCACTTGCGGGCAACAGGTCGCATAGGCAGTAGAAAGGAATAGCTCACCTCCTCTAATACTCTAGCCTTAATTTATGCATTATACCGTAGCTTCTCGCCGGGGAGTCTTTTATCATGCATGCCGGGTGGATATTGACTACCTCCTACGGAAGCTTGTCAGCACCTTATTATATTTTCATTCAGATACCATGTAGCAATTGATGATACTTTAACATTGTGCCGTCCGTAAGATACCGTGAACATATTTCTATGTAAACAAATCCCTCGTTTGTCTTCAAGGGGACATCAACTCACCATACCTAAAATCTAGCGGATAAAGGGGAAATGACTATCCTCTAGACTGGCATAAAACAGCAAACCCACTATTTTCGGTATCAATACATCAAGATTTCTTAAAGAAGATAAACTGGCTCTATATTATTAGATTGGCCAATCATATTTATTATAGAGGCATATTGTAAGGTTTTTTCTTTTATGTTAATGAATCGCGTTGAACTTTACGTACTCTACCGATTATAAAGGGTTTGCTGTTTTATGCCAGTCTAGGGGATAGCATCAATTCGTTACGGTAGGCGTTAGGGTTATTTTGCTTTCACTGCTAACTATAGAGAACTCGGACAATATGAGGCAACCCGACTATCTAAAGGATGTCTTAGCTAACTTGTTGCCACTACCTACCTTAGATACCTTAGGTTAGGTACCTACCTCACTTCCCCTATTCACGTAGCTGCTTGTGGACCGATTATGGTGTTCTCGGAAAGGGTTAATCTGACGGTACGATATACAATCATCATTGTTCCATTCCCCATTATCTTCAGTAAAGGAGAACAGGTTGTTCGACACTCTATTATCCCCATTACTCGTAGATCAGCGTTGCGGTAGGGTTATTATATTCGACTAGTCATATTTAAGCTATGTGAAGGAGAGTGAATAATTCGGCGTAATTTGATTGTCATCGAATCCCTTAGGTAGTCTCACAGGCTTCAGACCGTCTTTAATATCCTCTAACTTTTTAAATTCTCTTTGGTTTGGCAGTAGGGACAGATAACACTCACATCCTTGTCTAGTCGTGGAAAATGGAACCCCATATCACTAGCTTTGGATTCGATAACAGCATGTTCTCTCTCCTGATTTTGGAATATGCATGCTTGAATCTGATTTCCGATTCCTAATAAGTCTTCGTCAAAGTCTTCGTGCGAGTAAGATGCTGTATATTTAGGCTGTCTCGTCGAGTCTACGAACATGTCTAAATTACAATTCCATCATTATGTTCTATCAGTTCTTCCAGTCTCCCGGCCTTCCCGTATAGTATGATATATAGCTATTGGTATGTGTGGCGTTAGCTGTGCCCTCACTTTTATAAGTAGGCGTCAGTTCTGCTCCGTCTGAGATGACAAGGTTTCCTAGTACTCGTCTGAAAAGCTCTAGAGCAGCCTTTGGCTGATAGTACGGCACTTCGTGTCCCGAGTCATACACCCGCGTGAAGCTGAAGTTACCGTACTGCCTACTTTCTCCATATTCAACGCCATCGACTACGAATGGGGCGTAGCCTGCTTCTTTGAACTCTTTCTTGTGGGTATAGTTTACAGCCAACGACACGGCTTCCCCACCCATCCAATTGCATATATAATCCTATTACACAATTGTTAGCATCGTATTAACAAATTTATACTCTGTGTAAAATGGCGCATGCGGATGTAGAAGGAGAGGGTCAGGGTCTTACAGCATCGCCGTATATCATTGCGATGCGAACATCGTACGCTAAGAGACCCTCGAGATCCTCCAATAGATTTGGGTAGACAAAGTCGCCGGTATAATCGAAGCCTGTATATATTTGGTTGCTGCTTGTAGATGTGTAATTGATATCGACACCAATAGCATTCTGGACTTTCGCGGTATTAAGATAGTTGGCCCAGTATCCGGGCGGGATACTTGCATCGCTCTCGGCACGGATATCATAAGGGTTTCGCCCGCTAACCACGCTGCTTGCTGTTAGAATTATTGTCTGCCCTAAAAGAAGAAACTATGAGTCTAACTCACTAATACGGCGATTCCACCAAGCCCCTACAAATGGCCGTGGCCTGGGAGCAGACTGCCTTGCCATCTGGTGTAGAGCGGTCTGACTCGAAGCATAAGTCGATTGAATCGCGGCAACCACCAGGGAAATAGTAATTCGTCTTCATATAGTCATAGATGGATTGGTTCACGGCCTCAATCCCATACGTATTCTTAAAAGCCATTTCGGCGTAATAAGGTGCTTGGATCCTCTCCGATATGATACCATTTATGACGCCGAGCGTATGCATGGTGAGTTCGACACCAGGGATACTCCCATCCTGAATCAACTTATTCTGGTCGTAGAAATACTTGAAAAATGCTGGACCGTAATGGCCACCGTAGCTCTCAGTCCAGAGGTTGAAACTGCGAGACTTGACGGTCTCATCTAGGACTGGCAGTTCCTGGATGAAAGCCTGTAAAACTTCCCAGGTTCCCTTTGCTGCAAGATCCGTAGTGTCGAACCTGTATGGGTCGACGTCGCTATACCGACCATCGGGTTTGGATGAGTTCACAGGTAGTCCCGTGGTTTGGTTCACAACACCTACAACCGCGTCGGCGTACGAAAAGCCGACTCCAATTGGCTGGGAGAGGAAGAGAAGATTGCTCACTTCGTTCCAAGCATATGGATTCACGACCGAGGTGCCATTATGAGTGACATTACACGGTCCGAGTTCTATTTGATAGTAGTTAGTGTACCAGTTTCCAACTAAATTTGGTATTTGGTATTCATGCGAAGAGAAATGTACCCTCAAAAAGTCCAATCATCGAATCGCTACCAGGTCCGCCGTTAAGCCACAACGTCAGAGGCGCTTCATCGGGATTTGACCTTGCTTCGAAAAACCAGAAGAACATGTGCGTTTCCTCATCGAGGTCGACGTAGCCTGAATATGAATTAACTCCAGGAGTTGTCTCGCATACACCCTCGAGCTCCGGTTCCTTATAACGGATTGTGACTCCATTTGGAGACTTTATGGTTGTGACATTGGAAGGCTCAGCAGGTGCTTGTTTCCTAATCAACCTCTCAATATGATTCGGCAGCGAGCTTGCTAATGTGAGGGAGGTATAGAGAGAAATGAGCTGCAGAGCTGCCGTAGCAGTTCCCCGGCCGGTAACGTGCATGATTTCCCCTAACCTTTGATGAACTCGAGGGAGAACTCAAGGGAGAAACGAGGGCGAGCGAGAAAACAAACAGAGAAGTCGCAGGAATGAGAGATGAAGGCTCAGCTCACCGGTTTTATAACGAGTCAGTCCATTTTTTATAACCGAATGCCCCACTCCCTTTTTTTTTCGTCTTGTTTTGTTTACATACTCATACGATACCTAATACGTACAAGGTATAGGTAAGACCTAGGTAAGCACTTGCTGATAATACATAATACAGCCATTATTCTGTAAGGTGACGTGCTTGCCGATCAACTGCCGATTTAAAATATGACGCTTTTTCGAAGTCGATGTAACTTTGCCTACGACTGCGTGCAGAAATATTTGGGGGCCGTACCTGCCTCCTATGTAATTTATCTGTGCCTTATCGTCAGTTAAATTCCAATGGGAAGGCAAGTTTAATGTTAAGAGGTACCTACCTATTCAGCTATTATACAAGGATTCCGCGGGGTAAGTGTTATCATATCAAGGTATAGATACCTGATTAGGAATTACATACCAGGGCTATACGTCGTATCGGATACCGTTCCTGCTTTGCTTCTCTTTCCATGTGGGGGCTGGGGGGCTAAGCAATCATTTCCGCTCGTACTACATATGTAATAATGATGAATAATAATAATTGGTGGTAGTAGGCGAGTTTGCTTAGAGCACGTTATCATTCCGGGAGGTTTGCTGCATCTCTGCAACTCTGCAACTATACGAGAATCTACCCACTTTACCAATAAGTGTCTTACCTTGAAGCATTTGTAACTTGCAACCATAGCTCAAAAAGTATACCGGGGCAACATATAGTTATAAAAGATATAACTATATCAACCTTACTTATGCCACTATTTCCCTACCTATTACTAAAGTAAGATGTCGAGCCAGTAGATATAGACATAACTAATATAATTCAATTGGTATCTTAGGCTTACAATAGAAGACATAGGGCATTAATCCATCCCGGGCTCTCGCCACCACCGGTTTCGATAATACACGACATGCGGCGCAAGTCCTTCAAGCCGGCTAATCCATTCTGGTGAGATGTCGCCGTAGATTTGGATGAGGCGAAGTTCCTTCAGAGTTCCTATCATTTTGAAGAACTCGTCCTCCTTCTTTGCGTTCACGCGACCAGTCCACCCTACGGAGCCTACGGAGCCGACTGGCCTAGGCGCCCAATCAATCACCAAGGCTTTGAGGTTTTTGGTACGGTCAGTAACCTCTCCAAAGAACGACAACCAACTATTCCAATTGGCGTGCTCCTTTGCCATAAGTAGCCAGAGCTTTTCTAGCCGGTCGAACCGAAGTTTTCCATGGACGGCGAAGCTAATTCGCCGGTCGTTCAATCCGGAAACCTGAACGCGCAAGATAGCTTGTCTGTGAACTATGGGAGAAAGCTCGCGGTACAAATCCTTTGAGGCTAGCATCAAGCTAGGTAACGGACGTGAGTATGCCGTGTCACCCATATATACAAGATGGGGACGCAGTGTATCCTCAAAATCTTCGTGGTTAAAGGTGAGATAAAAGTCGATAATACGATCAAGCACTTCTCGCGGGAGGGATAATAGCGGTGAGTAAGCCTGCATCGTACTTCGTACCTAAGTTAACGAGTATGAGTACTATGTCTTAGGATAGCGTATGTAATATCTTGAAAATATGAAATATTATAAGAATAGGTATGTGATACGTGAAATAAACAAATTTCCATTTCAAATCGAGTTTTCTTAGCTGTCTCCTAACTGAGGTAGAAGTTGATGTTGCCAAGTTGCCAAGGCGAGATGCGGGGTGTAGGGCTGTACGGTAGACTATGAATTACGGATTACATCCGCTGCCAAGCTTTGCAATGCCTATAACGGGTAAGTCAGATCCGAATGATTACAAGGGTTGTTTGATTAATTACTTAGCAGCCTGCCTCTCTTTTTCATTTTGGCTCTGTAATGCTAACCTCTTTCTCTCTCTGTCTTATACGTTCCCGAGTCTTAAAAGTTATACATAATACTACCCACCTACCCAGACAGAATGCCGTCAGATCAGAATAGTAGAGCGAGTTGCTACCCTTCTTCAAGAGAGCGGCACCGTACCTGTTCTACTGATGATGATACGGGCTTGGTTTGGGTCTCTGACTTAAACACCTCGCAGAAGCTGCTTAGATCTCATATCGCAAAGCGTACCCACGCAACGGTCAGGAGAAAGAGGGTTCTCGAGTACCAGCAACAAAAAGAAACTCTAAGTAGAAAAACGTACCATAACTAATTTGCAAGTTGGCTCCAATACGTGTGGCTATTTAGACCTATAGTATTGCAATAACCAACTATTTGGTCGCATGATTTATTATGTCAAGTTCGGTAGGTAGGTATGTAACCCTCCAGCTAATGATAGATCATATTGGCTACGTGTGCAGCAGAATGCAGCCTACCGCTTCTTGATGTAAATGTAAACATTATTTCCCCGCCTCGATCGAGCGCTGCTGGCGCAGCTATCTTTACTCCTCCCAGTTACATTCAATATTGACTAAGACAATGAGCCATACATTCCATTGGGGGCTAGATGGCCTGGATAAGCCTCGCTTCGAAGCATACACCAAGATATTGAGCCTTCGCAACGGAGGGCAAGCTGGTGATGTTATTACATTCGACCCCTGTGAAGCAGGCCTCGATGTGACAGAGCCAGCAGAAGATGGTGATTCCATTGCGGGACAACCGTTGACCAACTTCGACAATGATAAGCTTAAGCGCGCATTCCTTGACCGATTATCCGAGATTCTATCACATACAAGAGGTGGCTATCAAGTAGCTGCTGCATTGATGATAGAGAACTTGGGAGTCCCTGAGGTCACCGTCGCCAAGAACTCCGGGTTAAAGCAAACGGATAAAGACTTTATAACGGCCTTAGAGAAGGTCCTAGGGCGCATAGTGGGCTGTCTAAGTATGTTTCCTTTCGGGGGGTATAGCTTTACACCGATACTTACCAGAGCATATAGTTTCGCTTCAAGACACAAACGAGTTGCGGGAGCTAATCCTAACTCAATACACGCCGAGGGTAAAGGGGTATATATCAGATTTGCAAAAATATCTGAACCAAGGCCGGATCCAACTGATGAAACAGTCCGGCTCGGATACCATCAGAGCCCTTGCGGTGCAGATCGAGGCGCTATCTCTGGTCTTGAACCAAGTGCCCCACGACCTAAATAAGATTGTCCTAGAGGCGTATCACATACGAACCCTCCATAACATGTCCATTTTTGAGCAAATCCAGCCAGAGAAGCCATCGGTCGGCCGGCAAATTGGCGATTTGGTCTATCTATTGAGTCGACCTCACGTAGCCCTCCTAACTTTTGTTCGAGCCATCGAAAGGATTGAAGGGTTCGACAAGTTGCGTGTACGATGGGTCGAGTTCACGTCCCTCATTAAAAAGGCGCCCCTCGCCAAGGGGCAACCTATGATCCCCCCCTGGACTGTTGGTCAAGTTTTTAAGTCACTCGGCCTGAAGTTTAACGACGTGGAGACGAGGGCCTTGATGCATTCAGGGGCAGATAAGTCATCAACGTGGAACAGGGATAAACTAGTAAATAGATTTGGGAAGCTCAAGGCGACCGAGAATAACATCCACGCTGAAGTTCAGCTTGTGTTGGACTTATCCAAGAGGGGTGTGCAGCTGGACCATGCGTTCAAATACGTCGGTTGCAGTAAACGGTCCTGCCTCCTCTGTTACAGTTTCCTTTCGACGACCGGATTCGCTTGCCGGGGTTGTCACGGAAAAGTCTATGAATTGTGGACTATACCTGAGCTTGACGGGATTAGCGAAGGCTCCCTCAGATTGCTTTCCGAGGCAGTTAAAAAGTTACAGAGCCAAGTAACGAAGTCCCTTCGGCACAATACGAAGCCTAGACCTCACGTAAAAGAGTCAACTGTCGGAGGTTCCTCGATTGCAACTGTTGTGCCGCATACTGAGGACCAACACTTGGCGACACTGATAAGGAATCATCTCCAAACGGATAGAGAGCATTCTATTTTGAGAGCACCTATAATAAGGTAAGAATGAAATTTCTTAAGTATGGGTTGGTCGAGTATTTAACAAGTTCCATTCATCTAGGCCTATCTCCCCGCAAAGTGAGGACACTCTTAGTGAGACTCCATCTCGATCCCGGCTTCCTGTGGAGCACGAGACAGAGGGCGAATGTAAGACATGCGACAATATAACATCACGGCGCTGTACCCTCTGCGGTAGAGATTGGTACTGTAGTGAGCATTGCCAGAAGCAGATGAGACTTTATCATATCTTCTATTGCAATTTGCGACCACTCACTACAGCAGATTATCTATGCCGAGACTGCTTTGAAGATAGGATGCCGGATGACCCTGAAGTATTAGACGACTTTGGATTTAACCGCTGTAAGACTCGGGACGAGCAATCGCATCTGCTTGGCGTCTACATCGGCTTGTTCAAATACTTCGACGTTCCTAGTGAGACTGTTGACGGCTGGAGGAGGAACGGGATCCTCTTGGATCAGATCGCGCAGGCGTTCAACAAGATACCAGAGGAATCGCGTGGGAAGTATTTCCCGTGGCTTCTTCGCAACACCCACCTGTTAAGCCAAGACAAGACAGTTGAGCCGAGCCAAGAATCTCCTAAATCTTACCTAGCAAGAGTGTTTGAAGAAGCGAGGCCATATCTCAAGGGCCAAGATAGTGGAAAGACCATGGAACAACTGGAACCGTTAGATAAGCGGCGATGTTTTACTTTCTTCGCCTTGACACTTCAAAATTCCAGCCCACCGCCTATAGAACTTGCTGTAGATCAGTGGTATGACTTCGGATTCGCTACATGCATCGGTCGCGACCTAACTCCCGAAGGGATTCAACACTCCGAGGGCTGGCTCGGGGGGTTATACTCCACGTTATTGTTTGGACGCAAGGCCCGGAGGGCTTACTGCAAAAGCCTTGGAATCCCATACGATGGTCCTCCTGACCCACCGATATGCCCTTTCGACGAGTTTTACAGGGCCTGGAGTTCCTACACCCTGCCTTCCGTCTTTGATAAGTATGGATATGGCGATCGGATCGATGAATGGCCCTTTTTCAGAAAATTCATCTCGACCAAACCGGAGAAACGTGCACATGTTTGGAGGTTGCTGCAGTATATAGCAATTGGCGAACTCAATGCCATTGACTCAACACCCAAGCTGATGAATGCAGCAAAGTTCTATGGGATCTCCTCGCATGTCGATACAAGGGAGCGACTTGCCCTATACGAGTTCTATCGTCAGCTACTGGGTGTTGTTGATCCTTTATCTCTTGAGGAGGCATGCGAGCAAGGCACATTATTAAGATTTGCCCTTGAACATTTAGGAACAGACATGGACACGAGAGTTAAGTCATCTCTAGTCAGGCTAGACCTTTCGAAAAGGACTAGGAGGTAGACGGGTGTAATGAATATTGATTAGGTAAATCTCCCATGCGATGTATGTTTTATCCATAATGTGACTTGAATTAGGTAGGTAGTCTTTAAATATCATTTCGTGGATCGCTATCACCCCAATCTTTCTTCCACTCTCGAAGTAAGATATCTTTAGCGCCTAACGACTCTATCGTCGTGGCGTCGAAGAAAACGTAACCGAATCGACGAATAGTATCCTGTATGTAGTACCCATATAAGTTGCTATAGGTGCCGCCCCATATCAATGTCCAAGCCAGCGGCGGACATGACTCTGAATCTCCATTGAATGGTAGCGGATCGCGTCGGTTCTGCTTCTCATCTCTTTCAGAGAGGGCATCCTGGCGCCGCTCCCACTGCGCCGTCTCTCCCAGAGCTTCTTTTGCGATGAAATTTCCTAAGGGCCAAGTGATATACTCTTGCATCGTCTGGACCAGTTGGGAGTGATTCTCGATTTTGAAAGTTACTTTGTGTAGCAATTCAAGGCCACGAGACACAGTTCCGGTCAGTAGCCGCTCCCTAGCCCCTAATTACTCATGTCAGTAGTTGAACCGACAATACTTGCCGCAAGCGCTTCTTGGACGAACGACCAAAACATACAACTATTGTCAAAATCAAAAGCCCCTTCGGGTGTAGGCGGGCGTTGGCCGTCGAATTTTGGGTTTCTCTCATTTACGTCCCAGGAAATCTCTCTAAATATATGGTCATACTTATCCTGAGCGAAAGTATTAATGCAGGATATTTCCTCAACTTCCCACGGCTCAAATAAGCAGAAAAATAACTGAAGAATCTCGACGGGGCGGAATCCTAAGGTTTGTTTTGTACATGGCCTCTGGCCGCCTTTTCCGAATAGATTACAGCAAAGTTGGAAACGGTAGAAGGAACGCAGCAGCCGCGTTTCCTCAACCCGGCTGAGGCTTATACTTCTAGTCATATTTCCCGTCTCGATGGCCAGGTTACCCAGGGCCCAACCAACGTAGTGTTGGAGGAGAGGTGATATTATAGATAAATGGAAAGCGGCCATTTCCACTGCTTCGTGTTCTCTAAGCCTCTGGTGAAGAGGTTGACGGTTAACCCGAAAGGACCCTAATAAATTTATCACATCTTCGCGTGTGTATGAGAAGTGAGGAGATCCAGATTGAAAAGCAGCACAAGCGTCGGGGGTAACGGTGCCTAGTGTCGTTTCTAGCGATGAACAGAGTAGATACCGTCGGTCCTCAAGATACTGCTCGTGGAAAACAGCAGATGCATGCACCAATGAGCTTAAGTTATGCAAGTCCAGAATAGATAGTATTTGGCGTCGTATTTCCGGTGGAAGTTTCTCTAAGCCGTTGTAGCTCGTTACACGGGCCGGAGCTGAGGGTTCGGATGTGGGTAATGCCATGGACTTACAATTAGACCGAACATTATCAGCTGTATTTAATGCTTGACTCGACGAGGATCGGTCAGATAGGGACGGCCATGCGGAGCGCTTAAATTTGGAAAGGAACTTTTTCATTGTAGGTAGTATCGTCGAATTGAACTCTACTAAAGTGAAATGAAATGAAGTGGAATAACCCTAAGGTAAAGAGCAGCAATTGTGATAGAAATGTGTCGCATCATATATATAAGGCGTAATTGCTAGTCAGCGATTACGGCGTCGTTTTTGGTGTTCGACAAAATGTGAATGAGATGGAATTAATTCCTCCCCTGCATCAAGTAACCGCCCGCACCGCCACAAATGAACCCGTGTACCAGGGAAAACGTTAGCTTCTCTTCGTAATTGTTTTCATCCCATATGCTATAAATGCGTACTAGAATACTTCGGCGTATAGGATACTTAAATAACGTTAAGTAGGTAGTCTCCGGATGCCGTTTAAACGTAACCGAACAGTCACTATCATTTGACCATCTGATAATCCAGCGAGAATTCTAAAATAGCCGTGAAACCGACACGGAAAGTAGGGGACTGTGGTATATTGCAAGTTAAATACTTTTTATTATTATAATCGAGCCAAAAACCCTGGCGTCTTCGGTAGCATTTGACTTTCAACCTAACAGCTGAAGAGATCGCCTCTCCGCCAACGTACCTCAATAGCAGAATAGTGTCTGCGGTCAATAACGAATTACCCTTTCGTTCTTGTTATAATTATAATAATCTGTATCATTCCCTCAATCTGCGGCCATGTACATAGTATCCTGCTTATCAGGACTCAGTACAGTGCTCTTCTTTCCCCCTATTTTGAACACAAGCTTCTTACTCCTCAGAAAGAGCATTGCCACTATGTATATCTTACTATTTTCAAGTTATGTTGTGACTGAACTTCTGACCCTATACGAGTATAATAATCGATATATGCTGGGTTGCGACAGTCTCTCGAGCGCATATTTTCACGCGTCAGTACTTCATACCTATCTTTTTCGTTTGAGTGCGCCTTCTTTCTCTTCGTCAGGTTTACGTAGTACATAGTCTGACGCCCCTATACATGAACGATATCTATATCCTGAGAAATGATGACTAGTAAATACGCAGATGGGATCGAACCCATATGGAATGATTACGATAAATCGAGTAAGATGGTTCCCAACCCAACTTGAGTTGTCTGATATCATACGGACAACATGGCTGAGACTTGTTGACTGGAATCTGAATACAGCCGAGACCCAGTAAGGGGTTAAGATAACTAAGATCAGAACAATTGGATGATACACATCACAAGACGATGCAGGTAGTATGCAAGATAGCTATTAACATACAACCGAAGGGGCGACTAGATACGGAGATACATCTCTTAGAAACGTCTACAAACAAGTCGTGATCTTCTTAGATTGAGATAGAGAGATTATTAAGGACCTTGAGACCTTAGAAAATTATTAGTAATATGAATTCGTTCCAAGCCCTCACAAGACCTTGTTACATCTGAACCCAGAAGTATGGGTTGCGCGAGAAAATCTTTATAATAAGGTTATCCGTTATTACTGTCAACTACTATTAACAGTATTTGCTTGTCATCATGATCTTTATTTTCGTGCACAAACTCGTGCTTGTTAAGGTCTGGTACGTAACGGAATAGCTATAGTGAAATAGCCAGGGGCTATTATACTTAGCTTTACAATCTGGCCTTAAGCTGATATTGGAGATAGGTAACTAGGCTTAGCAGCTATTATAATTAAAATACTCGGCTATCACGCCTACCTTTTCTTGTGCCGAATTACCGTATATCTATTGGTAACTTGTCTTAGTAAATAACTGGCCTTGGTGGACCTTTTGATGCCTAACAACTAACTACATGCTTAGCTTATTAGGCCTATTGCATAGCTTGAATATTGTCCCTGGCAAAGGCAACATTTTTTTCCCCCCATAATGAACATGAGTATATACTCGGTGATATTGGAGTCTGGCTTAACTTACGCAGACAAATTCTATGGTTGCTAGATATTGAACAGGGCGGAAACATACGAGGTGTGACTGGGCCAAAGTATTTATTCTAATATGATCCCTAAATTGACTCAGGCTGCCAGCTTCGTCAACCTCATTGCGTTGTCGCTAAGGCCGGCCCATGCCTTGCGCCAGCATCGTATGACGTGGATATCAGAAGTGGTTGGGTTCTATTGGGCGGCAGTAAAGTCGGTGAACCAGGAAAAATACTGAGAGGGTATGGTGGGGTTATATAAAATAAATATCGGCTCATTGGCAACAATTTCGACTGAAAACATAAGAAAATATTGATTTAACTAATTAAAAGTACCGTGTAAGAGTATAACGGTGCCCGTCGTTTTAGCCTTCCGGAGATTGCTGATATGTATATCTCGATGATGGGCAGTTGAGATTCCTTCAAAGTTCATGTCGGCAATAATCGATCATCACATTATGGAAAAGTTCTAGTTTCGGCTTATGAAGAGGAGTATAGGCAGGGATCTTGGTCTTACCCCCGCTACGGCTCACTAGCTCTGCGTATCAAAAAGGGGTATTCAGTTATTTCCCCATTGAAAACATACGTACCTCCTATCTTAGCGTGGATCTCGCTAGATAATGGGTCAGATGGATCTTGGTTGTTTTTTATCTGCATATGATAAGAGAGCATAGCCTAACGCAAACAAGCAAAACAAGCATGAATAAGTCCGAATGGCGTTGATCTTATGCCTTTTCCCCCTCTTCTTGTCTCTGCCTCTTTTCAAAACCTCTCTTCTACATATTACTAGGATGGTCACCGACACTTTGCAATGTCTAATGGCTGAGACAGTGAGCAGTTTTCATCCGGCCCCCTATCCGTGGGCTTGGAAGGAATTGCTAAGTGCAATGGTACTTGGGCTCAGTCAAATTCATCAGCTGGTCTTTTGAAAGACATGCTGTTTTTATACCTAGGTTAGTAGAGATAGCGGTCAAGAGAATGCCTGACTTTGGTGTGTATTGGAAACTCATATCGTTCTAGTAATAGATAGACTAATTCGCTTTACGTTCGCTCGTTTGAATGGGATAATTCTTCTAGTTTTTGATGACAATAATAATACTACAAAACATATTGGGCAGACACGTGTAAATTTTAAATGGAGAGATGAATGGGATCTACTGTCTTACTGTCTATTTTAACCATCCGTTTGCAGGAATTTTCATGTGTTTATCTTAATAACCAGTGTGGTGTAACAAGGGTCTTAGTATATCCACTTCAGTTTTTTTAAACGATATTCTATTGGCCACAGGCCTTGTACACATGCTTCTAAAACCGTGGAACAGGGTTGACCCTCTTGAGACCCCTGGATCTAAAAGGGGAAATTAGATAGATTCGGACTAGTATTCACGACTTCCACCAACTTACGAACCGTGCAAATTATGGACCAGATTTGGATGTTGAGCTAGACCCGCTTCCAAGATCGAAACCCCAGGACCCCTATCCATTCTGAAGCCGACTCAGAACTGTGTTGAGGCTTATCCAGCTGATCTCAACGAAGATTTACATACGTTCCAGACCCCCACGTGTAACTTGTAAAAGGGAAAAGGGTTGGTGGAGTATTATTCCAAAGACAGGCGCCCCCTTTTTTTCTTTTTTTTCCTTAACCCTAGACTAGGTAGATATGGGGTTAAAAGGCAATGGCACTAATAATAAAACCTGCCCCGGCGAAAATTTTCGCAAACATTCAAAACGCGGACACGAGACCCTGAAGTTTTCTTTCCTTCTCTCTATCTTCTCTAGAGACAGGTGAATTGCAGGTCATTCGAGGAGTATTCAGCCGAGAATACTGAAAAGTCGCCTAAGCTGGTCCATACTGCTGCTATCGGCTTAAAGCAGATCCATTAGTTATGTCGACAGTTACTACTCAGACTGAAGCGCCTGTCGCGAGGTCTCGCGTAGTGCAGTTGGTATGTGAAGATACACGAACACGACGGATAGAAGACTCGATGCTGATATGTCAAACACAGAAAACCAAGTCAGAGCAGCCGGCACTGCCAGACATTAACACTATCCGAAAGGCTATTCCTCCTCACTGTTTCCAGCCTTCAACATGGAGATCGCTAGGCTATGTTGCGCGGGATCTCGCCATGGCCGCCGCACTTACCTACGGGGCCTTGACATATATCCCTTCTGTATCTAATCCAGCCTATCGTACTTCTCTGTGGGTTGTCTACGGATTTCTCCAAGGTCTCGTCGGTGTCGGGCTTTGGATCTTAGCGCATGAGTGCGGGCACGGCGCTTTCTCAGTCCATCGACGTCTTAATGACACAGTTGGCTGGGTTTTGCACTGCGCTTTGGGTGTACCTTACTTCTCGTGGAAGTTCTCTCACGCTCGCCATCACCGTTTCACCGGCCATATGCAGAAGGATATGGCTTTCGTCCCGCAGACGAAGCCCTCCTGGTTTGTTCGATCGCTAGGAGATGCTTTGAGTTCTTTCGTCAACGCTGAAGTTCTGGAGGATGCGCCTCTGGTGAATCTGATCCGTCTACTCGGCCAGCAACTTGGAGGGTGGCAAGTGTATATGCTTCTCAACGCAACGGCTGGAGATGATAGCATGCAGAACTTGGAGGCCAAATGGTGGAGGCGCAGCCACTTGGATCCTTTCAGCGGAGTATTCCGCCCCCAGGAAGCTCTCTACGTTCTGATTTCGGATGTGGGCCTTGCACTTGTAGCTGCAGGCCTCTACTATAGCTCGTTGGCTCTTGGGTGGCAAACCGTGTTCCTCTTATACGGAGTTCCGTATCTCTGGGTGAACCATTGGCTAGGTATGTTATGGATTGTAAAATTAGACGGTTCGAGCACTTAGCTAACATTTTACCCAGTTGCTATTACCTATCTTCACCATACACACAAGGACGTCCCTCATTATGACGGTGAACGATGGACTTTTGTAGCCGGAGCTTTAGCTACTGTTGATCGTGATTTTGGCTGGATTGGCCGCCACATATTCCATGGTATTATCGATACCCACGTCGTGCACCACCTGTTCTCGTAAGTAGAACTTATTGTCTTACTACATTTATTGGATACGGAATTAACTAATGTGTATTAGGAAAATTCCTTTCTATCACGCCGAAGAAGCCACCAGAGCGATTAAGCCTCTTCTCGGTGATCTCTACCACAGCGACGAGCATTCATTTATGGGCTCATTATGGGAAACATCTCGTACTTGCCAATACGTAGAAAGCGACCCGACCAACCCGGGAGTTATGAAATGGGCTAAATAGACTTTTCTGAAGAGTTAGAAGGTTCAGCACCAATCGCGACGAACTCTCTAGAGTTTAGAACACATTAGAGAAGCATAGGCATGGAGCAACATAGAGTATAGACATGAATAGAATTTTCAAGATGTATTGTGTTGACGATCTTCTGTCTCATTGGAAAGCTGGATAAATATGCCTTTTACGATATGACGACTTATCTAATAGGTTTATGGAGTTGTGTACTGCTTGTCCTAGAAACTGCAACTTAGACTATTGAACAGCAAGCTCCTAGGAAGCTAACTGCATATTAGTTCGATCGTCTATTGCGAACTAACAGTTGGTACATTTCGATCATAATCACCTATTTACAATGACCAAACGACGACTAGTAGGTGTTTTGAATATTATGTATCTGTTAGAGATCACCCTTGGTATGTTATACGACCCACAAAGTGACAAGGAGCCAGTATAGTCATAGCACGCTCTCCAATGAAGCCCAAGCTAGGTAGAAGGCGCCTCGTCTTACTAAAAAAAACTTGTCTCCTTATGCCACTACAAATCTAACGCCCCATAACTAGATCTTCTAACTTATGGAATTAGGTTTGGTCTATCAACCGACAAAGGGAGATTAGATCTAAAGTTTGCTCGCACGATATCGGGCGCATCCATGTTGAAGTCTTACGTGATCTGGATGAACACCGCGCCGTAACAGGAACAGACCCCATGGAGAAGGACCATCTACGTACTGCTGTGATCTACGTACTGCTGTGGATTTCCAAATTGATGGTCGTCGCCGCTGCGGTTGGGCCTCGCGGCCTGAGTGGGCGCGCACATAGCGATGGGACTACGCTCGAGGCTTGGGCGTCCGTACGGTGACCCCGAGGTGCAATATATTGAAAAAAAGGGGCACTGTTGATGTTATAAAGGAGAATGAGTTAATATGTCCGGGCCCGACGATATGGAGTCTCGGCATCAAGAAGACTATTAAAAGGATCTCGTCGTTCTGTTAGTAGGGTAGGTACTATAGTTTCTCGTCCGTCGTATCTCCAGTCTGTAGTTTCTGATAGTTATTATGTTTAAATTCTCAATATCCGGGAACTGGGCACACCCTGCGTCTAGTATCACCCACAAGCCGACACAATGTATCATGAAACACAACACTGAAATTCAAGGGTTCGTATTTGACCTAAACACTCATAATGAAAGCATGTATATTTACGCCGCTATGATGCTACCGCAATGACGCCTAGATGATTCCACCAAGTCCACTATCCTTGACGCCACTGTATGCCGATGGCATATTTCCTTGCCCTTTAATTTGAGCCCACGTGAACCTGAAGCTAGAAAACGAATCCGTGATGCTAGCCGTGATGTATAACTTCAATTCGTTTCGACATGCGTTCGTATAGGTAATGCTGATGAGCACCCATTCTCTTTCTCGCCATTCTCCCCACATCCATTGCATGCGTCTGCCTTAGCTGCAGCAGAAAACCCTGTAAAGGGACACGAAGGAGACGATGGAACGGCTTCCTCGATGTCCTCTAGTATCTTCTTCCCGTGCAGGAATCCTTCCGGTTCGACTCTCTGCTTCTCCATCTCATCCGCGAACTCGTCGCCGTCGCGTACATACCACTTCGCGAAAAGGTCGTTCTGGACCCAAATGACCTTGCCGATTGCCCTTACTAGAGCAATCTTCTTATCCGTCCGCAGACGCGGGTGCGAAAGAAGCGCCTCTGTAAAAGTGTCTTGGATGAAGGCGAGACATGCCCCAATATGTACATATTCGACGTGTAAGGGATGTTCACGTCCACGACCAGTATGCATCATACTAGAGTTCATCGTTAGGAGATCTTGATGTTTGATCAAGCGTATAACTATGTGTATGTCACTCACCCCACTTTGTCCAGATACTCCCAAAATTCCATCGTGCTAGGGTCCGAACATAACTTGGATAGATACGCCCTTAAGAACATTTTGCGATGTAATATTTGCGGGCTATTTTCATCTAGATTTTCATCTACCGGTCCCTCATAGCTCGTACTCCGGGTTTGTAGGGCTCGCGTCGTAATGTCATACTGCAGAAGTTTCTGGTAGACAATATTGACGATGGCGGGGATAAGCTGTTTTATGTATCTTGAGCCTGTCACCAAGGCCTCGATATCATCTTGGACCCTGTTAATATAAAAATTCGTGACGAGTAAAGATTGAGCTTCATACTTGAACTGAAATCAATAAATGAGTGGAGATACTGTATTCGCGCCTCGAGATTTGTATATAGATCTTTCCGATCGATATGCTGCCGAGGACGTGCAGAAGGTCCCATTGTGGAGAATGTTAATCCTTGAAGCTGGATTTTGTGCTTGAATAACTTAGGTAGACTTAATGGTGTTTAAGGAGAAGCAAAAGTTCTAGTTGATAAAGAAGCCGAGCTGTAAGAGAGAATGACAATCGACAGTGAATTGAAAAAAAAAAGAAGCAGAAGAAACTAAAGTCGAATTTTATAAAACACATGAATTAACATGGAAAAAGAAATAAGCAACTCTTTTCTTTCTGTAACACTAGGAATGAAGCGATGATGGGATGATGGGCTGACATCGTGTGGGACCATCGAACCATCGTGTCGGGCGCATTCGGTCTGGGCTGACCCCGCGGATTAAAAAAAGCCTTAGGTATTTGAATTGAAGCGTCGCTTATTCGTGGGGTCATCCCCGGTCACTTTTCATAGCTGAGCTATTCCGTACATCAGGCCAAAATGATGTCAGTGTCAGTCTATGCGTGCTTTATTCCTATGAATTAGTTTTGAACTGCAATATGCCATCATGGAAATAATTAAGAGGCATTTCTTGGTGCTAGGTAGGGATCATGTTAAGAATATATTTATAGCAAACCAAAGATTCCAATACCTCTTATTAGATCGGTGCTGGGATGAGAAACATGAATCACACATGCAAAACGAAGACTGAACCATTATAAATAAGATACTTGATATAGTGCAACTTAGACCATTATTTTTCTAATTTTACAGGCTATTTAATAGTATATGTTCGAAAAGTTATTTGAGTTAAAAGATAAGTATGTATGGAAAGGTATACGTATATGGTTGAAGGTTGAAATGATGTAAGTTGATTGGCTTGTGGATGCGGAATCGCATCACGTGACCCTGAAAATAGGAATATAGCCCGGATAACAATATGTCACACAGCCGATATTAATGAAATTACTAATGATCTGATTGATCTTGTTGAGATCGTGAGAACGAGCGATGCGCTAGCAGAAGGACGTAAAAAAGGCGGCGCACCTATTGACGGCTAGTAATTACGGATTACAACAATTTCGGAGATTTCAAGTCACCTGAAAGGGCTAACTAATCTGACGCAATGCTCATAAAAATTGGTACTAACTTAGATAAGTATCTTAGTAAGCCCCAAGCTTACATAATTGACCAAATAGGATAAATTGAAATTCGATATTTTTGTCAGCATCGTCTACAAAATTGGCCTTTTACCACATTGGAATTTCTGTCGCTTTGTGTACAACAGTACATACGTAGCATGGTGAGTGAGGTGATCAACTTATTCAATTGGTCTTGGTCAAGGCTGACATTTACAGATTGTCACTGGGAGTCGCGCTCGATCGTTCGGCCGCAGATTTTACCATGCGATAAACTGCCAATCCTTTCATCGCCGCGACCATCGGGGTCTCTTCCTCTCACCACGTCAACATGGGTACTGCTACCGCTTATTGAGCACGGGAACTGTTAGTCGACTAGCTGGCCCTTCTCCGAATGGAGCTGCGAGATCGTCAAACTTCGCCAATAGCCCTTCCAAACAGAAACCGCAAACCCTCACGGAAAAAATCATACAACAGCACGTTATCAGCAGTCCGGGAAAGTCCAATGCTCCCCGTCCTGGCGATTATGTTACTCTGTCACCGTGAGAGACCATCTGCTCCTACGAACGAGACACATCATTGCTAATGAGGTCTAGATTCCACTGCATGACACACGACAACACCGCAGCGGTCCGAATCAAATGGGCAGAGCTGGGTGCAGACAAGGTTCATTCGCCCTCACAGCTCATTTTTGGGCTTGATCATGACGTAAGCAACACCAGCCCCAAAAATTTGAAGAAGTATGCAGAGATCGAGGCATTCGCCGCCGATCAGGGAATTACTTTCTATCCCAAATATCGAGGAATCGTCCACCAGATCATGGTTGAGGAAGGGCACGCATGGCCTGGCACAATGGTGTAAGTACTAAAAACAAGTGGCATTTTTATCCTTGTCGCAGAGTTATAGAATTTTCTCCGTCACTTTTAAATACCGGGTCGGGAGTGGCAAGATAGAAGATTAAAAAGATCATGAAAGAACTGGTCTTCTATAAAACCATTAGAAAAACGAATGGCTAACACGTTTTTACTCATCAGAGTCGCATCCGACAGCCATAGCAACATGTACGGAGGGGTAGGCTGCCTCGGCACTCCGATCGTGAGAACCGATGCCATGGCCATCTGGCAAACTGGAGTGACATGGTATCAGCTACCCCCAGTTGCCCGCCTCAATTTGATAGGAGAAGCCCCAGCTGGTGTTACTGGCAAGGATATTATTATGGCCTTGTGCACACTCTTTAAGAGCGACGTGCTCAATCACGCAGTCGAGGTTAATGGGAGTCCTAAGACTATGGCAAGCCTCTCAATCGACAACCGTCTTACCATTAGTAACATGTCGACGGAATGGGGCGCGTTATCATGTCTCTTTCCTATTGATAAGACCTTGGAGGATTGGCTTCGTCAAAAGGCAGATGCAGCAAAGACATACAAGAACGGACGAACCACAGCGATGCGAATCAACCACGAGCGACTAGATCAACTATTCGCCAATCCTCCCCGAGCTGACCCCGATGCTGTCTATGCCAAGCAACTCTACCTCGACCTCTCGACCCTTTCACCATACGTGGCTGGACCAGACTCGGTCAAGATTGCAACACCGCTCCACGATCTCTCCCAGAAGAACATCAAGATTGACCGTGCATATCTCGTCTCATGTACTAACTCCCGAGCGAGCGATATAGCCCGGGCCGCTCAGGTCTTCCAGGATGCCGCTAAAGCGAACCCGCAAACAAAGCTTAAGCTTGCTGATGGCGTCAAGATGTATATATCAGCGGCGTCGGCCCCTGAACAGGAAGCGGCTGAAACTGCAGGTCATTGGCAGACTCTAGTAGACGCTGGTGCGGAGCCCATGCCGCCTGGCTGTGCGCAGTGTATTGGCCTGGGCCCCGGCTTGCTCGAAGCAGGCGAGGTGAGACGACGAAACCTAAAATCAAGGAAATCACTAATCGGCATATCAGGTTGGAATCAGCGCAAGTAACAGACCTTTCAAGGGTCGCATGGGATCTCGAGAGGCCTCAGCGTACCTGGCAAGTCCCGAGGTTGTAGCCGCCAGCGCCCTTCATGGGACCATACAAGGTCCGGGTGCTTACCAAAAGCCAGCGGGATGGTCCGGCATCGAACACGGGTACGGGACTGGCGCAGCGGCGTCCACGGAGGACCAGATTTCCAACATCGTCCAGCAGCTAGACTCGCTGGTTGAGCGGATTGAGTCAGCAGAAGAGGAGTCTGCTAAGACGGATATCCTACCCGGATTCCCTGAAAAGATCAGTGGCCAGATCACATGGCTCGATTCTGACAACCTCAGCACCGATGGCATCTAGTGAGTAATTGGCATCAGTTGTCTCAGGTCGGGGATGCATTGCTGACAGTTTCTTTTTTTCTATGTAGCCCTGGATCTTTGTGAGTTGACACCAGAAAGGGCTTTAATCTACAGTAGATGGAGTTATACTAGGACATACTAACCGCCTGACACAGAACTTATCGGGATGACGTTACTAAGGACGAGATGGCGCGTGCCTGCATGCAGAACTACGACCCCGGATTCGACGCCCTCGCGCACGAGGGCGACATTATCGTATCGGGCTACAACTTCGGCACAGGCTCGTCTCGGGAACAGGCCGCGACCGCGATTCTCGCCAAGAAGATCCCTATGGTCGTAGCGGGAAGCTTTAGCAATACCTTTGCACGGAACAGCATTAACAACGCGCTCATGACCCTCGAACTGCCCCGATTGGTAGATAAGCTGCGCCAGCGATTCCCCCCCCTCAAAGAAGGCGAGCGATCTGTGCTCACGCGCCGCACCGGATGGACGTTGACGTGGGATTTCCAGCGAAGTTTAATTGAGGTGCAGGAGGGTGCTGGGGGTGAGACGTGGACGGAGAAGGTTGGCGAGCTGCCGCCGACAGTGCAGGCTATTATTGCATCGGGAGGACTCGAAGCGCATGTCAAAGCACAGGTGGCTGCCCAGAAGGCATCATGATGCTGATATTTCTTGCGTGATCGTTGCGTCTTGACCGAATATTCTGCACAAGGAAAGCTAAGTACTGTGCCTCGCCTTCTCAACCCGCGAGAACGGTACGATGAAATAGGCCAGCCGGTCGATCCGGATAAGTCAGGGAGCTGGGCGGATGAGGCGGCTTATGTAGCAATGGTACGGGAGGCTGAGCGCAACGCTCATATAGATCATGGGCTTTCCGATGCGCTGGTTGACAGGGACGCTCAAGACTTGGCTGCTGTTGTTCATCTGTTCGGACAGGGCAAGATAGGCTTTTACGGCCGACTTTTGGAGTACTTTGAAAACAAGGAGGCAAATGATACACCTGACCTATTTGAAACGGCCTAAAGATTGTATCAATTCACTGTCGATGGGCTTGGTAAATGTTGTGATAGGAATACAGACCACGTGAGGAGGATGACAGGTACGGTCTGCCGTTCATCGAGCAAGTCTTAGGTACAATGTTGTACACTCAGATGGCCTGGGCCTCGCCCTGTTTTCAACGGTTTCCTGTAGAAGGTAGATTACGGGCAAGGAGTCAAGACTTCGCATAATGATCGTCCATAAGCTTTGGTATATGATTTGATATGCGCCGTTTCCACCCGTTCATGATGTCGTTGGTTACCTTACGTCTCACATGGTCGAGATCTCATGCGTCAGTCTAAGCGAAGAAGCATGGTGTTTGACCGTAATTTGACGATGTGACCCTCAAGGAACCAAGTCGGACCCTCCTTATGCTGGGCTGATTCCTGTATACGCGATGACTGCTGAAGTAGGAAGGCTCAGCAGCTCGTGCGTGACTCGTCAAGGGCACAGCCATCGAGAAGCCTGTATGATGTGTGGCCTATCCGGGGTTGAGCCTAAATGGTCCCAGTACATAGTATGCACCAGCCACGAGATGTCCGAGGCGCAACCTTGGTGATAGCGTAAGATGTTCTTTGAAGAAGCCAACCTCGTAATACATATCAGCGTTGTCTCATTCCGCTCGTCCTCTGAGTCTAGTTCCGGGGGCCTCTATATGGTTTCTGGAAATGTCTCGATATGATCTAGCGGCAAGGTAACCAGAGGTCGAAAGGAGGGCCTGAGCAGCATTAAGGCTTCTGTGGAATCTTCCAAAGCGAGAGAATCAAAGCTTCACGTTTTCTGGAATAACGCCTGTGTCTCGCGGCTATGCTTGAGCTTTCAAAGACTGAAAAACATGTTACTTGATTCTTGTGTCTTGCCTTGCTTTAATGCTCGTAGTTTTGCCAACCGCGAATTTACGGTATTACCCAATCAGGGATGGCAAAGGCATTTGAGCCAATAAGAAGAGACAACAATTACTTCCTTTTCTTCACTGCCTTTTCTTGGTTTCTTTACTCCCCCGCCTCGGAATTTTAAGGCTATCTCTCGATATTTGTCTTTATTGGAAGTGGTCTGTGCAAGAAAGTTATCGAAATAACAGGTCATATTTTATGGTGTGGCCCTTGCGCATTTCCATGGCTTCTTTTTAAGCTCAACTTTCCCCGCACCATACCTCAGAGAGATTAGTTGGAACCCACACCCAAAGCTAAACTTCATACTAAAAATTACACTAGGTACGTAGAGAGAATATGAATCTATGGAAGCGCTTTTGAGCATCTAAGCTAACGTCTTCCTTCCTAGTACCTACTATCGACTTATATGGACAAGATGGTCGGCTTATCCTTTGGGAAAAAGAAGGAAGCAACACCGTCAACTGCTTCGCAGCAGATTCAATTAACATGGCCTGACGACTACGTATCCGTGGGTGCAGATGATCAGTTTGTGTCAGTTGACCACGAAGATCTATATCAAGGAGAACATCGCAAAGATGTCAAGAACCAAGGCGAAAAGAAGCGTATTCTCTTCCACCCTCAGGTGACGGTCAACGTTTTCGGCAACAACGGGTCGAACTCTGAAACCACAAGAGCAGAAGGGTCTGAGCCGAGTACCACAAAGCCAACCAACGAGAAAAAGACCGAAGAGTCTAATGATATCGTAGCGGAGCTGACGGCTAAACTTGCAGCTTTATCGCAAAAGGTTGATAAACTCTCCGCGTTGGCATCCGCTCGGGGACCTCGAGTTGAATGCGGTTTGTGGAACACGAGCGAGGCTCGCTCGTGGAAATATCCTTCGAACGATACCAAAGGGCGAATCTGCTTTGAAAAAGAGTTCAAATCAGCACCAAGGGTGACTACTGGGATGTCGTCAGCCGACGTGTCTAAAGACTCAAACTTCAGGGTGTCCGTCTATCCAACTGAAGTAGACACGAAAGGGTTTAGAATTAACGTAAAAGGCTGGCATGATACGGTAATATATTCCTGCGGGGTGTCATGGGTCGCTATAGGCGACTAATTTGTGTACCGGCACCACAATACGTAACTGTTATTCGGGAAGATGCTATTATATGACACAACCGTGGTGAACAACTTGGACAATTATATTAAAGAGTGACATGGACTATCATAGAAGTAAACCGACTGAGAAACTTCAAGTGAACGTGAAAGCGAGCGACGTAGTAGTCATGAGTAAGAAACCTTTAGGCCCAACGGCCCAGAATTGTATGCTGACGACAGACAAGTAAGCTGCCGAAGTGTGTTGACAGTCCGAAAGATAATAGAATCTGATGCCCTGACAAGCGACTCGGTAGCCCATTCTAACGTCGCCATGCCATATCTCGTTGCCAAACTCTGCTTCAATATAGCCCAACCACAATATCACCACGGACCCTAGCCGTAGCATGGACTTCAGCCTCTAGATCCAGCTTGATTCCGACCAAGAGAGCAGCATCCTTGAGCTTACCGGACTCATCAACAGGGCCCTTGAGAAGATTTCCTAGTGTAATAATATTAGCACAATAATAGCCGGTATTACTTTACTTATAGCTGGATTTCCAGGATAGATAACATACCAACTGGCCCATTAGCACTGCCGGATAGTCCTGGCATCGGGAGACTTTGCTTCAAAGCTCCAGCGAACGAATTTCCACCAGTGTTGGCATTTCCAACACTGCTGGCATGTCCACCAGTGGTGACGGTACCTCCAGTCCTATGAACGAATAAATGTTAACCCAAAGATACTTGCTGTACAGGTTGGGATCACTGACGAAGACATGATGATTCTCTGTAGTTCTTAGCGGTCGATTCTTAGGAATTGTTAGCCGCTAGGAAGTTAACTCGTGATTTAGGAGGAACTTGCTCTATCCCTTTTTGACAGGGATACGTATTATTACCAAACGTGGTAGATATTAAGAAGTTCACTGAGTAAGTCTTCACGACACGAATAGAGCGGAGGGCGTTGTGATCAGGTAGAGGGTAAACTAATTGCTGCCAGGCAAATATTCTAGGCTGTCGAAGTCCTCTTCTAAGAGCTGTAAACTGTCTGTTTCTTCAAGCTAGATATTACTCGTCATAAGAGACCGGAAGAAGCCTTTATACACATCTTTAACCCTTTGAAGGTCGCAAATATGTATAGCCGCAGGCTGTAATGACTACAAGGTGAGCTACAAGATCATCGTATATCGGTCAGATTCTAAACTATGACGAGTGTTGTGCGAACTCACCTCCGTAAAGTCATCCAAGCCTCATGAGATCCTAACGTGTTGGGCGTCGTATCATAGATGCTCTATTCGTAATTTCGACGAGAAGATAGGTCTGCCTTAACATGGAGAAGACCGTGTATGCGTACTAATCATACGATTCAAGAGAAAATGGGCTTTGTGAGTTACACTTCGGCACCTGCAATGCATGACAGTTCACTGTCGAGGCCGTTCTGTAACGAGACGGAGGAAACGGAGGCAAGTCCGGAAATCTTCGATGATGTCTAATACCAGTATTTCGCTATATCTCTTTTCTTTTCAACGCAAGATGCATCATTAGCGTACCGAGCACATGAATCCAGCTCAGGTTACTCCCGAGTAGCATAGCGGTTGGGTATCAATACTTCCGTGGGCGGGCAAAGATCATTAGGAGATCTGCTGTATCGCCTCGCACAGATACTCAGGTCCTACCAGCAGGGCTACCATCTCGGCTATCCACGAACGTAGATATGAGCTCAACGAGAGCATATATACCCCGCGTTCAGTTGAATTTTGTTTAACGCCGTGAAACGCTCGATCAGAATAGCAACTATGTCGCAATCCCTCACATTTCTCGTCGCTTTCTCTGCCGTCGTAGGCACTTCCGAAGCAATTCGACAGATTCAATCGGATTCCAAGAGGAAGGAACACCGAAGTAGAAAGAATAATCTGATAGTACGGTGCCCTAAGTCATCTCAATACAGCCCCATACTTGAAGGGAGGCGTGTAGTCCTGTCTGGTGACAAGGTGAACAGCTTCCAAGCCACTTTCAACAAAGCATACTTAAGCTAACAAGTCTCCAATAGCTATACATTGATACGGGAACCGACTATGACCAGGCCTTCGGCCACCCGTTTGCTGGATATTTCCTTCCGTACCCTGATTCCAAGTACTCTGGCCTCGTGTCGACGATCTGCGACGAGCCACCGATTATGAATTGGATATACATCGATAGAAACACGTATGAGATCAAGTTTGGTACTCGTCCATCGGCACAACCCAACTGGCCCGGGCCATTTGATTGCTCTCGACAGGACCGCAGGTTGACATTTTCCGGTTGGGAAGGTTTCCTGGCCGTCAAGGAGGGCGATTTTTGGGCATTGTACTTTGACGTCGATGAGGATAATCTAAAGTCAAAAGTAAAGAGTGACACTCTAGTACTAGATATACAACTCTTGCGGGTAGAGATGCGTGTCAAGCCGTCTAAGAAGGAGGAGCCCTCTGGTGGGGGCTCAGAGGGTACCGAATCCAAGGAAGACCCTTCAGAGTTGGACGCAAAGCATAATAAGCAAAAGAGTGAAGAGAAGATGGAAGTCACTCAAGACTTTAACTTGGAGTCGCCAGATGTAGATTGAACTGGTAAATATACGCCCGATACTTGCAATGAACCAGCCCCCCTCTACGCAATTTGTGCTGGAGTTATGAGACATGGGCATATCACTTAACTATCTAATCCTCAGTAGTCACGATGCTAGTATCCCGTTAGGGTTTTTGATAATTTTATTAACTTTTTATTGGATGTCTTTAAATGTGGTCCTTCGTGATTAATTGTTTATGCTCCAAATATCCAAAGACTACGAGAGCTTTCAGACGATAATTGCGAGAGAATCCCACAAAAGAAGTGATAGCAAGCTCTACCTACGTCCCTACGTCCCAAACTATGGTAACAGTCGGTATAGTAGGGGAATTTCACCGAAAATAAATATCATTTCCAGGTAAGCTTCGCATCAAAGATAAGTTCATAGTCCTTTGCGCAACAGTAGTGCTGCTTTCCCAGTGTACGCTCGCCTCATCACAAGGCCACCTTTCTAGGCAATAGCTCAGAAATAGCTACGACGTGAGAATTGAAATCGTTACATATTCAGACTGCTTACCCCAGATTACCCTCTTGTCGGAACCGAGAGTGCTACTGTGGTTGTACGAAAGCCATACGATATGCGTGGTATGTGATCGCGTACAACTGCACGTGTCCTAGTTAAACCACCCACTTAACGCAGGGCTATGCCGTAGTCCGAATAAGTAGTTACCTACCTATATTGGTATATCACGTAGTCGGAAAACCATAAGGCGGAGATGTATACGTTCGGCAATGGCCGCGGGCCGTTAGCTACGGGGATATAAATAACACAAGAGTTTTGGAGTTGCATAATCGCGGTCATATGTGACCCGGATCGTTCGATAGCAGACCGAGGAAATATTCGGGTCTCTCCATCTTGTTACCTCCTTTTAGGATTATACGTAATCATGATGGAAAGAGCCGTAAGCATTGCATGGAAATACAGACTCTATGCTACTACTAGGCTGGATCGCGTGGCACTGGGCAAACCCAGATTATCATGGATAACTACGCCAAAGGGGTTCGCATTTACCAAGAAGACAGTTTCGCAACTTTCATTTCTTCTATAGGTTCAATGCTTTCCGTTGAGATTGGCGGTTTATAGTTGATGCTACTATTATTTCATCATTAAGCAGTTGACATTTATATACAAGGTACCAGTTAGCCTAGAAATTGGCCTACATGCGATTCCTTCATTATTAGGCACCTACCTACTATCATAGTAGGGTTATCATCCATCGCTGAGGTTGTGCTCGAGGTGTGGGTTGGGCCCCTGGTTATTGACGAGAATCTCCCTATTCACCCGATATTCCGGGGCACTGTCTGCCTCCAGGGAGAATAATTTCCCGTATATGACTTATCGCCTTTCGGGAATACACGATCCCGGACCCTTTGATCGACTCTGATACTCGGTGTTCCCATGCCAGGGACTGTAGTTGGGTTAAGAACATGGAAGGCCTATGAAAAGTCTAGCTTGGAGACTACCGTGCGTAGGTAGATATGTGTAGGCAGCAGGCTATGCCTAGGGCGTATTCCTCGTCCATTTGTCTTAGCAAGAAGTTTCTAGTTTTAGACAATACGTCTAACAACACTCTTGTGCCTCTAAACGTCTCGGGAGCCGACATTTCTGACTGGATATAGGGCCGCTGCAATCTGTAGTATATATCATCAACAGGCCGCCTGGGCGACTTAGCAACGTAATACCTTGCTTTCGAAGAATTCCTATGCCTATATGTGACTGGTACGACTTAGGCGGATAGGACGCGGGCGGGGTGATCGTGCACCCTTTAATTCGGATCCTTCCGCTCGATCCAGCTGACACCTCGGATTATGACAATACCTTATGGTTCCACCCATGCTGCCTCTAGATCCGATCATGGCGATTCGTGCAATAAAATTGCCCGTATTAATTCAGAATTAATGTCATATAGTTGCTTCCTTGCTCCTATCACCAATCTCTCAAATATCTCTCGCTTCCGAAATGCTCTTGTCGTGGTTGCTCATGCGGTCTCGCAGCCGTAGTTACGGTGTTGTCGGTGGTGATTTTGATGTAGTTACTTCGATCTCTATTTTGAGAGGAGCCCCCTGACCCTAGGTCAGATGTATTTGCGCCGCTGGGAGGAGTCACACGCAGCTTGGCGAGGGCGAAGTCGGAAGTCAATGCTCTGTTGTTGGCTGATATGAATCCGCTTCGTAGCGATCGGAGGAAGGGCCAGAAGTAGGCAGCGCAGGCGGCTGATATGCTTGCGAATTGGACGAATTGCATGCTAAGGTAGTATGGAAATCCCCGGAGCGTATAATCGTCTTCGGCGAGGCGGGGAAGATAGATGAGCTGACAAACCGTTGCTGCAATAGCACTTGGAATTTGTTAGAGATGCGCAAACGAAGGCCGTAAGAGATGAGTGAGTGAGACTAACAATATTCTCACAGAGAAGAAGCTAAGAGCTATGATTCGTGTCATAGCCGGAAGTTTGAGAGGATATATGACGATTGCTGGAAGGGCTATGAGTGAAGCATCCGTTAGAATGTTGGTGATGTCCACATATTCCAAGAATGCTATCTATATGGCTTATTAGCAACAAGTCCACAATATAAATTCTATAGCGCCTATGAACTTTTCTCTCACCCTGTCAATACAGCTAATCTCGCCGCCTTCCCAAGGACCATGGCTCCCGCACTGAAAAGCCGTCCCAATGAAAGCTACTAACGACCAGATTATGACGGTAATAACGAAGACAGATGTGAGGCGACGGTGTCCCGTTTCCGGGGATAAGTCAGATAATCCTATGCAGACCGAAAGCTTCGCAAGTCCGAGGGCGAGGATATACAACAATTGCCCGGCGTATTGTACCTGAATATGCGCAATCAGCTTCGATATCAAGTCGACACGTTTCAAGATAGATGCATACTTTAAGACCTGCTGTGAATTCATCGTCGGTAATGAGACTCCGCGCTTTTCCGAATATCTTTCCTTCGGGGACGAGGAGCGTCACGGATTCTCCAATACCAGCGAACTGATTATCACGATGTTAATCCACCTGAAAGCCATCTTCTCGTTAAGACACAAGGGTAACGTACAAATGCCAAAGCGATGAGCGCCTCTTCCCATCCAAACCGTTGATTCTTTTTCAGGAAAAACTTGGTCAAGAAGCGGAAGCAAAGCATAAGTGAGGTCAACGCGATCAGCAACCAAGTGATCATCTGTAGGATAGGGTTCTTGTCCGAATCTGTGACGATGATCCCAGTTGGCGGCGAGGGCGCGGCATTCGCAGCGGCGCGACGGAAAACCGACGGCATCTTCAAGAACCAGACACCGGCCGCCCTATGGGACGTGAGATAATATATATCTCAGGATAGACCGTCGAAGAATATCAGCGGGCCGGACATTGGTAGGGCTGAGGAAGCCCCAGGGTTTCCCGCGCGACGATGTGTATTAAAGGTTATGAGCTATGGAGTTTGAAAAGACCTGGGGAAAGAAAGTGGCCTTGATTCGCGCGCGCTCCGTGCGTATTTTCTAGGATAAATACCATAGAGGAGGGAGTGGAAATGCCAAGCGGCCCAACCGCTGGCTCTAACGATGCTGACGGGAGGCGCAGATTTGCGATCGAACCATGGATATCCGCGGCAGTTGGCCCCATTAGCTTATTTGAGGAACAGTATTGCGACAAGATCATCTATATGAGAATATATGTGTTGCACTGCATAGCCAATGGGGCCAGTTCATAGGTAGCCTCTAATATTCCATGCGTCTGTTGGAAATGTTTTTTTCTTACTTATTTTTATCTCTGCTACCCTCCTTTAGTCTCGACAGCCACATTCTCTATGATAATCTCCTCATTTTCCCGCTCAGAGAGTTAGAGCTGGTCACGAAGGGACTAAGGATGCAGGGGACCTAGGGATCTACGCCGATGAAGGCGGGAACTACATGGAACTAATGCTAGTCAGACCGTGGAGGAGTACCCATACACATGAAATACGGATGGATCAGTGTGGATCGTGGAGGTTGCCGCATGTACACTATACAAGGTAGCTGGAGCAAGGGTATCTGAAGAGCCCGGTTCCTTACGATGTCACTGGCCGGTTTAAACAGATTGAAATGTCTACACAAGTACATAGTGCGCTACATAATACCTACTACAGTAAGGTATTTCTAGCCAACAAGCAGACAAGTAGGTTAGAAATTAGTAGAATAATAACTAAGACCGTGTCTTTCAATGTTCCAAAACCGCGACACAACTTAGGAAATTCGTCACCTCCTCATTCATCCGAAGGATTGACTTGACCCGAGGCCACTAACGATCCTAATACTACCTACCTACGAAGTACGTAACAACTGAGCTAGCCTTTTAAATACGAATTCGGGAGACCTACACAGGACCACGTGCTACTTACCCGCCCAAGGTAAGATGGGTTACTTTCATGCGGTACGCAATAATGCGACCCAGAATGTATCTTTGTCTAAAGCTGAAATTTGGAGGGGAAGCAGGGCACGAAACTTTTTGCGGTACATAAGTGCTCGGACGTTGGGGGTCTGAGAAACCAGTCCAGTCGCTTCGATCCCTCTCAAGCCGTAGTGGGGAAGCATTTATCCCATGTCCGTTGACGCAGGAGTAGCGAGGGTCGCCAAGACGGCCCGACTCTCACCAACATCTTGGTCCAGCACACTAATAGGTCTGATAAAGCTTGACGGGACATGCTACCAGTCTTCTGGGCCATAGCTTGACGATTATAAATAGGTGAGGGTAGTAAGTATGATGCAAGGCAATGATATATGATGAGATAAGTAGGTGATGATTTTAATAAGCTTTAAACCAGCATCGTGGACTGGCATTCTACGATGAAAACACACAAGACGATCTATGGAGCCTTAACTTCCACATCTTCAGGACTAGAAACTTCTTACCTGTAACTAGCTTTAAACTGTCAGCTCTGATATTTTCGTGCATACAGTCAGTAAAACGCCGCCATCTCAAAGTCTTAATCATATGGTGCATCTCTCCTTTCTCAGTCAATACCCCCTAAACTGTTCCAGGGCATTGTTAAACGAAGATGGATGCCATACAAAGCGATGTTGGTTAACTTTACTTAGGTCTCGTCAAAGAGTCACAAATACCATGTTGTTCAGCCACTGAATTCCCGAAGCCAGTCTTTCCGGTGGCCATCAAAATGTTAAGGAACAAATTAACCATCCCATACTAACGATGTACTTTGGAATAGTAGTGCCATACAGTGCGTTAGAATAAGGGCTCCTACCTACATATACAATATCTGTTTTTAAAATATACCTAATCGTCAGAATCCACGGTACACAAGTCATAGCTCAAGTTCATTCTAGACATTTCAAGGGTGAAAATGGCCCCCAAGTACGTTCCACAAGTTCAGCCTCATCGGCATATAACCGCCATAACTCTTAGTTAGATCTTACCTAGTTAGATCTTCAGTATCACGGTCCAGTTCTACCAGTCCTTAGGTTCGCATAACGCCACAAGAAGGATGCAAACCCCCGTCTTTGGTGTACGAACTATAATTTCTGTCAGATCTGACCTCCTTCATTGGATCGGCATAGTTTAACTCTCGGCCCGGCGCATGTCAGCATTCTACCTTAAGCTTATATAGGTACCTTGTCGCTGCCGGTAGGATCAAGCCTTCCAGGGTAAGATTAAGCTTAACCCTCAAAGGATTTATTCGGCACGAGGTCCAGATCATATTATGTTATTTTTTTTACTATTAAATCAGAACTGATGGTCAATATATTTGAACTTCATCAAACAGCTGCCCTAATAATGTGTGATGGATAGGTAGATGCTGATAGTCGGCCATTATTGCGAAAATTAGGCCAACTTTCATTACGTACTGTTGTATTTGCTAGGTAGGCTCTATCGATTGATTTGTGCCGAGAATGGGTTTGAAGGACTTGTGATAGATTGTTGCGCATAACTACCGTTACTTGCGGATGATAATTGATGAAATTTCAGGACTTAAGTATTCCTCTAATTTCTTACGTAGTTTAAGATAAAGAGAAAAAAACACCTTCTCCTTGAGGAGATAGGATACTTCCTCGTGCTTTCCATGGAAGAGGTAACTCGGATAGTCGTAAGAGAGGGTTATATAACGCGATACCTCTACCAGCTTATAAGATATCTAACGAGACAAGTGTGCTCCTCAAGAGATTTATTCTCTCGATCAAATCAGTCTCTCTAGCGGTAACCGCCTTGAAGGTTGGTGCCATTAAATCGTTTGTGTCATTGTCATCAGTAATTGGGGATGGATTAAGGATTTTGATGATGAAACTCATCCGCTGCAGGAGATGTCTAGCTAGCTGTAATACCAGAGTGATTTGAAGGGCTGAAGAGTTTGGTAGGGAGAAGGATCCGACCTTCACATCGGGCATTCGAACATAATCCTCGGGTGCCGTGACCGAGGAGCGGTCCAAGCAAGCTTGCATGTTGCCGAAGATGTCATTATAAATTCCGATTAGCCTCTGATAGCATGAGAGAACTAATAGAAAAGATGCGTGATCGAATGAAGCAAGTCGACTGGTGCTAGACTCACGGATAGGAGAAATGATAGGATCCTGAGCTGAACTTCCTAGCTGACGGGGATATAACTTATCAAGCACCTCTATAAACCTCTGTGATAATTGGAATGTTCTGTCTATGGCGAAGTCCTTGTCCTTCCAACTCAGTGGCTGTGACGTAGAGACTGGAGGTTTAGGAATAGCAGAAGAAAGTGAGAATGTTTCGACATTCAAATCGGAGAGGCTCTGGATAATATCCAGCGGCAAGCAAGGAGGCCCCCGCATATTATCCCGCAAGGGACCTTGCTTTTCCGCCGGACTATCATTCTTAGGAGGAGATTGCTGTTCGGCAGATAGCATGGCCCACTCCTGATTGAATCGATCTTGCCAAGTATTGGAAGCATCCTGTGATGGTATCTGTGATAAAGACGGGCTTGTAGATGTGACAAGAGTGGGCGAAGAGCTAGAGGTGGAGCCTGTGATAAGGGGTGTCTGCCATAACGCCGAGTCGCACTGGAAGAGGTCGTTTCCAAGGCTAAAATTCATATCGGGAAGAGAAAGTTGGCAAATAGGACCGGCTACCGCAGGAGTAGAGCGAGGAAGACTATTTCCATTAATTTTGACCGGGTCGAGATTATCCTCTCTATTGACAGAATTGTTCCGGTCATCGTAAAGGCCATTCATCGCCTCGGGCTTCAACCCCTTTTTACTGCGAAGCGATGGGCTCCAGGTACAGGCCGCCTTCGCTCTAGTACAACGGATACAGGCACCTCCAGACGCACTTCTCATGCACCTTAGCTTCTGTCCGTGACATCTATCGCACGCGGATCGTTGAATGGGGTCGGGCATACTAAGATCCACCCGAAAACTACCTACTATTAAGATGGGAGGTATCTAGGTAGGAATGAAATAGTATAGATTGGGTACCTAGGGATTTAGGACAAGTCAATATTAAAGCACTCATCAGACTTTGGTCTGTATGTATTTGGCCATTCAGGGAGACTAATAAGCTGTGACGAAGCTTGAGATTAGGTGATTTCGAGGAGAAATGGGTGGATTTTGTTCTAGCCCAAAGAACTCTAGAGTGAAAAGTTACCAGGTATGTAATCCATCATAGAGCGGCCCACTTCATCACAATGAGAGCATGACAATATTCGGATAGCTACCACATAGATAGCTATCCTAATACAATCCGCCTTATCCAACTTTACGTAGCTTGCTTAAGTTTTTGATAATGATCATTGGTGAGGTCCCGCTCTGTAGATATATCTTCGAATTATTAAGTAGGTAGATAATGGTATCGTCATAATATAAAATTCGATAATTACCTTTTAACATAACAGCAATTCTTCGGCCGAAAACTAAGGTTGGAATCACTAAGAAGTTCAACTCTCGCTTATTAATATGCATTGCTCTAAGTCTTCGGTAGTTCCTGGCTAGAATTCGGTAGTCCCACAAATGTTCGGAAGATAGTGGGTCTCTTCGGCGGTTGGTAATCCCCCCTTAACCCGGGATCCCACCGAAGAGTATAATAAAAGAGGTACCTAGCTAAAGACATAAGTAGGTACTTATATCTAGTTGTGTTAGTAGATTTCTATGTGATATAATATCTTGATCCTCCTTACATTGGCCTATGAGATATACTAGCCTTAGATCTTATACCGGACATCACAAAAATGAGCAACAGAGAAGATTTACCAATTTCAGATCTTGCTGCAACCCAAAATGATCAAGTACTAGCATCTGAGGAGAAAGATGGGGAGCCCGACGAGCAACTTAGTCCTACAGCCGCATTCTTCCTCGTTCTATCTCTAGCAGTAAGAGCCCCCTTACCTGAGTGAGTTAAGCAAGTGGGATCGCTGATATTCTAAAAGGTGTCTACCTTCATTGCTGCCATCGAGCAGGTATGAAATTACCTACTGTAAAAACCTCATTGGAAAGTTTAGAAAAATTAACTTGCCCGTTAGACGATTGTCGCAACTGCGGTACCGACCATAGCCAAGTCCTTCCAAGCCACAGAACTAGAGTATGCTTGGATAGGAACAGCATATCTACTTCCAGCAGCTGGTACGTCATAAGCTTGGATGATTTCGTCTTCATGAGTTAGGAGTTGGCATCTCACAAATTCGTCTCGCAGCTTCCACTCCACCCTGGGGTAAAATTAGTGACATCTTCGGTCGGAAACCTATTCTACTCGCGGCCATCATCGTGTTCCTCGTCGGCTCTCTCATCGGAGCGCTTGCAAATAACATAAATACGCTCATCGCAGGCAGAGTAATACAGGGAATTGGTGGTGGGGGGATATTAGGATTATCGATAACCATCGTAGGAGATGTTTTCAGTCCTCGGTATATCCTACTCCGCATCCGGTTGATAATTAAGCTAACCGTGCGGTAGTGATCGAAGCAAGTATTATGGTGTACTAGGTGTGACTTGGGGATTGGCATGTGGCCTAGGCCCTGTCGTCGGTGGTGCTTTTGCTGAATTCGTATCTTGGAGATGGTGCTTTTGGATTAACTGTAAGTTCTATACGAAATCGTCGTGAAGGCGCCCAGGCTAATTTACCAAAAGTACCAATCGCTGGCCTGGCTGGCGTATTCGTGATCTTCTTTCTCAAGGTCCATACGCCTAAGACTCCCATCATCGAGGGTCTCCTGGCAATGGACTGGCTCGGCACAATAACGATTGTAGGTGCCACCGTGATGTTCCTACTAGGGATTGGTTACGGGGGGGCGGCTGAGCCATGGAACTCTCCCACCGTAATCTGCCTTATCATCTTCGGAGTTGTGACGGTTGGCCTGTATATCCTCATCGAGTGGAAAGTGGCCAAATACCCAATTACTCCGCTCAGGCTTTTCCGGTCGACTTCTAATATTGCCTCATTCGGAATTGCATACATCCACGGCGCAATCTTTATCGCACACCTTTACTATCTCCCCCTTTACTTCCAGGCCGTCCTCGGTGCGAGCCCGATCATGTCGGGTGTTTATCTCCTACCGGTTGCTGTTACACTGTGCGTCGTATCGAGCCTGGCAGGTGTCTACATCAGCAGGTCGGGTAGATACCGACCGCAAATATACTTGGGGTTTGTCTTGATGATCCTAGGCACTGGTCTCTATATAAACCTCCAGGATTATCCTTCGTGGCCACGCATCATTATCTACCAGATTATAGCAGGTGTTGGTATCGGTCCCATTTTCCAAGCCCCTATTGTGGCCGTGTTCAGTCTTACAAAGCCTGCAGACATTGCAAGTGCAGCGGCGACACTACTTTTCATGCGTGACATCGCGACGGCTATGTCGGTTGTTTTCGGAGGAGTTATTTTTCAGAATCGTATGGCGGCACAGTCAGGAGAGATTATCGCAGCTCTCCCATCCGACAAAGCCACACAAGTAATCGGGGGCGAAGCCTCCGGTGCACTGAATATTATCCCAACTCTGCCCCTTGATGAAAGACAGGTGGTAGTTGGGGTATATAACGAAAGCCTACGAGCTGAATGGATTTTTTATACTGCGCTTGGAGTTGTTGGAATGTTTCTGAGCTTGCTTATCAGTAAACAAGTATTGTCTAGGGAACACAAAATCCACAAGACGGGGTTAGAGACACAAGAAGCAGCTCGATTGGAGGAGATAAAAAAGAACAAGGTCAACGCAGATATATAATCTACTAACTACGGATTAATCTTGTAGCAGATGTCAAGACTCAAGGCTCCTCGGCACTTGTCAGGGGTAGATGGTACGTACCTAATTCAGGGGTTCGGTTAAAGCTCGGAACAGAGGCAGAAGCTGAAATCAAGCCTCAATTCAGCTGGTCTCCACTACTTCGTCATCGCAACTAACATGTTATCTTTTATCCTTGGTATTTTCTAGGTTAGCTGCTTCACCTTTTTCTTTTTTTTTCTCTTTTCTTCTTCTTCTGTATATATAAGAATTGGCGAAGAATGGAGCCTTATTAGTATCGAATTATCTACTGAATCGAATGCCGTTCCCATCGAATAATACCAGCCTCATCGCGAAGTGTACAAACACGATCCTCTGCCATCTGCGAGCTTTACCTCTCTGGGGAATCGCTATAATCATACTACTCCTCGGGTTCCTTCGGAAGCAGCTGGCGGCTACTATTACGAGTAGTAGAATATCAGGATCGAACGGAATACCTAAAAAATAAACATCATGGCGTCTGCCGTCGCGGCTAGTAGGGTGCTGGGGGTCGCTGGACCGATACTCGTACCGGCTGTCGCTTATGGTGTCTACAAAGGGAACGTACTGGCAATGCTTCAGTCTTTCTTTACAGGCCCTGGTAGGACAAGTCGTGCCGTGGCTCTAGTAGTCGTGCTTGTTAACTGGAAAAGCCTGCCTTTTGTGTGGACTGTATGTAACCCCTGGGCCAACCGTCCTATATCTAAGAAAAGGCATTTACTAACAGAAATGCTCCCAGTTCCGCGTTTTCAGCGCCATGATAACGCACCTAGGTTTTAGGCGCTTTCATACACACACTCCCGACCAACTCTTCCACCCAATAATTACGCCGTCTCATGTCTCGCTGCTCGAAGTCGATTATAATATCCACAAGTCCAACTCGACCTACTTCGCCGACCTTGACGTCAGCCGTTCTCAATTAGTTGCACACTTATTCGCTCGCGGCTGCCGCGAACTCGCTAATAATACCTCAACACGTCTGGTGATGGATCCGTCAGACCCCTCGAAACCAGCCAAGGGCAAATTCGGCGTTATGCTTGGAGCCGTGCAATGTAGCTTCAAGAAAGAGCTACAACCATATCAAAAATACGAGATGTGGTCCCGTGTTCTCAGTTGGGATCGTAAATGGCTTTACATCGTAACGCATTTCGTTGAGCATGGCGCCGTCAAACCGCGGTCTTGGGACGAGGGAAACTTCGGCGCGACAAGGAAAGACAATGGGGAGCCCCAGGATTGGGAGAAGAAAATACATGCTACGGCTATCAGCAAGTATGTATTCAAGATCGGACGATTAACAGTACACCCCGCTGTCCTTATCGATGCCAGTGGAATGCTGCCAGAGCGGCCTGATGGTTGGGCTACTACGGAGAACGGGATGGCCCCGCCATCTCATCTCATCACTGGCCATGTCGTCAGCGAAGCCGAAGCAAAGGACGGACATGGTGGTTGGGATTGGAAGAAAACGGAAGAATTGCGCAAGAAAGGTTACGAGTTTGCAGCGCACTTCGCGGCGCTAGATGGTTTGCATAGCCAATTTGACAGCGGTGAAGATGGGGCTCTTGGTAGATTTGGCCTCGCGTGATTTATACCGCATCTATACTCTAGACCTTCAATCTTACGATAAATGTAGCTGATCGTGTATCATACAGATCCGGATTTATATGCTTAGACTCGGCCTTGGAAGAATAAACATCAAAGACGATTACAGAATATCAATTGACTTTTAAGCCTCCCCGACTGCTCTTATCGATCTAAGTATACACATGATCCGAAGACCATTCAAATGTTGCATAAAAGAAGTTTACTATTAACCACACTATGCTGTGCCAACCATTTATAGAGCTAAAGCAGCCATAGCCGCAGCAAACCCGAGACCGGCAACGGCCCGGTTACCGGCTCCGGGGGTCGCAGTTGGGGTCGAAGCCGCATCGGTAGCCGAGCCGAAGACAACAGAGCCGATCGCAGATGTGGCAGCAGCGCTAGCACTCGATATGACCGAAGAAACAGCAGCACCACCGGCGGCAACTGCGACGTTTGCGCAGATCTCCCCGGAAAGCTTTGTCGTCTCTGTTTCTCTATTAATCACTGTGTTCTTCTTGCCACAGAAGCACTTGGTAACTAGGATTCAGAACGTTCCAAGCCAAGGGGTAAACATACTGGCTAAGTCATCGGCATTACAAGACGTCGACACGCAGGTAATAGCCTCCTGAGTGAGGTCATCGATCTTGCTACACTGACACTTGTTATCTGTGGTCGAGCAGCCGATCTTGGTTGAGGCGCTGTCTAAGCATGGCTTCGCGCAAGACGGAATCTGCGAGACAAGCTCTTGTACACTCTCGGCGGTGACCGCGGCGGCGAAGAGGGCGATGGCGAGGGCCTTGAACTGCATTTTGAATAGGTATTGATATTTTATTTCCACGTAAAGGAGTGTATGGTTCGTTTTCTTCGGCCTGCGATGAAAGTGACGAGGGGTAATTAACGTGGTAGAGTAGAATGAGCGAGTAGTTGAGTGAAGATATTCAATAAGAAGAGACGGCCAAGAGAACAAACGTCCAGGGTAAATAATTTCGATGCTGAGGCGTCGCAGCTTTTTTATCTACATACTACATACTACATAGTATCGTTGAACGATACCCACCTCCACAGGATCCTACCATACCTTGGCGACCCTTGACTAACTTAGCGTATGAGAACAAGAACCAAGATCGGCCAAAGCCTATCTCATCACGGCAAAGCTCGAGGTCTTTCTGTACCTACATATCACGGCTATGTGACACCAGCAGGGTTTCTCCCCTGTCTCGTCCCAACGAAACCTTGGCTTCTCTCATCCTGACGAGATACGGCGTGAGGGGTAACAGATAACATGCTTCTTATATACGACTTAACGTCCCGTCTGGAGTGATAGCCTATTAACGGCAGTTCGATTTTCTTCGAGAACGAAGAGTTGTAAATGTGCCCCTTAACTGCAACATCTACAGTTCGCTACAGGGGGAAAGATGCACGATGCACTCAGATATCACTCATCTACGGATTATTCAGCCCCCCATTCTATGCCGGTGATCCTTGCAATTTCATGCATTAGCTCAGGGGTAATAGCTTTACGAAGCCTAGTGTTATCCCAAGCGACAGTTATATCCATGTCGGATTTGAAACGGGAATTTTTCATTTTGCGGGGATCTCAGAAACGCTTCCTATTGATGGATAGGCGAGCAAAGACGTAATATAGAAAGACACAGGCATCTTTTTCAATACCCTCTCCTATCAACCGAGCTTCATCAAATAGGTAGGTACTTAAGCCTTAAGCACCTATCATGTAGATATCAATCATAAGGAATATATGCCACCCCTATGGACCTAAACACGTCGTTATGTTTCTTTTAGGTGGTATAGCTATTAGTTAAAGAATACGAATAATGTACGGGGCGTAGCAGTTAGGTAGGCTTACCAATACGGCATATACGCCAACAATGGTCCCGTCCTCTGGTTTAAGTATATCAGAGAAATATTCGTCACTAGGCAGCTGGTCGGTGCAAGAAGGGGGAAATTCAATAGCGCGGCCGCGGTTGGTATAAAACTTGAATATTATTAGCAAACGCCCACCATTTTGTCTGAACGGATCTTATCCAGTGGACTATGTCAACTGCTTACCTTCAGGCCAAATACATAAGTGGGGTCCTCATAAAATGCTTCCAAGCCCGTAATACGTTCATCAAGACCCGACTCAAGATCCATATGATAAATCTCCGAGTTGGGTAACCTTTCATCGGGGATTTGGCCAAGTAAGATAGAGGATTTGCCATCAATAGGACGACTAAAAGAGAATTCAATACCCCAAATATGGGTGCGGTCGGCGTACAGACCAAGTTCTGTATTGTCGACAACCCAGACTGTTATCCTAATTAGATAAGGGAGCTGTGTTCCATCTACTCCCCCAAAAATTAGAAGGGAAAAAGGTAGGCTGTCTCTGTAGTCCTTTAGAAGTGTATTGTGGGGGCCGAGAAAGGATAATTCCTTATGAGGGATTTCGCCATGCCATATCGCAGTCTCTCGTAAGCTCGAATGTTGATGATGGAGGGTTGAAGGGGAGGGCGGTGATGTATCCTCGCCATCCGAGATAGACAGTGAGACTAATTTCAAAGCCTATAGTAATTGTTAGACAAGATATATTATATCCGGGACTAGAAAAACCCACATCGAATCCTCCTTTGAGATATTGGGGCGGCAAGTGAGTAGGTAGAACAAGTATCCTCTGAGAGAGTTCATACCAATCTCCTATCCAATACGAGAGCCCGGCTACGCTAGATAATATTCGAATGCCCCGAATTCCTTTGCTATCGAAGGCGACGTGAAACCCAATCAATGTTATCGGCTGTTGGTGTTCCCCCCAAGTAACATTGGCCCCATCATCAGCATTGCAGTACCCGAAGAGAGCGCTCTGATCGTTGTTATAGACAATTCGAATCCCGGAAACATATCTTTTGTTCTTAATTTTGACCGTCGACACGTAGATACTTTTCGAAGTAGCTTCCAGGGTGACCCTTCTCTCATACAGCGACCTGGCCCCAGACCTGTATTGCTCTGTCGGGGCGTAGAGGGTAGGACCTGCAGTGACCCAGCGACCACTATCCGGTATGCCATCAGGTTCGAATAGCGTACTGATCTTTTCGCCATTGCATGAGTTATAGCTCCGTCTACGATTGATGAGGCCACAGAGATGACGCGCTAAGGACCAAACTCGTCTCCTATTTGCCATACTTGGTAGGCTTGCTAACAATTTTACTCTTTGGAAGAGTTGTCGCCAGTCTCTACCAGCTGAACGAATCATGTTCGCCTCGAAGACGTATTCAAATTCTCTCCCTTCCCAGAAACGGGAGAGCCAAAATCTATCTGGTAATACAAGAGACGCATATACTGGTGAGGCTAACCTAAGATTAGCTACGTCTCTCGAATCCATCCAAATAAGAATCATATGTAAGATTTCGGTTGGTAGCCCATTTAGAGGGTCGCCCCCGGTATGATAAATAGCAGGCGTCTCGTTAGTGACACTCGCGTCATTCCGAACATGCAAATTAATGCTGTCAGTGAATAGATGGCGTAGTTGGGGAATATTCAGAGGATCATGTGTGTATACGTCCGTTTTAAGGTTAGCCAGGGCTAAGTCAAGCTCCTCGCCAGGACAGAATAAGTCGACATCCTTAGGAGGACCAATAAGACCTTCATAGTCATGGCCCCAGTCGAGGGGACCGTGTTTGTATGGCTGCGACCTACAAAGATCAAAAATGGCCTGGAGATCTAGACAACTCCCATATTCAGGACATGCAACGGATAGAATTTCTAAGCATGAGGTGTGAAAAGGAAAGCCCCATGCAGGTTGCGGTACCAGAGGGGGATTTGGTGGATACCGGCCACCAAATTTTGTGACCATGAGACGTATCCCAATTTCGGGCTCTTCATAGTTAATACCAGGGAGACCTTCATCGACAGAATCGTCTAAAGGGATAACATCCTCGAACTGTCGTCGTTCTCCAATCCCCGAGAGACGGGCCTCGTTCCAATTTTGCAAGATAGTATATACTATAGTTATAAATGATTAATTGAGGACATTTCGAAGGGCCATTGGGATACTCACCGACGCGAAACTTTTGCAACCAGGTAACGGAATGAAATATATCTTCCACTGGGGCGCCACATAGGACGCAAGATACGGAGGTAATTGGCATATTAATTCAACTTCGTGTATGGACGAATGAGTACCTAGTGAGGCTGTATTGTGAAGAAATAATTGAAGGAGTACCTAATCTATCCGTTGGAATCTTGTGGAATATGGAATATGCGTAACGTGCTAAACTACCAGGTAAATAAGAGTGAATAGCGCCTAATATCACGTGCTAAGTTGTGATTTAAACCAGGCGTTGTATTAAAGGGAGTCTGATCTAGGGGTAATCGGTCTGGAGTTTGGCGAGATTGATTTATCCGTCCTGACAACTGAAAATTCGACACACGTCGACAAAAAGGCTGACATTACACGTGTGACAATATTACTTCAAATATATATGAGTATGGATAGTGAAAACGAATGCAGCCAGTTAGCCAACGTCTATCAAGTTAATTCCCACCAACCTCTATCACGAGAAACTATCCGCAAAATGGCAAGGGATGCGTCTGCTCTCAGGATTGACTCGCAATCTTGGAACCGTAGGCGTTTTGTTAGTGGTGAAATTAATTCTTCGTCTGGCAAAGTGAAACTTGAACCAAGTCTTTTTGATATCGATAATAACTTCCTATGTACGATGGAAACGAGCTGTAGGATAGGGAAAAATATAGCCTTGAAGTTGTATGAACAGTAACTCTGGCCTGGAAGCCTTGAACAGGAATCGTATGGTGCTTTATTATTTAAGAAGGTCAAGGGACTTGTTTAAGCAACAGCACAAACTCTAGGTATATATGTCAAAAGACATCTACCTATTTCAGATTTGCGGCATGACATAAGAGACTTCGGGGGACTAATCGGGAGGTTTGAGCCTATATGGGTATTAATGTGAAAGCCTTTAAACCCTCTATCTACTATCTAGCTCTACGATAAAATACGTTGTTACTAGCTATTCCAATAGCGGAACCCTGTGTCCTAAAACGCATCTCCTTTTATAAGCCCACCGTACGAAGTTCCGTCAATCATAAACTCCCTTTCTTTTCAAAGCGCTGGTATCTCTCCTCTCGCCACTTGGGACCCCATTTCCTTACTATTATAATGCACGGACTTGCCGCCAACACAATACAACCCATGAAAAGGTACGTGAAACCATAACCCCACGCATCAATAATGTACTGCACTACGGCAGTCCCGACGGCGCTAAGTGCGGCGCGCGTTAAGTTGAACGTAGAAGAGACTCGTCCGGGGTTCATGGGATAGAGATCGACTAGCAATGTTGTCAAGATGCTCACAGGCCCGCTTAAACCAGCACCACCAAAGAACAGGACTACCAGGGGTGCAGCGAGGCTGGTTCCTGAATTGACGACCCATCCCCATGCTATAATCATAGCTACAGCTAGAATTGTCCACGGCCACATCAGGTCCAGTCGAGCCCTCTCAATTGGGAATTTACGCATATCGTCGCCTCGTTTGCGATCCGGCGACACACCAATGCTTTTGGCAACCCGCGTATAGTTCCAGTTTAGTAGTTTACCAACGACGGTCGCCCCGAAGACTGACCCCACTGCATAGGGGATGTAGCATAGCCCAACCTGTAGGTCGTTGAAATTATACTGGCGGCGGATGACGTCTTGTAGAGGAACCAGCATGGCGTAGTTAGCCATTACGAACAAGGACATGAAGAGCATGAGGGAGCCGACGTCTTTCTCGAAGATTATAAGCACCGCGGCAAGCACATTGGGTACGGGGATCTTCCTCGGAATCTTCTTCGGTTGCGGTAAAGTTGAACCGCCGGACTGCGATTCAACGCCGCGGCGCTTCTTGCGCCATCGGTAAGCAGATGCAAAAGACATGTTCAGTCGTGGTGGGGGAATGGATCCATTCCCAACTATATTACGAGCGGTCTACGATCATGTTAGCTTAGCTCACACATACCTAGTGGCGCTCAGGGGTAAACCCACCTCGGGAACAAACGGTATGTAGATAAGCAGAAACACGCCGGCGGCAATGACGAGAAACCAAAACGTCGAACGCCAACCAAGGAACTGGGTTAATATTCCGCCTAAAACAGGAGCTAGAGCAGGCGCAAACATAACGCTCGCTTGCACAGCTGTGATGTAGCCACCCCTGTCGGCGCTCGTGGTGAAGTCGGCCATGACAGCACTGCCAATAGCAACGGTAGCGCTACTACCGGTGCTCTGCAAGGCTCGCAGTACCATCAGAGCCGCGTAGTTATTCTGCAAAGCCAGCGCGATGTTGGCGCCCAAGTAGATAGCAAAGGTGAGCATGTAAACGGGACGGCGGCCGACCTGATCGCTAAGATCGCCGAGGAATAGCGGCGCAACAGCTTGCATAACCTGATATAGGGTTACGGTGAGATTGATTTCAGCAATGGAGCGGCCGTATGATTCTGCGATGGGCGTGATAGCAGGTAAGTATATAAAAGAAGAGAAGGGCGAGAACAGCGTGGCGAAAACGGTCATGAGGACGAGGAAGACCTTCGTCCGGGGAGAAAAGACGGAATAAATCTCCGGCTCATGGTTACCAAGAATCTCGCCAGCGGAACGGCTTTCTTTATTCTCGGCAACGTTACCATTTCGTACGGTAGTCGACTCGGCGTCGGGCGAGTTACCATCGGGGGAGTCCAAGCCGCCATGTCGCTCCGCTGTCTTTTCGCCGGGCGCTTCGGTCATGACGACGTCACTTATTTTTTTTTTTCTTAAATGCAGAAATTTCTCTAAGACGGGTTGTCCTAGGCCCCTCCTAGGTTGATACTGGCGGGAATAAATATATATATAGCTCTTAATATTTATATATACAAGATCGATATGTATAGAGAAACAATAATGTCCGTGTTCGGAACCGACGTCATTCGGAGCCGGCGTCGGCTGCGGAACGGCAAAGAACAATCGCAAGTTGTAACTACCTAGGTACACAATACCTATAACATCAGACACAGGCCTTCATATCGTAATTTGCCGCTACGTAGGTATAATAGATGGTCTACTTCACATCATAAATAGATTCGTGGGTATTTATAGACTATTCAGACGTACTTGACCTATTATATCCAAGGGATTTAGGTGTTTGGTTTATTTACATAGAATCTCTCTATTCCTTACATCCTGGCTGTTCTATAATTTCTTCCATTATGAAACCCTCGCCCAATGACAATCCCATATTGTTCCAGGGGGAAATATCGAATGGTTCGAAGGCCAAAATCGAAACCTACAGAACTGGCTTGTTCAATTGAAGTCGACTGACAGCATTGCGATATATTCCCTTGTGATACTAGCGTATGACCAAATCTATCATCTATCATCCCTGTATCCTCATATTCTGTCCTTGGAATCATCTTACATTGTTGTATCTGACGAAATTCGCGAAACGCATCTACCAAGAGGCCCCTAACGCAATATGTTGCTGTTCTCTTTAAGCTTTCCTCGACGGTGTTAAAGTCTCTGTCAAGCTCCGGTCGTAATCTTTGCTGCAAACGCAAAGGTATTTCCCGGAGGATATACTCCTCGCATGCCGCCAACTGTTCTAGCTGGTTGGGCACTATCTTTGCGACGTGATCATAATCATAGACTGCCGCCTGTGGTTAGTCTCGTGGTTGAATTTTGCGTGCTAATACTAACAGGGAGTTGGGATGTCTTCTTTTCGAACATCTGGGAATAATATCGAGAAGACCGTTCGCCATTTCTCTGTCTCGCTCATATCACTTGTACTTTTCCGTAGCTTGAGCTGCTTCTCCTGGCTGTTATCAAACCATTCTATCAGTTCTTTGTCTTTCAAGGCACATGGCTCTATCATTCTCTGGTGATCCAGATAACTCCCTTCACTCTCAAAAGGTTCCCAGCAGCGTCCGCACCGAAAAGACGGTTGACGATGTCGTCGATACAGATGCTCTCTGCGATGTATTAGCTAGGTAGGTACCCATACAATATCCACAAGGAAAAGGGAGAAGAGGGGAGGATCGCACTTGACTCGATGTACGTCGAGCCATCCAGGGCCGGGGTATGTTCTCCATTCCTTGTATTTGCTTGGGTTGTGCTTGAAATACGGGCAAGCGAACATCTGTTTTTGGTGCTTCTTGCCATCGACGCCCTTTTTTATAGGTCGCTGATCTTGACCACTTCCGTTATCATCCTCCTCGCCACCATCGCTTCCCTTATTACTATATTTCCTCTTCTTGGCTACATTAGTCTGGCTGGTGTCTTGCCCCTGGCTTCGCTCGACTGGTGGAGGGCTTTTAGACTCCGGGATGTGTCCGCTAGCAGCTTTACAGGCTGTGTCAAATCCAGATCGCAGCCAATGAGTTATCTCAAGCATAATCTCGTTCATAAGCTGTTCCTTTCTCACGTTAAAGTACTCTTCGGTAGAGACTGAACTACCCCTTCTTCTAGATAGGCAAGGTGCCGGTGGGGATTCCCCTACCCCCTTTCCCTTTATCTCAAACTTGGACGGAATGAAGTCGTAGTGACCCTTTACCAAGTTATCTGAATACCTTGTTACTGTGTGTATTCGCCTAGCGGAAAGTTCTTGTCCTGTCCATGTAGTTGGATTCTGGTCTCCTGATACAGGTTTAGATTTAAGTCGGTTTAGCTGAGGATAACCAACCCTACTTAATATGTTAGCAATTCTTTGCATCGTATTTCTCACGAGTAGCTAAACCATTTGGAATGAATACCTAATCAATAGGTTTGGTAAATCCAAAAATGGACAATGCAGTGATTAAGTCCGTCAATGTAAATCAAATTCTAGGAATATATAATGAAGCACACACCTATGGTTATTTGCCCCCTGCAGCATATCGAACATCCCTAGCGACGTCTTACATGGTGGTGAGACTACTTTCTCCGTTAAATCTGATTACGCAGATAAGGAAGCACACACCTATGGTTATTTGCCCCCTGCAGCATATCGAACATCCCTAGCGACGTCTTACATGGTGGTGAGACTACTTTCTCCGTTAAATCTG